AGGGTTGAAGCTGTACTGGCCCACAGAACTGTACGCTTCGTTGGAGGCATCCCAAGCACAGCTCTCCACTTTCATTTTTTTCACCCTGCAGAAGGCACTGGAAGACACCGACGGAGGGGAGAAAACCTGCAGCTGTGAAGCCATGCCTGCAGACAGGAAATAAACAAGATTTGTCATTGCTGAGTTGAGAGTAGCATGATTTAGAAAAGATTTGTTTGTCTTAGTGATGTCACGATACTGGAAATCAGTACCAATCGATATTACATTTTAAAAAGTGCATTTCCCGCTATTACGGAGCGCTGTTGAACTTGTTCTTAAACATCGCTGATTTGTCATTGTGTTCGCGGTGTATTGGAAAATTTGTTATTGAGGCAAAGTTGCTTTTATATTCAGACTTTCACCTTAATAATATAATGTCAGAAAAGTATTGCTTTCAAACTCTAAAAAGTGAAATCTTATTATCAGCCAAGCACAATACTGTTCAGTCAAATAAACAATGCTGATGTTGTTTTGAAGTCTTACTCACCTGTAATTTCAAACCGAACATTCAAAGCACCATGGTAAACAGTATAGGGAGCGTGTCACACGTTGTCTCTGAACGAATGTGCGAATATATAACCAGATATAGTTGATTATATATTCAAACATTTGTTTATTTTAACTGTCTATATAATTTAGCGTGCTTCTTTGAATATTCGGTCAGAATTAGCATGCAAGTATGACTTCAAAACAACATTAGCACCATCTAACTGACTGTAAACAATGCTGTACTTTGATAATCAATGGCTGCTAATATAATTTCCCTATTTAGAATTTGCAAAAAATACTTTTCTGAGATTATATTATCAAAGAGAATGTCTGAATATCTGAAAACCAACTTTACCTCCATAAATGTGATTACATAACAATAGTTGTTGTTATAATCATACATAGTGCTTCACAACAGTATGGTTCAGCAGCACTGTAGTATTTTTTCCATGCGTGTGTCCCTCAGGACTGCAGTTTAGACACATCATATACAAATATATAAAACAAAAATCACCATCATCCAACCAAAATATGAAGATTATCACTTAAAAACACTAGTAGTAATGTGTCTAAAGCAAATGTAAAACCGATACCAAAGCCATGTACATTTACAACAACCAAACGACTCCACCCTTTTCGAGAAAACGCTAATGTGAGGTACAAACATTAAAAAATACAAAAAAATAAACTGAATAATGTCAAATTTACACTATAGCAATGCTTTTTCAACTTGATATTTATCAACATTAACGTGGCAGTCGATGAATTTAGCGACATTATCTTCCAATCTGCAGACGTCATTCGTTTGCTGTAACGTTATTTTGATAAAATATCGGTCGAGAAGTAATAAATCGTCAAATGTAATGTTACAATGCAACATGTTACATAATAAATGAATAAAAAATAAACTAAAAACTAACGTTAGCTGGAAAAAATGACCATAACTATAATAAAACAAACCTCTCAAACACTAAAAACATTTTCAAACTCATAATACGTCTAAATTAGCGTAATTAAAGACATTCTGATAACTTTTGCATTATGGATGCTTATTGGTAAGCATATTATTACCTGAGCGTGTTGATAATCCGGGTGTATGAGGTTAGAGGAGAGCTTTAAACCCCTCAGATCTGGATTCTAGGCCTTCATTGTTACTGAGCTGCTCCGGCCCTGCAGTTAACTCGACAATAAACAGCGATCTGTATAAAAATACAGCTCCATCGGTGGCTCTGAAGGGTGTCCAGGCACACTCCTCATAAAATCGCCGACTTATGTCCTCGAATTAAAAATCCCTGATTAAAATACCGTTGTTTCGTGCTCCCCGGAACATCCGAAGCCTGGTTATCAGCTGCTTCGGTCAGGCTTCCTGTCCACGGGCTCGAAGTGCGCATGCGCAGACTGCTTAACACGTTGTGTAACATGCAGCGAGATTACAAGTTGATGATGGGAAAATACCGTCACCATCAGCTCTAAAACATGTGTGTCGCTTCAACTGGAAAACACATCTTTGCTGTCTTGACGTACACTGAGGTTAATTTGTTATGAATGAATATTTACAAGGTGATAAATGAGGTACTCAAATTAAGAGGGCCACATTTAAAGGGGACCTATTATGCCACAGTTTACCCTCATGGAAGGAATCTATATGAGGATATATGAACCCTTTATGCAGTATATATGCACATATATGATAATATATATGTTGCATAGATGTGTGTGCCACATATAGGCAACATTGAGGTGCATATATATATATATATATATATATATATATGTATATATATATATATATATATATGGAAAAAATAACTTGAGTAAAAGGTTATGCCTTTAAAAGAAATGTTTATTAACATAATTGTATTAAAATGTCTTTAGAATTGAAAGACATTACAAAAACATCATGCTGTGTATGCTGTGTTTTCTATTTTCGGATTTTGGAAGTTGGTCGTTCAGTGAAGGAAGAGGAGGAGGATTTCCTCATTCTTCACTGAAAGACGGAGGCATTTTCTTCTTCAATACGTGAGAATTCAGTCCGGTTAATTGTTTAAAAAATACAGTAAATTCTTCTCTTCCTTAACCTTCACTACTTTCTCCACAACCTTCGGAGGCTGGCTGCGTGGGATCAGCTTTCTTCCAGTCTGCAACAAAGACATGACGTTATTTAACTATATTATAAGATTGATCCATCTTACAATATTTGATAAGCAAGACAAGTTGTAGCTCCGTTTTTGTTCACCACTTACTATTTTTACAGGAGGAGCGAGAGCGATCTCATGTCGGATCTGCCTCCGCCGGGCTTGCCTCTCAGCGTTTTTCTGCTGCCTTTTACTGTGAAAGATAGACATCAACAGTGAGATTAATCCTACAGTTAGCCAGACAGTTCTGCAGTTTTAAAGATGCCATATAATTAAATTCTGGATACACCTAGATACATCTGAATAATAAGAGTTTAGTACATGAAAATGGCCATACAATGAGCTTTAAACACAATTGTTCCCTCGTTCTCATGCAAATTCAGTGTGTGTAAAATGCCAATGAAGAACAGGCCAATTGAACAAATTTTGCAGCCATGCATGATCTGATCTATTCACAGCCTGTCAAAATTCAAAATTCGGTATTTACGTATTAAACATTTATTCAATGTCTCCCAAAAGGGGTATAAGCTCTGTTTAATTGTATCTTATATCAGTTTAATATGTATATTGTGGAATTTGTAGTTTGTAATGAGGCAACAAACACATGTACACTGAAGAATAAAAGTGTTTAAAGCACATTTATGCATCGTGTCATATCACTCCGCTCTTACTGTCAATTTTCTGGAGAGAAGGAACGTAGTCGAAATTATAAATTCGGTATATTTGTATTAAAAATCTATTAAATTTTACTCAAAAGACATATAAGCTCTGTTTAATAGTATTTTTTATCAGTCTAATATGTATATTGTGAAATTTGTAGTTTGTAATGAGGCAACAAACACATGTGCATTGCTAAATATATGTGTTTAATGCATATTTATGCATCGTGTCATATCAATTTAGTTAATCCGATTCCCCTATAGCGCATATGTATGAGCTGTGGGGGAAACCTGAGCACCCGGAGGAAACCCACGCCAACAAGGAAGAACATGCAAACTCCACACAGAAATGCCAACTGACCCAGCCGGAACTCGAACCAGCGACCTTCTTACTGACAGGAGACGGTGCTAACCACTGAGCCACCATGTCACGAGGGCCAATTCATACATATTAACTGTAAAACTGTTTCTGGAGAATTTTTCCACGTACCCAGGCCATATACAGTACGCTCTATGTTCAGTTTAATATCTTGTGTCAATGCATTATATGGCACGGTTAACTGAATTGTAAGCACATACGAGTGTCAAACTAGGCTCACAAAGACATGCATTTTTCTATCTTACCTGTACTCGATGTGGTGAAAGCCACTCTGTATTGTCTTTTGGAGCCTTGTGTTTCTAACGAACCTGCTGGCGTCTGAACACCACTGATCAATGTCTTCTTGCATTATATACGGAATAGACGGACAGCTGATCTCACCGAAGCTTTCGTGGATCTCTGCGATGGCCTCCGCCACCTGCTCATTCTGGTGAGAAATAACAATGTGTTAAAATACGGCAGAGATCAGCAGAACTGTCTAATATTACATTAGAGATACACTCACCGGCCACTTTATTAGGTACACCTGTCTAACTGCTCGTTAAACCGAATTTCTAATCAGCCTATCACTTGGGAGCAACTCGATGCATTTAGACATGAAGAGATGATCTGCTGCAGTTCAAACTGAGCATCAGAATGAGGAAGAAAGGGGATTTAAGTGACTTTGAATGTGGCATGGTTGTTGGTGTCTCGACTTCTGCTGTCACATTCAGATGGTCGGGTCAGAATTTGTCATCAACAGCATGAAAGCATGGATCCATCCTGCCTTGTATCAACTGTTCAAGCTGGTGGTGGTGGTGTAATAGTGTGGGGGAGATTTTCTTGGCAAGCTTTGGGTCCATTAGTACCAATTGAGCATTGTGTCAACGCCACAGCCTACCTGAGTATTGTTGCTGACCATGTCCATCCCTTTATGAGCACAGTGTCTCCATCTTCTGATGGCTATTTCCAGCAAAATAACGCACCATATCATAAAGCCTGAATCATCTCAGACTGGTTTCTTGAACATGACAATGAGTTCACTGTACTCATGGCCTCCACAGTCACCAGAGCTCAATCCAATCGAGCACCTTTGGAATGTGGTGGAACGGGGGATTTGCAGGGGGAAGAGCTAAGGGGTAAATTTGGGATTGGGCCTAAGTTTCTTCTCAGTGTTTAGATGCTCTGCATTTGTTAAGATTAGTCTACTGTAATAACTTAAACATATAATACCAAAGCCAGAGAGAAAGAGATTTGCGACAACTCTATTAACTCCAATAGTTCATAGAAGTTACCCCCTACAGCCAAGTTTGTGTTGAAGATGGTTGGTTTTGCACTTTTTTTTTTGTCTGATGAAGAGCCGGGTGGCTCGAAACGTTACACGCTCTGTGTCAGCCTTTTTAATTTAATAAATTTGTATTTTTGGAGCCTTGGTGTTGCCGCCTTTGATTTACATTTGGTTTTGCACTTTTGAAATGTACAGAGTTTTAAAACATAAGATTGTGTAAATGTTTTTAACAATATTTTAATTAACCATTAAGCACTTCTTGGAATTATTTGAGTCTAGATGAATCACGTTACTTGTGGCAACTCTTTCTCTATGCTTCTGTATAATACATACAAAATTTTTATATTTAATAAATGCCGCCTTGATGAACAGAATAATTGTCTTAAAAAAGCATGAAGAAAATAACTGACACATTTTTGACTGGTAGTGTATATGCACTTACTTTCATCCTCCAAACAGGTATCTGGCAACCGCTGTTTTTACTCTGCCATATTTGCTTAAGATCCCTTTCTTCCTCCTGCTGTTCTGCTATGAGGCGAACACTGGCATGAAACCTTTTTTCCAAGCAGTTTGCCTTCTTCACGCTGCACAAAACAAAGCAGAGGCTCAATCACTGTTACTGTGTCTTCAGTTTCCACAGAGTGTGAAGAAATCAGTCAAGAAGCTTACATGTTTTCCTTTTTAGCCTCAATTTCCCTGATTTCGTCTGCGATTTCCCACCACATCTCAGAAATGACCATCAATTCAAATCCCATGTCTTCATCTCTCCTTGAGGCTTTTGGGGGTCTGTTTCTCTTTTTCTTCGAGGACTCGACGACTGGAAGGTCTTTCCCAGTGTCGAGGCTTCGGTCCACCGCAGTCTCGCTCATCTGAGCTGCTGGATGTGGAGGCAGTCCTGCATTACATCGCAACAACATTACTTTTACTTCATGTTAAAGGGTGTAAAATGAGTCTCTGATGTCTCTAGAGTGCGTAAGTTTCATCTTAAAATCCCACAAAAATAATGTTTTAAAACTTTCTGCAAGTGACCCTTTTAGGCTTTGATCATAATTGGGGCGTTTGCTGCCTGTCGCTTTAAATTCAAATGAGATTGTGCTCTTTTCAAATAGGGCGGAGCTACAAATGCCTGTGTGTCAGCATAGTGGAAGTCAGTTTAGATTGTTTGACCAGCTCACCTGTAGCTGTGGAAGGGCCAGGTGGGACAGGGGTAAGTGGGACAGGTTCAGGTGGAACAGAGACTGGTGGAGCAGAGCTAGGTGGAAGCTTGACAGTCTTTGGTCGGCTGGAGACCGTGGCTTTCTTTCTCACACCCATGCTGCTCTTTTTCTGCTGCTGGACATAAATAAAAACACACTTTAGTTACTGTTAATGCAGACCTGAAGTCACAGTATCTCGTTTTTGCCACGTAAACCATGGCTCTGTTATATGACCAAGTGACTGTTGAATCATGCACTGCAAAAAATGCTTTTCTTGCTTAGAGTTGTTGTTTTTTTCAGAAATTATGAGCTAAACTATTTGCCAATGGGGTAAGCTAAATAATAATCCCAGGCTCATTCTTAAAACGTAGCACTATATACATTTCTGGAGAGCGCCAAATACGTCCCAGGAGCCACGTTTTATTGCAGTTTTTGTTTTCGCGAATCCACCAAAGGCTGCTATGTATGCTTTTTCAAATCTCAAATTTATCTCGCGAGTGCCATTCATGCCTGCTCTTCTCACGTAAATCCACCAGAGGCCACTGTCAACTTACTGACTGACCTACTAACTGACCAATCAAGGCCTCCTCCTTCCATAAACCCAACCGTCCGTGTTTTAAAAAGCACCGATTGACCCGCCCATCGCCTTCCCTAAACCCAACTGACAGTGTTTTTAAAAGCACCGATTGATCCGCCCACCGCCTTCCCAAAACCCAACCAATAGTGTTTTCAAAACCACAAATTGATCCGCCCACCACCTTCACAAAACCCAACCAATGATGTTTTCAAAAGCACATATTGACCCGCCCACCCCCTTCCCTAAACCCAACCAATAGTGTTTTCAAAAGCACATATTGACCCGCCCACCCCCTTCCCTAAACCCAACCAATAGTGTATTCAAAAGCACTGATTGACCCGCCCACCAACTTCCCTAAACCCAACTGACAGTGTTTTCAAAAGCAATCCAAAAAAGAAAAGCCCTTGCCGCCTGATTTTTACCACGTTTTCAGATTTTACCACATTCTCATCCTGTTATTTACTCCTATTATTTTGCCTTTTGTCTTACGTGCTTTCTGGAACTGTTCTTCTCCGGACTCAAACCCTGTTGTTGCGGTCAACTCCACTCTGTGTTTCAAGTCCGCCAACGTACACGGCGAGCCACTGAGCAAACTAGTAACAGCAGAAAAGCCATCCACACGAAGCTAAGAGGTCAGCTGGTAGCATAAAAAAACAGAAGCCGTCTGCGGCGTCATACTGCCCCATAGCGTTCGTTTTAAAGACGAAATGCAGCCATATGTACCTATGGCTACATAATTCAGGATCTCCAGAAATGTATATGGGGCTACAATTTCGGAATAAGCCTGTGTTGAATTACATACTCAAGAGTAGGTCCAGCCTATTTCACCAAGGTTTACTCACTTTAACATTTCTAGCCTCACCACTGATATGCAGTTTAGTAAAACACACAACATATTAAAGCTTCTTTCCTGTTTCACAGCTTTCTACAAAACACATTCATCATTTACTCTGGAATCATAGCGCAAATCAAAACAAACCAATTTCACCTACTTCACAGCGACTTTGTAAAATTTTCTTTGCTTTATCTGATAAGGTGGCTCTAATGGTTCTTCTCATTCGTTTATAAATGTCAGTCTGTGTCTGGGCATCGAGGCTGGGGTGGACCTCGGGTGGTGGCCCAAGATGATGACTAATGCCAGGGATTGGTGGCAGCCTGATGTCCCTCTGACGGGTGAAAACTGCGCTTCTCTCCACTACACCCATGACACTGTCCAGCTGTAGGTGATAAGAAAGAAAACACTTTAATGACTTAGTTCTTTAATCAGGCTCTTTAATACCCATATGGGTCAGACTTTAAAGTAAGGTTTCATTAGTTAATACTAGTTAAGTAACATGAACAATAACTGTAATAAATGTATTGTTCATGGTCTGTTTCTGTAAGTCAATACACTCACCGGCCAATTTATTAGGTACACGTTATAGTACCGGGTTGGACCCACTTTTGCCTTCAGAACTGCCTTAATCCTTCGTAGCAGAGATTCAACAAGATACTGGAAATATTCCTCAGAGATTTTGCTCGATATTGACATGATAGCATCACACAGTTGCTGCAGATTTGTCGGCTGCACATCCATGATGCCAATCTCCCGATCCACCACATCCAAAAGGTGCTCTATTGGATTGAGATCTGGTGACTGTAAAGGCCATTTGAGTGCAGTGAACTCATTGACATGTTCAAGAAACCAGTCTGAGATGATTCACGCTTTATGACATGGTGCGTTATCCTGCTGGAAGTAGCCATCAAAAGACATGGTCAGCGACAATACTCAGGTAGGCTGTGGCATTTACACAATGCTCAATTGGTACTAATGGGCCCAAAGTGTGCCAAGAAAAGCCGGAACCATTGATACAAGGCAGGATGGATCCATGCTTTCATGTCGTTGACGCCAAATTCTGTCAAATTCGACACTCATCAGAGCAGGCAACGTTTCTCCAATCTTCTATTGTCCAGTTTTGGTGAGCCTGTGTGAATTGTAGCCTCAGTTTCCTGTTCTTAGCTGACAGGAGCGGCACCCGGTGTGGTCTTCTGCTGCTGTAGCCCATCTGCCTCAAGGTTGGACGTGTTGTGTGTTTAGAGATGCTCTTCTGCAGAGCTCGGTTGTAACGAGTGATTATTTGAGTTATTTTTGCCTTTCTATCACATGGAACCAGTCTGGCCATTCGCCTCTGACCTCTGGCATCAACAAGGCATATGTGCCAACAGAACTGCCGCTCACTGGATATTTTCTCTTCTTCAGACCATTCTCTGTGAACCCTAGCAATAATTGTGCGTGAAAATCCCAGTAGATCAGCAGTTTCTGAAATACTCAGATCAGCCCAACAACCATGCCACATTCAAAGTCCCTTTAATCCCGTTTCTTCCCCATTCTGATGCTCGGTTTGTACTGCTGCAGATCGTCTTGACCATGTCTACATGCCTAAATACATTGAGTTGCTGCCATGTGATTGGCTGATTAGAAATTTTCGTTAAGGAGCAATTGAACAGGTGTACCTAATAAAGTGGCCGCCGAGTGTATGTGCATAGAGTAGTATTAAGTCAATGGGTTCACTGACTTTATTTAAGTAAAATCAACGTGTTTATTTTAAGACAACGGGTTTACTCACTTTTATAAAGTAAGGTAACTAATTTTTTTACATTGCACTAATCAAAAATTGAGTTTGGAAATATTTACAGGATTAAATTTACTAAATATATTCATGGAATATGGCAAGAAAAATCTACCATTTAAGGTGGTTGGCTACTGTAAGATGGGACTGGTTTGATGTTTATTGAAACATCTGATTAAAACGACTGACGACAGCTTTAACAAACACATTTTATACATAGCTAGCGTTAACTTTACTTACCGTGCCTTTGGGCATCCTATGAGGTGGTGGTTTTTGCGGGTATTTGTACATGTCTTCAGCATCACATGTCACGGGATTTGGCTGTTGAAATTGTATTTTTTGATCCATAAATATACGAAGTATCAGAAAACTTGAACAAAACTCGTACACTGAATGAAGTAGAAACAAAACAAACTAGTGAACATTCGATATGCGAGCTTATTCAGATCAGCGCGCGGCCGTTAACGTTGTGACGAAACCGGGATGTAAACAATAACAATAGGCTAGTCCGAGCTAGCGTATGTCCTGTTTTAGCCTACATTTTTTATTTCCATAGCTTCCGATAATCCAAAAAGGTACACATATTGATAATTATGTTATGGCAGTTGTTTTGACGTTAACTCATGATTGAATTGCCGCTTTTTACAGTTATGAAATGGGCTTTACAACAAGCAGGAAATATTCACTGGCCAATAAAATGCCAAGGAAAAATTATGAACATGGTGTCCCACTAAGATTGACCAGTACATCGACGCATTTCCATAATTATAAAATCTATATTCACTGTCGCCTCACAACAAGAAGGTCACTGGGTTGAGACCCCGCTGGGTCAGTTGGCATTTCTGTGTGGAGTTTGCATGTTCTCTCCATGTTGGCGTAGGTTTCCTCTGAGTGCTCCGGTTTCCCCCACAGTCCAAACACATGTGCTATAGGTGAATTGGATGAACGAAACTGGTCATAGTGTATGAGTCTTTGTGTAAATGAGTGTGTATGGATGTTTCTCAGGGTTGCAGCTGAAAGGGCATGCACTGTGTAAAACATATGCTGAATAAGTTGGCGGTTCATTCTGCTGTGGCGACCCCTGAAACCAACTAAGCAGAAGAAAAATATAGTGGAGTCTGATTGGTCAAGCGCTGCGCTTCATTATTAACCTCCTCTCACCCCAGTGAACAATAAGCCTGACAGAAGATGTTCAGATGATTATTTTATTTGCTTAGATTTTAAGAGTCTTCTTCATCAGTTTTCATTTTCACATCGCTGATTATTTGAAGGAAGATTTTAATCTGGAGGAAAAAAGCAAAAAAAAAAAAAAAATTTCATTTTAATTTTAAAAGCCACATTAATAACTAATACCGATCCATTAAAGGGGCAGTTCACCCAAAAATGTAAGTTCTGTAATTTCCTACCCTCTTGTTTCAGTTTCTTTCCTCTGCTGAACACAAAAGAAGATACTTTGAAGAATGCTGGAAACTTGTAGCCATTTACTTCAATAGTTTTTGTTTTCCTATTATGGAAGTCAATGGTTACAAATTTTCAGCTTTCTTCAAAATATTTTCTCTGGTGCTTAACAGAAGAAAGAAACTCATAAAGGTCTGAAACAAATGAAGTAACTCATGATTAAATTTTCATGTTTGGGTGAACTATCCTTTAAAGTCCCCATGAACCGGAAGCTGCGACCGTTATTCTTTCCGTATTGTGATGCAGGTTCTAGAGAAACAGAATATTAAATGACACAACAGTGGGCGTGGCTTGTTTTCTACTGCGAGCTGATTGGATGTAGTAAAGTACATTTAGAAAGTTGGGGGAAAGGGGTTTGGGGAGAGTTATTACAAGGTTGTTGCTATCAGATACATTTGTGGCCGGAAGTTAATGAGAATTATTTCTATTATTTATTAAATTTCCCATTTATTCTATTTATTAACATCTACCCCCACCCCAACCCTAAACCCAACCATCACAGTAACGTAAAAGCAGTAGTTATTCCGAGTATTATTTATGTTATCTATTAAATTAACTAGTAAATTGTTTTTTTTAACGCCTACTCCCACCCCAACCGTCACAGTACTGTAAAAATAATAATTATTGTTATACAGCGTCATAAAAAAATGCTGCTATATTAATGTGCATATCGCACTTCCCGCCGGCTGCATATCCGATCTAGACTTTACTTTATTACAACCTAGAATACTCCTCCTCCTCCTCCTGCTCACCATTTCTGTTTGTTGTCAAAAGGGTGTGGTTAAGTATGTTAGCCACGCCCACTACCTCAGACTTAATCTGAGAATTTAACTCAAAACAAACAGGAAGTGCATTTTTAGACTTCAATTTTAGATTACAAGGGCAAACTATTGTTGTTTTTTTCTTAATGACCTGCAGATGAATCGTTTTGCACAAAACTAGCAATGTGAGCTAACAAAATCAACATGGTTAGTTTTGATTTCACGGGGACTTCAAGAGTTGACAGAAGTATTTGTGGATTGTTCACCATTTGTAACTGCTCCAGAGGGTCCCGTGTGTTCGCTGGCATTCCTGCCGCACTTATACATGTGTCATAGACGTCGTTAATCCAAAGTTTCCTCCTGTAGTACTCACGACGCTCCTTTTCTTCAGGGTTGTTCTTTACTTCTTCTCGCTGTAAAACACAAGCATAGTTGGTAATTTTGACAACAAGAAATGTCCTGAAGACAGAGACGGTGACAACCTTTTTAACAACCCAGGCTCATTATTGAGACCTACCCCTGTATACATTTCTGGAGAGCGCCCAATACGTCACACGAAGTATGTTTTTTTTAGCAGTTTTTGTTTTTACGAATCCACCAGAAGCCGATGTGTATGCTTTTCGGGATTTAAAATTTCTCTTGCGAGTGTCATTCACGCCTGCTTTTTTCACGTAAATCCAACAGAGGCTGCTGTCGACTGACTGACCGACAGACCGACCGATACATCCTTCCACCCTCTTCCCTAAACCCAACCAATGATGTTTTCAAAAGTACATATTGACCCGCCCACTCCCTTCCCTAAACCCAACCAATAGTGTTTTCAAAAGCACGGATTGACCCGCCCACCACCTTACCTAAACCAAACCAATGATGTTTTCAAAAGCACATATTGACCCGCCCACCCCCTTCCCTAAACCCAACCAATAGTGTTTTCAAAAGCACGGATTGACCCGCCCACCACCTTCCCTAAACCCAATCAAAAGGGTGTTCAAAAGCACCGATTGTCACTACCTTCCCTAAACCCAACCAATAGTGTATTCAAAAGCACTGATTGACCCGCCCACTACCTTCCCTAAACCCAACCGACTGTGTTTCAAAAGCAATCCAGCAAAAGAAAAGACACCTGTTTTTACCATGTTTTCAGATCTTACCACATTCTCCCCCTGTTATTGACTTTTTATTATGCTATGGTTTTTGTTTTACCTACAGTAGGAATTGTTCTTCACCGGACTCAAACCCCATCGTCACAGTCAACTCCTCTCTGCATCTCAGGTCTACCAAGCCATTGTGCAAACTGGTTACAGCGGAAAAGTCATCCACAAGGAGGTAAGCAGTCAGCTGATAAGTGTGAAAAGAAACAGAAGCAGTCTGCGGCGTCATACCATCCTAAAGCGTTCATTTTAAAGACAAAATGCAGCCATGCGTACCTCTGGCTACATAATTCACACTCTCCAGAAATGTACACAGGGGTATGTTTTCAGAATGAGCCCGTGTTGAACAGAAATGATGAGTAGGAGGTGTCTGTTAGGTTGTTATAACCCTAATCTTTCTGAATGAAATGCCTACTTTACTACATCCAATCAGCTCGCAGTAGAAAAAAACAAGCCACTCCCACTGTTTTCTCATTTAATATTACATTCACTCTACTTCACACAACATAAATATGACACTTTTTAAATCAGAAATATCATAAAGCATTTTTAATTATATGTGTCTGGATGTTTTTACCAGTTTAGCGTTGCTGATGAGCAGATTCTCCAGCTCCTGTTCGTTCTCCTGCAGGAGGAAGAATATCCGATGGAACCTGGTTTCCTCTTCACCGAGTCTTTTTTTCATCTGCTGCATTTTTGCGAACTGCTGCTCTAAATTATCCCAAAGTTCCTTGTGGAAGTCGACAGATGAACGCGATCAAATGAGCAAAGCAGACAGAAAACAGCATAATACTTTAGATATAAAACAAGAAGAACATTTAATCTATAATGCACATTTCCTCATGCAGACATTTTTAAAGAAATTAAATATCTTAATGCAGACATAAGAGTGATCGGTCACTTTATTTTAAGGTAAAACTTCTGATATTAACAAACCATTAATTAAGACGTTTAGCTCATTAAAGTGCTAATTAGCTGCTTATTATTAATCATAGATATATACACTAAATATCGCATAGGGACCCTGAGCATGCGTCAATAGCGCCGCCACATTGGTACAGTGCTCCCAGGACAAGAGTCATTCAACCGCACTACTCAAGACAGTGTTATTACGTGAAGATGCGGGACTTTAGCGCTGTCTACGGGTGTAGTAACGAGCAAACAAAGAAAACAAAGCACAAAGGCAGAACATTTCATAGGTAATATTAAGTTTTTTGTATGTTCTGAACTTTTATGCTAAGCAGGTCACGTTATTGATGATAACAGTCACTTACTGCATTCACCATACGGCAAAGCAGCTCCAACTCGCACTAAACACTCGGCTTATGCTAGTTTTGTTGAATAAATTCAGCAAACAATGCAAAAGAAATATGACAACGAGATGCTGCGCTGCCAGAAACTTGTATTATTGTCGGCTAACGTTAGTAAAAGAGTTGTTCGGGGGATTCATTCACAAGCGAATCGCTCCCTCCGTCAGTATGAGAAGTGAAAGCAGGAGAGGAGGTGTGTTTCAGGACATGATTAGATTAAATTTAACAGGGAGGGTGAACAGTACATTTCTGTACACACAAACACAAGCTTTTTGTCAGGAATGCCCGTGCGGTCACTGATCCATCAATGTAGAAAAGTGATGTAAAATTATAATTTTCGTAATTAGAAAAAAAAAATACATACTAACATCCAGGAAAACTCCTGATCACAGATATATGTGTATATGTGTATATCTCTGGCTTTGGATGGCCACAGTCCTCCACTGTACCTTGGTGCCGCATTCATTTCAAAGGAGCGCTACCCTGTAGCAAGATGGCGGCGCTATTGACGCATTCCGTCCAATTGACAACAATAGGTCAGGCGACATCTAATGTATATATCTATGATTAATAATTATCAAAGGTGCAGTGTGTAAGTTTGACACCCAGTGGATGAACTAGGTATTGCACTCCTGGTTCGAAACGCTTGCAGGCGCAGGTTGCCAGACTGACGGCCAACAGGAACGAGCTTGACTATTGAGCCTAAAGGCTAATTTAAGTCATATTGTAAATAAAAGCAACAGTACGCTATAGAAGGAATATTTTCCATATTAAAAGGAGTTGTTGTTCTAACCAACACCTGAAATTAATATATTAGAAAGGGCTTCTATTTGCCACAGCTGAACAACAGGATAAATGACAACGATCAGCTCAGGTACAGCTCCTGTGCTTTATTCAGTGTAAATGCTAATAATGTGATTTTAAATGCCATTTTACATGACATTTACTAACATACTACTGAAAGCAGCAGCAGATAGTTCACCTCAGATCATGAAAAATAAAACAAACTGTTTGAAATTGAACTTTAGAACTGTGAATAAATGCAAATTAGCACATATCAGTGATTCAGCGTCTACATTTAATACTGTTAAAGAAGTTATTTAATAGTTAATTAATATGTATTAATTAGATTACAAGCCTTACCATTTCGCTGGAGTGCAGTGAGTGCACTATTCTGTGCTTCTGAATGGCTGTATTTAAACTTCTGTCGAGTTTCGTCTGGTGCAACCCGCGTAATTACTTATCACTGCAATTCTCGTCACATAGCGTGTTGTTAGGACACTGGGTTACAATGTAACCTGCTCACCTAATGTTTACGCTCGCAATATTTGTATTATTTGCTAATTATTAACCACCCCATGTGGAACTCTGAATCTGTGTCTCATTTTGGAGGCTGCTACAGTCCACCGGAGGTAACATTTCGGTCACGGACGCATGCTTTGAGAGCCTTCATGACTGAAATACGCGGTTTTCCAGCAAGGTAACCTACGGTGCTGAAATATAACTGGCTAAACTGGCAGTGGGCGGGTTAAAAGAATCATAGAGTAGCTCCTCCCTTTATAAAAAAAACAGCCAATAGCTTTTGGGTTTTCTCAAAGCTCTGCAACTGAGAGTGGTCGAGCTCAAGTGTATCAACTGAAAAGAAAATAAGAAGAAATGGGCGGGGCATGTCGGACACTAGAGAGCATTTGATTGGTCAGAAGAGGATGAGGTGATGTCTAAAAAATTATTTATTTAGATGGAAGTGACAAACTCCAGGATTTGGAGGTTTTTATCTTCTAAATGTGAATGTTGTTACTGTTTCGGAGCACACTAGCGTATAGACATCCTTAAAACAAACATACTGGATGCTAACATCTAAAGCTCCTTATAGTGCAAATTGGTAATTAAACTAAAGTGTCACTCGGTGATGAACCTTTATTGCTCACTTTTACTTGCGACGGATGACAGTCACATTTTGAAAATATCTCTATTAAAACATGACCAGAATAATAATCAAAAGGTGTGCTACTTCAGCTCAAATCGTGCAAACATAATCAATTTAGATGGGATTGGCTCTCGTGTGTCTCTGAAAGTCTCATTTCTTTTTTTTTTCTCCATATAATCACCTTTCTCAGAGCTTCTGCTGCTGTGCTCATGCTGAACTCAGCCATGTCAGGTTGCAGATCATCATAGTCCTCTTCTTCATCTCTGAAAGTTTCAATAATCTCTGAGTCAGTGGAGGTGATGGGTTGCCCCTTCACCCCATAATGCCCAATGTACCCTTGTGCCAAGGCAAAACATCCTTACAATTAAAGCTAGTCTAAATTTCACAGTTAAATTGTGTGTAATCACAACAAACAAAGGCAGTTTGATGGGACTCCTGCAGACATCATGTTGATAAGCTAATGTATTCACCACTTATTATTACGGTAATATGAAGCACAGTAAATTCACAGTCAAACTAGTGGCAATCTTCCCCATGTTTGCATAGGACGTGAGTCTTGTTTTTGAATCTGTCACTATGCTGACACACAGGCATCTGTAGCTCCGCCCTCTTCTGAAAAAGAGCACAATCTCATTTTAATTTAAAGTGACGGTCACCAAAATGACACAATTAGGATCAAAACATTAAAGCAGCGGTCACCAAACTTGTTTCTGGAGGGCCGGTATCCTGCAGATTTTAGCTCCAACCCTAATCAAACACACCTGAACAAGCTAATCAAGGTCTTACATGGTATACTTGATACATCCAGGCAGGTGTGTTGAGGCAAGTTGGACATAAAACCTGCAGGGACACCGGCCCTCCAGGAACAGGATTGGTGACCCCTGCATTAAAGGGTCAAGAGTTATAAAGCATCATTTGTGTGGTGTGTTGACCTGAAACTTCTCATACACACACTAGGGACATCAGAGACTTATTTTACATCTTGTAAAAAGGGGCATAATAGGCCCCCTTTACGTTGAAGTGAGTATTGTCAAGTGGATCCTTCAGGGATCCCTGTGCGAAGATCTCTGAAATGTCGACCAGTTGTACCCTTCAAAACCCATCATCCAGTTTTATGAAACACTTCAGTTTTGAACGACACTTAAATATGGCCACCACAATGGTTTCCACTCTGAAGTGCCCTTCTGAGGGTGATATAGCCTACTGTTTGCAACACACTGAGAATCCACCTCTGCACCTCTCTATGGTGTTCTTATTTTACAAAAATGGGTGAATTGGATGAACTAAACTGGCCATAGTGTGTGTGTGTATGAGAATGTGAGTGTGTATGGGTTTTTTACAATACTGGGTTGCATCTAGAAGGACATCCACTGTGTAAAACATATGCTGGATAAGTTGGCAGTTCATTCCACTGTGGCTACCCCTGATGAATAAATGTACTAAGCTGAAGGAAAATGAATGAATGAATGAATGAATGAATGAATGAACGTAAAGTCACGTGCAACAGCTGCTGGTCTAACCCCGTGAATGCAATAAAAACTCAGTCTAAACATGCATGACAATAGCATTTACAGATACATTGCAAATGTTTAATTTGAGGTATAATCCATAAAGTTTAATGATCTAATAGCATACATTTTAAGCATCTGCATAATGTGCATTATTCTCTCAATTATCAGACCTTGTTTTTGTTTGTTAAATTAGACTCTGCTAAAAAGGGCATTCCTTTTATTTTACAAATGTCTTCATATAGCTATCTTTACTGCTTGCAATGTTATTTTTTATATTATTATCATTATTTTCATCTATTATTTCATAATTTATTTGAGAATAATTATCACTAGTAAAATGAGTTATACAGATTTCATCATCCTCCGAAATAAATTGATTAACCCTATCAATTAATATTATAGTATAGTTATCATTCACACACGTCAACGATAATAACCTCCGAAAGCGGATCTGTAATGGCGGCACATTAACTTGCTGCATAAAAGTTTGAGGAGGAATAAAGCATAGGCTACTTACTGTAGCATTTGTTTTTTGAAATCTGCAATAAAATCGTCCAGATAGTGGGCCATTTTCACCGAAGCAGGATCTGCGTTCACTACTGTCAACAAACTGCGCGTCTTTTAAAACCTGCAGGGCCCAAAAGACGTTCAGTCGGTAGACAGGATACAGCTGCGGATACGCACATCAATATAGCATCTTTTTTATAACACTGTATAACAATAATTAATATTTTAACAGTACTGTGACGGGTGGGTTTAGGCTTGGGATGGGGGTAGACGTTAATAAAATACAATAAATGGGAAATTTAATAAATAATATAAATAATTCCTATCTAGAGTTTACCCCAAAAAAGACGTTCAATCTACTGTGGTGTTGATACAATTTTATTATTATTTTTATTATTTTATTTAAAGTATTTGTTTTTGTATTATTACGTTAATACTTGCATGATTAATAAGTGTATAATACTATTGTTATTGATGTAAAATGTGAGTGTGCAAAGACATTTTAATAGTTTCTTTCTTGTTTTTTTTCTTGTTGTTCCTCGCTTAAGATCATACTAAATATATTTATTTAGGAAATAGTTTCAGAAGTGTGTTTCTGAACATGAAATAGATTTTGTATGCATATTTTTTTAGGCTATATAACGTATATTTATTTTTGAGTATAGGCGAAATATATTATACAACTTTATTACAAATGTTGCTTCAGCTAATAAAACCTAAATGTTTTTCTTTGTAAATGGACAGTTCAAAAGATGAGATAAAATAAGATTACAAGAAAACGGTCATTATAAAATGATAATGACGGGCAGGATACAGTTTATTAATTATTTAGCAATTATTTTTTCTAGATTTTATTAATTTATTATTTATTTAATGTAAACATTAAATTTATTATGTATTTATATTTCTTTACCATTAAATGAAATCTCTTTTACTTCATGGGTTAGTAAATAACGTCCATACGGTCCATACATAGCCCCGCGACTGTGTCATGTGAGACGTTGCCGAAAGGGATGTTTGTCCCCAGCAGAGGCCGCCATTTGCAAACAAACCACGCAACAAACTCCTCCTTCTGCATTTGACGCAATGTGAAGGGGAAATGCTTTAATTTCCGAGGCGTTTCCGTTACTCTAAACATCTGCGCTAAATGTGCTGTCGTCACAGGGCAGAAATGATGTGTGTTCACCGACTGAGGATCAGAACCGGACTGTGACTCGTGGAAAACGGTCAGATTGAGCTCAAGGACACCGCTGCACATTCACGGTAACCGGTAGCGTTATGTGCTGCTGGAGTTATGATGCATTTAACTGCCATTTCTGTCACGTCTGTCTTCTGAGGAAGTGTGTGTGTGTGTGTGTGTGTGTGTGTGTGTGTGTGTGTGTGTGTGTGTGTGTGTGTGTGTGTGTGTGTGTGTGTGTGTGTGTGTGTGTGTGTGTGTGCTGCTTTACAGTATATTTGAATAGTAATGTGTCTTGAGTGTTTGTTTATTTCTGTAACCAACGACTCTCAGATATGTAAACATTGATTTAGTTGGTTTTATATTCGCACATTCGTTCATTTCGTTCAACTTGTGACAAAAGTCTTGTTGTCTATTCAAGTTTTAGAAACAAAAAAATAATAACTTGACAGTTAGTTGATCATTTGGTATCAGAAGTGGCTTATATGCAAGGCAAAGGCGTCTAGTTTACCAATATATGATATGATCATGCCTTGATTTTTAATTAGACAAAAGTCTCATCACTGAACAGAAATAATGTCCAGTATAGAATATAAAGTCCTGCTGCAGTGGAGACAGAATGAATATTGTGTCTGACTCCATCATGAGCTTGGAGGACTGCATCCATACATCTCTGCACTGAGTCAAATCACTGATTAATAAAGTCATCTGGAATGGCAAAGAAAGCGTTCCTGCAGGACTCCCAGAGCTCATCAAGATCCTTTGGATTCATCTTCAACGCCTCCTCCATCATCTTACCCCAGACATGCTCAATAATGTTCATGTCTGGTGACTGGGCTGGCCAATCCTGGAGCACCTTGACCTTCTTTGCTTTCAGGAGCTTTGATGTGGAGGCTGAAGTATGAGGAGCGCTATCCTGCTGGAGAATTGTCCCTCTCCTGTGGTTTGTAATGTAATGGGCAGCACAAATGTCTTGAAACCTCAGACTGTTGATGTTGATCATCCTCTCTGCAGATCTCCCCATACTGCATGTAACCCCAAACCATGATTTCTCCTTCACCAAACTTGACTGATATCTGTGTGAATCTTGGTTCCAGTAGGTCTTCTGCAGTATTAGTGATGATTGGGATACAGTCCAACAGATGATTCATTAGAAAAATCTACCTTCTGACACTTTTCTAAATGATCAACTAGAAGTCAAGATATTATTTGTTGCTCTTACAACAAGACTTTTGTCAGATAGTGTATATTGTTTATTACACTACTTTGAATCTTTGAGTCTGAAATTGCATGTAAATATGACTTCAAAACAACATTAGCTCTATTTAATTAACTTTAAACAATTACTTTGATAGTCATTGGATGATAATATGATTTCATTACTGTTCTGAAATAATATTATAAAGGGGAAACCCAATAACGTTGTAATATTCTATGTCAGATGAAAAATATTCTGTAGAACTTTTCAATTTCTGTCAAAATACATCCTAGTATTCTTGATGCTGCTGATATTTCGCTATGTAAATGGGCTTCCGTGGATCTGATACATTTGCATGTGTTTTTGCATTTATTTGCACCATATCCATTATCTGATTTCAAGGTTGAAGCTATAACATGCAGGTTATACTCACTGTTGAAATTCACCTTATATTACATGTGTCTGCATTGTTTTTCTCCAGCACCGAATTTAGATTTTTGCAGCTTAAAGTTTTGCAGCTGTACTCAGAATATAATTTCTAGTAATTTCTGGTAAACTTAATTTTTATAAATCCTTTTTTTTTGGTAATCGTGCTGCACAAAAATATATCTGAGAATGATTCAAATTGGGTTATCTGTTTACATACATGCATACATACATGCATAATGCATTACAGTATTAAGTTACTCCCTCCAAAAAAGTAACTAGCGTTACTTAGTTACTTTTTATGGTAAGTAATGTGTTATGTTACTTTTGCATTACTTTTTCTTACTTTCCATGAGGCTTGATATCTTTCAGAACTTGCAGGTAAAATTTTTTTTCTTCCTTTTTAAATGGAGGAACTCTTCAATTAACAACGCACCATATAACCTTCATTTAGCAGTGTTGGGGAGAGTTACTTTTAAAAGTAATCCATTACAATATTAAGTTACTCTCCAAAAAAGTAACTAGTTTCATTACTTAGTTACTTTTTATGGAAAGTAATGCATTGTGTTACTTTTTATCTCTTCCCTTACTTCATCTCTTCCATTTCTGTAAAAGAGGAGCTCTGGAATTAACAGCGCACCATATACTGTAACCTTCATTTGCCAGTGTTAGGGAAAGTTACTTTTAAAAGTAATCCATTACAATATTAAGTTACTCTCCAAAAAAGTAACTAGTTTCATTACTTAGTTACTTTTTATCGAAAGTAATGCGTTAGGTTACTTTTTATCTCTTCCCTTACTTCATCTCTTCCTTTTCTGTAAAAGAGGAGCTCTGGAATTAACAGCGCACCATATAACCTTCATTTGCCAGTGTTAGGGAAAGTTACTTTTAAAAGTAATCCATTGCAATATCAAGTTACTCTCCAAAAAAGTAACTAGTTTTGTTACTTAGTTACTTTTTATGAAAGTAATGTTACATCACTTTTTAAAGTTACTTTTATATCTCTTCCCTTAATTTCTTTCTTTTCTATGAAAGCGGAGCTCTGCAGTTAACAACACACTGTATAAACTCCATTTACCAGTGTTGGGGAAAGTTACTTTTAAAAGTAATGCATTAGAGTATTGAGTTACTCTCTACTAGTTACTTTTTATAGAAAGTAATGCGTTTTTTTGAGTTAATTTTAATCTCTTTCCTTACTTTATCGCTTCCTTTTCTATATTCTTTTTTTTAATGAAGCTTTGCAATTAACAATGCACTGTATAACCTTCATTACCTTTAAAAAAATGTATACATGCCATATATATTATACCTATAGTTTTACATATAGTATATATAGATATGCATGCCGTATATACAGATTAATGAAAGTTTAAAGCAATGTGTTTACTGCTTAGGTGCTTTTTGTCTTGGTGGTTACGTAAACGTTTTTTCTTTTCTTCGATGCGATCAAAATAATGAACGCATTCTGTCATCGAGTGCGAGGTTCAGCAATTTACTTTTTAAACGCTAATCAATTAAAATAAAAGTAATTCGCATTACATTTTTAAAAAAGTAACTACATTATGACATGTGGATCCGAGAAATTTTTAGTTACATAAAACTTGAAAAATTAAGATGTTTACTTGCAGGATCTCTCAAATCTTTTTACAAGACCTGGAACCCTGTTTTAGACTATATCAAAGGCTTACCTTGTTTAGTTGATATCAGATCTAATAAACAGTAATTAATTGAAAAGAGAAAATATTGACTCCTTAATGTGAACTTTTAATTACTATTTTTTTCAATTGTTATTATTATAATTTTATTTATTTTATTTTTTTATTTTTTTATTTATTTTGCTTGTATCGTAAACTTGCTCATTTATTATTATACTGTTTAACAATTTCTTTTAATTCTTGTATTTTATTTATAATTATTTTGTTTAGAGGATATGTTTGTTTATAATTCATACATTTGAACTTATTTTATTTTAAGGGGATAGTGGGAAAATAAGGAAAATAAGACACTGTGTAATTTTTCCTTTATTGTATTGTATACTATGATGTATTGTCTTGTTAATCCCAATAAAAAAAATAAATAAATAAATAAATAAAAAAAGAATAATAAATGACAAAAAAAAAAGTAACTACATTATTATTACATAATTTTTAAAAAAGTAATGCATTACTTTTCTCGTTACTTACAAAAGTAATAATATCACATAACTTGCATTACCCCAACTTTTTTATCTATCTATCTATCTATCTATCTATCTATCTATCTATCTATCTATCTATCTATCTATCTATCTATCTATCTATCTATCTATCTATCTATCTATCTATCTATCTATCTATCTATCTATCTATCTATCTATCTATCCTTTCATCCATGTCTATCTATCAATTCATTCATCCATCCATCCATCCATCTATCTGCATCCATTCATTCATCTGTCCATCATTCCATCCATCTGTCTATTTTTCCATCCATCCATCCATCTATCTGTCTATCTATCCATCTATCTGCATCCATCTGTCCATCCATCCATCCCTCCATCCATCCATCCATCCATCCATCCATCCATCCATCCATTTATCTGTCTATCTATCCATCTATCTGCATCCATCTGTCATCCATCCATCCATCCATCCATCCATCCATCCATCCATCCATTCATCCATTTTCCCATTTATTCCTAAATATCTATATAGGCATGGCGTTCAAGATCGTGTCTGTCTGTCAGTGTTCTTGGTCTTTAAACATTTGTCCTCGTTAGTTAATTAGTTTTTTTAGGTTGTAATATTTCTGCACATTGACCTGATTTTCTCTTGACCTATTTGCATGTGTTGAAACGTTAAAGTGACGTAATTCTTAAAAAAAAAACATCAACATTAACACTACATGACCTCATTTGTTGTGTGTGTTTGTCAGGCTGCAGGTATGGCAGATTTGCTGCGATGTCTCCTGAACGTGGCTGAAAAAGCCGCCAATGTGGCCCGGGTCTGTCGGCAGGAGGCCCCGCTGTTTGAGCTCCTCGTACAGGAAAAGACCGGAGCAGACAAAAACAAGAAATTCGTCCAGGACTTTAAGACGCTTGCTGATGTGGTGATCCAGGAAATGATTCGCCATGATGTTTGTGCTCAGGTTATCTCTCAGTTTTCACTCAGATCTATATATTTATTTAATTAAAACTGACTGAGGGCTGAACATTTTCCATTCTTGCGTTATAGTTTCCAGAGCTGACTGGCTTTATTCAGGGAGAGGAATCCAACAAGTTTGAAAATGGACTTGGTGAGTTACACTGATAAGCTTTGATTTGGGCTGCATTTCAATAGATTTCTGTATGCAAATTAGGCAATCATATTCAAATGTTCACCACACTTATGCCGATTGTGACCCTGGATCACATAACCAGTTTTAAGGGTCAAATTTATGAATTTGAAATGTATTAATTAAACAAAATAATCTTTTAATTGACGTATGGTTTGTTATGATAGGACAGCATTCAGCCGACATACAGTTATTTAATTATTTTAATTATTTAATTATTTTATTTTTGACTGTTAAAAAAATCTCAGTGCTTAATTTGTAAATGAGTAATTCCTGGAACAATCAGGGAATAAAAGTTACCGTGACCATCGTCCTCCAAACAATTTCAGTTTTTCCCGGAACATGACTTCATTAAACGGTGATCGCTCAAAAAAGAGCATCACATTTCTGAATGGTCTTTAATTATTTTGTACCATATAACATTATAGGTCAGTCATGGATAATAAAAACATGACGTCGTCTCACACACAAAATTCACACAACCTTCGCTTTCACTCATTCACATTCTGTCTCTTAAGCCTCCTTTCCACTGCACATGTCAAGCGACAGACCGGAAGTAATTCATTTCCAATGGACAGCAATCCGATAGCTACATTGAGTTTCGATCATCTCCGTATGCGGAAAATTCGGATCCGAATTGAGCTGCAGATCCGTTGAAATATTTGAACTCCTGCGACTAGACCATATGCGACCTGCCGACTGGATATGATGCATTCCAGTGTTGTCCAAGCAGGTCCGTGCGCGCGAGATGAGAAATAGGAGTTTATTTGGTTATTTTTTTAATTATAAAAAGTCTATATTAAAAAATAAACTTTTCTGTTCATAAATGTAAGTAAGAAAGTAATAAAACTATTTATTTTTAATGTTGTCTCCACATTCCCTCCAATATTTTAGCGGTCTATGAGTTTCTAGTTTTCATTCCTCTATTAAACCATGTAAACGCACAGAGAAAATGTCCAAATGTCGTGTGCAGTGGAAAGGCGGCTTTAGGCCCCGTTAAATTTGACCCAATTCCGTTTTTTTTGCTCATATGCACCGCTCACTCTCCGCCTCTTTGCCCTTGTTTGGTATCCCGCAGTGGGTGTGATGACCCGCGAACAAAATAGCGACGGTTGGCCGGGCCTACTTGTGGCTTCTTTTGCACTCTTCAGAAACCTATGGGTGACGTCACGCATACTACGTCCATATAATTTACAGTCTATGATCATACTTGGCTAAACCATGAGTGCTACAATGTATGGCTACTGCCAAAACTATGCCTGTGACATCTAACATTAAACCATCTAATATATGGAAGATTGTGTATTTGTACTTAAGCTGCCTTGTGGTCTATATTTCTGCTCATGGCAGATGTTGTATTTGATGACTTTTGGACAAGCAGAATGTGATATAACTGAGCAAACATTACATCTGGTTAAAGGTTAAACATATATTTATCTGGATGATTCAGAGTTTTTTTTAGTACTGTAGCAGCGTCATCCTTTTAGCATCGGTACAAGAAATAAAGGAGTCATTCACTCATTTTCCTTCAGCTTAGTCTAGTATTCCAGCATATGTTTTTCACAGTGGATGCCCTTCCAGCCAACACCCACATACACTATGGCCAATTTAGTTTATTCAATTCATCTATAGCGCATGTGTTTGGACTGTGGGGGAATCCGGAGCACCCGGAGGAAACCCACGCCAACACAGAGAAAACATGCAAACTCCACACAGAAACACCAACTGGCCTGGCTGAGACTCGAACCAGCTACCTTCTTTCTGTAAATCGACAGTGCTAATCACGGAGTCGCCGTGCTGCTCTTAAAGGAGTCATGTTATTTTAGAAAACTAAAATTGGACGAGTACCAAGCCCAGAGGCACTCCCTGTAAGAATGCATTGTGCAGAATATGAAATTACACATTTGCAATGCCCTAATTACACTGTATTTAAACAACTGGATCACAGGCTGTAGCCTGGTTTTACTATGGTCGCTTATGCCAGGGTGTGATTCAGAGTTATGCAAATGATTTTAAAATCAGATGGGATGATATCCGTGGTTCGGTTTTGGCAGTGTACCTCATAGGCAAATGTTTGCACATTAATAGGAAAAAGTTGTAAGTATCATTAAGGAGTATTTTACGAGAATATTGATTTTACTGGAGAAGTATTTCTGAGGATGTTTGAAAACAACAGTTTTCAGAAACATTCGTTTGGTTATCAAAACCTTCATAATAAAATTTATGCTTAATTTACAAAAATACATAGAAGCAGTTGAAATATTGTACGCAAGTAGCATATACACTAAGTTGGCAGCCTTATAGTCATATATTTCATGCATTACATCATTTTTGATTACACTTCTTGGTCATAAAGGCACAGATTTCGAGTTAGTTGATGTATAATTCATATAAATGGAGTCATCTGACTGTAGCTTGTGTGTGTTTGATTTAGGGGAGAGTGTTACTGTGACTGTATGCGCTCAGCAAGAAGACACGACTGCTCTGCTGGCTAAAGTTCTGGATGGAGATCAGACCGCTGCGTCTCTCCTGTCTGAAGTGATCCACCAGGACCTCCAGCTTCAAGATCAGACAGCGGAATCCCTGCAGATCTCCATCAGCCCTGCCGACGTGGGCATCTGGATTGATCCCATCGGTATAGAGCTTGTTGTTTTGAATCGACCTTTTAACTTGCTGACTAATTTCCTTCAAACCATGAATAATATATAGATGAATAATAATTGTTCACTTTGATATTTGCATTCACTTGTGCTCATTTAGGCTCTTTTTTTATATGAGGTGCCATGTAGGATTTACAGCGGGGTAAATAAGTATTGAAAATGTGAACATTTTTCTCGGGAAAACGTATTTCTAAAGGTGCCGTTGACTTGAAATTTTACCCAGATGTTGGTAAAAACCAAAGAAATCCATATATGCAAAGAAGACAAATCTAATTGATGTACAAATGAAGTTCTGCCTAATAAAATGAAATGACGCAGGGGAAAAAGTATTGAACACATGAAGAAAGGGAGGTGTAGTTTGGCAGTGAAAGCCCAGACAGCAGCTGAAATCTCTCAGTAGTTCTTCAGCAAGCCTCTGCCCTTCCTCAGTGTAAATGAAGATCAGCTGCTTCAGTCCAACATCTACATTAGCAGGAGGATGAAGATGAACCCAGGGTGGACATTTCAGCAGGACAATGATCCAAAACACAGTCAAGAGACTCTCAAATGCTTTCAGAGAAAGAAAATCAAACTATGGAATGGCCTAGCCAATCACCTGACTTGAATCCAATAGAGCATTCAAAATAAAGCTCAGATTTGATAGATGACACCCACAGAACCATCAAGATTTTGACACTCTGTTGAAGTCTGTGAGAAACTCACACCTGAGCAATGCATGTGATTTCAGAAGACAACGATGATGTCTATAAATTTCAATTGGAGGGGAAAATGGGTTAATTTTGTCCACGTTAGAGGAAGAGACTCGAAATATTACACTCCTACTTGGTTAATGTAAGTTTCAGTGCACTCATAAATATTCATGAGACCGTGTGTCCTCATCCAATGAGAAGCAGCGTGGGAGAGACAGTTTACAAAGATGCACTGCAAGTGTTGAAATGCGGGAGGTTTGGTGACACTTTAAGTGAGATTGTAGATTGTAAGTGTGTAGGTGTCTCATTGTTCAGTAGTTGCAAAACTTGTTGCTTAAGTATGAAACTATGTGAAAAAGGTCAAATGAAACATGAGAGGAGGAACTGCGGCTGAAGTGTCACTGTAAATCGTTTTTGTTGTGATGTATTGTCACAGAAATGAGTACGATAAGTGATGCTATTGTTGTTTTTTAGGGCATGTTATGCCACTTATTATATCATATACACAGTGCTCAGCATAAATTAGATGTTTAAAGTCTTGTAGCGTGAACTAGGATGGAAATCTATGGGATGGAAAAAATCTTAGACATGTGTTTGAAGTGTCAGAGAATGTATCTGTTACCATCAAATGTTTGATGAGGAATGAGAAAAGTTTAGAAAAGAATTCTGTGAGATATGAGGAAGAGGTTTATAAATGCCTTCAGGTTGGTGAGCATAAAAGTCCTCAACAAAAATATTCTGGTAACATTTTACAGTAAGGTCCCATTAGTTATGAACTAGAATGAACAAATAGTTATCTCCGTCTAATCATCCATCCACCCACCCACCCACCCACAGTGGGGGAAATAAGTATTGAACACGTCACTTTTTTTCTCAAAAAAACATATTTCTAAAGGTGTTGTAGACTTGAAGTTTTCTCCGGATGTTGGTAACAACCAAATGCGTAATAAAAATGAAGTGTCACAGGTAAAAAGTATTGAACACATGAAGAAAGGGAGGCGTAGTTCAGCAGTGAAAGTCCAGACAGCAGCTGAAATCTCTCAGTAGTTCTTCAACCTTCAGTGTAAATGAACATCAGCTGCTTCATCAACATCTACATTAGCAGGAGGATGAAGATGAAACCAGGGTGGACATTTCAGCAAGACAATGATCCAAAACACAGCCAAGAGACTCTCAAATGCTTTCAGAGAAAGAAAATCAAGCTGTAGAATGGCCTAGCCAATCACCTGAGCTGAATCCAATAGAGAATACAGAATAAAGCTCAGATTTGATAGACGAGACCCACAGAAGCATCAATTTTTAGGCCCTGTTTACACTAATGTGTTTTAGTTTTAAAACGTAAAAGTTGTGCTACGGTTACACCATCCGTGCACACTACGCCAGAGTTTTTGAGCGCCGAAAACGGAACATTCTGGAAACGCTGGAGAGGTTGTTTTCATTCTGAAACGCTGCTGCTCCGTCTCAGTGTGGATGGGGGAAAACGGAGACATCTGAAAATGGAGGCGGGACTGCTGAGATTCGCTACCTGATTGGGACTTTTGTGTCATTGCGTATCCTTCCCTTATTCGTCAAGCCCCTATCACATGACTATAACACATGACTTAAACGCTACCGGAAGACCGTAGACCAGCCTTCCCTGTAAACAACAACATGGACACAGAAATGGGAGCGTTGTTTGCACTATTGTCTGTTTTAGGTGCCATTGTGCAGTTATTCATTTATTACGTTTAGAAACAACTCAACCTCGTCGTCTGTCCACAAAAATACCTCTCTTGCTTTCTTTGCCATCGCGTTCATTGTTCAACCGGCGTTTGTTGACTAACAATAACCAAATGCCGAGCAAAGACATGCTTCCTGTTTATACTAGAAAGCGCATGCCCAGAGTGCGCCATTGGTCACGTGATATATGTTTTTGGTGGCGTAGTGTGGACAGAGATATGTTCAGAAACGCTAGGTGAAATGCTAGTGTGGACGCGGATCGTTTTTGATCTAAAAAGCAGTTTTAAAACTAAAACGCACTAGTGTAAACGAGGCCTTAGACACTCTGTTGAAGTCTGTGAGAAACTCACACCTGAGTAATGCATGTGACTTCATTCTCTATATCAGAGGCATCTTTAAGTGGTGTTAAACCTTTTATGGGTTTTCTTTTTCTGTCGAACAAAATTAAAAAAAAGAAGATATTTTGAAAAATGTTAGAAACCTGTATCCATTGACTTTCCATTTACTATGGAAGTTAATGGTTACAGGTCTCCAGCATTATTCAAACCATCTTCTTTTGTGTTCGACAGAAGAAAGAAACTCATAAAGGTTTTGGAACAAGTAAAGAGTGAGTAAATGATCACAAAATTATCAGTTTTTGGTGAACTGGCCTTTTAAGAGTTGTTGTTTTGAAACAAGGCTGCTTATAAAGCACAAAGTACACGCAGAACAAAACCCAATTCTCCATGAGAATTTAGTTTTGACCTTATTATTTTGTGTGTTTTATTGGTTGTATTCTTTGGGCAGATGGGACAAGCCAGTACATTGAAGGAAAAGAGGAAGAGGAGCCAGATGAAGGGTTTTGCGTGTCCGGACTGCCCTGCGCTTTGGTTCTGGTTGGAGTTTACTTGCGAGCCACTGGTCAGCCAGTTATGGGTGTCATAAACCAGCCATTCAACCGCAAAGACTCCACAGGGAAACGGTAAGAATGCTACTTTAGCATGAAATTATAAACCAGGAGTTTTAACTGACAAGACTTCAAAACACTAGATGTTTTATTTGTTGTTAACTGAGTTTTTATGCTTTTTCATTTGTTTGATTTCAGTCGAATTTTGTTTTATTTTTTATTTTATTTTGGATAGACACAAATGATAAACAGCACAAATTAATTTACCCGGCTTTTTATGCACAAGGGTGACATTTATTTTGACCCCAACTGTCTATATGGGGGGAAACAAAATATACATTGTTCGTGACCTTTATAAAGACGTTCTCAGTGTGGTTTAAAAATTTTGGTCTTAAGACACACAGAACAAAATGAAAAACTAAGAATTGAGAAAACGTAAATATTAAATATATTAACTATAAATACATAACCCTAAAAAATGTGGTCCTTTAAGTGCCCTCTAATCTTGCAACTCTAGTATAATGCCTGGCTACAATCATTGTGTTTTAGACTATTAGTCCACACTTACTAATATACTGTAGATTGAAGGGACGGTTCACTCAAAAATGCAAATTGTAGCATTTACTCAACCGTAATTTATGTAAACCATTTATCAGGAGTTTAAACTGACAAGACTTTAAAACACTAGATATACTGTTTGTTGTTAACTGAGTAACTGAAGCACTAGCTGTAAAGGCTCCGCCCTCTTCTAGAAGTGGAAGCAGCAGCTAATTTGCATTTAAAGAAACACATGAAATCAGTGTCGAGTGTTTTATGCTTTATCAGTTGTTTGATTTCAGTGGAATGTTTATTTTATTATTTTATTTTGTTTTGGGAAGACAAACAAGATGTAGAATACAAATTAATTTACCCTACTTTTTTTGCTCTACTTTAAGGACACAAGGTTGCCATTAATTTTGACCACAACTTTCTGTATGGGGAAAATAAATGGTCAATGTTGCTATACATTGTTTGCCTTTAAAAATGGCTTTCTCAGTGTGCTATAGTAACTATGGTCTTATTTAAGTCACACACAGAGCAAATAAATGAGAGCAAATATCACACACAGAGCTAAAAAAAACAAAGCAAATATTAAATATGTTAACTATAAAAATATAAACCTAAAAATTGCATCCCTACCACAATTTTTAATTGCCCCAATCATGCAAATCTAGTACTGCACCTAACTAAAATCATTGAGTTATCGACTATTAATCATCTTTTACTCAAATACTTTCGATTTAAAAGGATGGTTCCCCCAAAATTGTGAATTCTGACATCATTTACCCAATATTAACTTGTTATATAAACCATATACTTGATGTATAAACCATATATCATGAGTTAAACTGACAAGACTTTAAAACACTAGATGTTTATTTGTTTTTGACAGACTAACCGAAGCACTAGCTGTAAAGGCTCCGCCCTCTTCTAGAAAAAGGGGTGGGAGCAGCAGCTAATTTGAATTTAAAGAGAGACACATGAAATCAGTGCTCTTTTTTTTAATTTTTGTATATGATTGGAGGATTATCATTCTAAGGTGTGCAATTGTTTACAGATAAATGCACAGCTAAAGTAGTTCCGGCAGATTTTAAGCACAATTAAATATTGCTACACTGAATGAATTCAGTTATTTCACAGTCAAACGTGACATTAAAACTAAACAGAAGGTGGGTAACGTGTTCAAAACCAATTGCGTTTTTTTTTTTCTTCTTCTGTTGAACACAAAAGAAGATATTTTGAAGAATGTTGGAACACCTATAACCACAGACATCCAAATTATTTGCAAGTCAATGGATAAATATTATCAACATTTTTCAAAACATCTTCTTTCATATTTGACTGAGTTCTCCCTTTAAATTGTAACTGCATTAAACGATGTGTTGATTTCATAGATGGAAAGGCCAGTACGTGTGGGGTGTTTCGTATGAAGATGTGAACGTATGTTCGCTCACACAACGCAGACAGTCACTGGCACAGAAGAGCGAACACCTATCCGTATTATTGAGCTCCAGTGAGCGGCGCGAGGTGAAGGACGCGCTCGCGGCGCTCTCCAACGGCTCGCTAATGTTCGCATCCGGCGCCGGATACAAAATCCTGTGTGTTTTGCAGGGTCTAGCAGATGTGTATGTGTTATCTGAGGGAAGCACCTTTAAATGGGACTCGTGCGCTCCTCATGCCATTCTGCGGGCTCTGGGTGGTGGAGTTTCTGATTTGAGCGCATGTATGCAGGCTAAAAACACTGGGTACGCCACTGAAATCACATACCATCAGCCCTCAGGGGACCATCAGAGTCACGGTGTGGATCGGTGGGCCAATCAGGGGGGAATAATCGCATATCTGGACTCCAGCATCATTGAGAAAGTCATAGCGGTGCTTGCTGGAAAGATCTGACTAATATATGAAGTGCTTATCCATGTTTGGAACTAAACAATCACACAGTAGGGTTTTATTAGTGAAGTAAGAGATAAACTACATCCAGGAGGTTGTTACAAGGGTTTATTCTGTGAGAACAACCGTCTGGATGTACTTTATGTTGCTTGATACATTGATATAAAATATACAAACCACACACAAAACATTGTTCAAAGCTGTAATAGTTTATTAGTTCTTTAATTCAATGCAAAACTGACTGAATTGTAAACAGCTGATGGAGTATACACTAACCTGTGCATCATTCAGCCACAGGATGGCGCCAAACTGCAAAGCTGACAAACACGAAGCCATTTAAATGAAGTTTACTATACAATCACTGTATTTGTGATCATGTATCCATGGTTAGTAGAAGGGATTTCATTTCATATACATTATAAGTTGTAATTATTCCAAACTCATGATGGATAGTATGTTTAGTTTTATGCTATATTTGATCTTCTTTATGATGATAGTTTTATTTTATGATTTATCAGCATATTCAAGTTTTAAATTAAGGCTATAGCGTATTAGAACAAAATCATAATGCTTATCTGCAATGTTTAGTTGGGTAAATAAGTATTGAACACGTCACCATTTTTCCCAGAAAACACATTTCTAAAGGTGCCGTTGGCTTGAAATTTTCCTAGATGCTGGTAACAACCAAAGAAATCCATATATGCAAAGAAAACAAATCTAATTAGTTTACAAATGAAGTTATGCGTAATAAAATGAAATGACGCAGGGGAAAAAGTGTTGAACACATGAAGAAAGGAAGGTGTGATTCGGCAGTGAAAGCCCAGACAGCAGCTGAAATCTCTCAGTGGTTCTTCAGCAAGCGTCTGCCCTTCCTCAGTGTAAATGAACATCAGCTGCTTCATCAACATCTACATCAGCAGGAGGATGAAGATGAAACCAGAGTGGACATTTCAGCAAGACAATGATCCAAAACACAGCCAAGAGACTCTCAAATGCTTTCAGAGAAAGAAAATCAAGCTGTAGAATGGCCCAGCCAATCACCTGAGCTGAATCCTATAGAGAATACAGAAGAAAGCTCAGATTTGATAGACGAGACCCACAGAAGCATCAAGATTTATACACTCTGTTGAAGTCTGTGAGAAACTCACACCTGAGCAATGCATGTGGCTTCATTCTCCACATCAGAGGCGTCTTTAGGTTGCCATCAATGAATTTGATATAAAGTATTAAACACATTTCAGTAGTTCAGCACTGCTTTCTCCTGTCATTTCATTCTTATTACACACAACTCTTTTGTTTTTGTTCAGTTTTAGTTTTATGTTTGTATTATTTGGGTTTTACTAAAATCTGCTTCAATTTAATGTCAACAGCTCCTTCAGAAATATTATTCCCAGGATAAAACCTGACAGCCCCTTTCACACAGTGATACCGGTAAATATTCGGAAAATTTACTGAACGACTTTACCGGTATATTCAAAAAAGCGCTGTTCACACAGGCGAGGACGTTACGGAATTTTTCCGGAAAAGAGCATTCACACATCCATTCCAAAATAGCGGTAAATTCTGACATCATTCACCACAAATGAGCTTTAAACGGCTGCGCTTGTATTTGTAAACATTTGACTAAATTACAAACTCTTTTGATGACCAGTATTGTAAACAACGTTCACAGGATCATATTCGCATGTCGAGATGTTCATAATATGTGCGTGTGCAGGCGCTCACAGGCTGTTTCATGGGCACACGCAAAGCTTGAAGGTAAACAAACAACGGCTTATCATAAGCATCTTATCGATGATTATTTACACAGTTGGCATTAAGAAGAACATATAAACGTGATCTGACTAACTTCTAGCAGCTAAATGTGTCTGGAAAAATATTCAAAGGCTTTTATTCTCACAAACCGCGCGGACGTAAATGCGTCTGACTGTTGTGATTGGCTAAAGCAGAAGTCTTACGTCAGCACGTTCTAGACGTGAACGCGCTTATTCCGGAAATCTTTCTTCTGCGTTCACGCAGCGCAGCATTCCGGCAAATTGCCGGTAATGTTACAACTTCTCTTTCCGGAAAATAGCCAGAACGAATTTACCGGTATTTTCAAAAAGGACCTGTTCACACATACAACCTTTCCGGAAAATTACCGGCAATTTTCCGGAAAGGTCTGTATGTGTGAAAGGGGCTTATATGTTTTTAATTAGTTTGATTTTGTGTCATCCTCGTGATGTGAATGTCCTGATGAAGTGAAGTGTTACTGAAGGAAAGCAGGATTATCACACACACACACACACACACACACACACACACATGAAGATTCATGGCCTTTTATGGTGTTTTGTAATATTTGACAGTAAGAAGTGAGTCCTGAGAGTGAAAACAGCGGAAACACATCTGACCTGCTGCAGGTTTCACCTCTTATTCTGAAGTGTTGGTGGGTAATTATGAATCTTGTGTAAAAATAGTACTGTTAAATGTTGGGTAAGAAATGATAGATTATTAAATTAAATATAAGGCACTGGTCATATTTAAAAGCTGTAATAAAGCCGTTGTGGATTTTTAAATTCTTTCTTGTGCGTTTGTTTTCTTGAAATCGAGGTTTACACATTCGGATTGATGTTTGCTGTTAGGATTGGACAGTATTTGGCTGAAATGCAAATCAGGAATCTTTGAGTTAAAAACAAATCTGAATACTTAGATAATTCACTTTTAAATCTGTAATAATTACATTAAACCATTTCCTTCTTCATCTGAAATTTCTTTAAATGGAGACATGGAGTTAAATTTCATGGACAGGGTTTCTGCAGGTTTCACAGAGTTAAATTTAAGACTTTTTAAGACATTTTTAAGACCATTATAACTGAAATTATAGACTAATAAAGCACTTAAGCCTAAGGAATTTTTTAAATGGTCCAGATGGAAAAGATTTTTATTTGCCCTATCAAAAAATGTTTTATTATAATTTAATAAAACAAGAACACATGAATATTTAAAAGAATAGTTTAGATTAAAAATGTTAAATATTGTGTAAAAGCAAGCTAAATCTACTTGTATAAACTATCAATGTTTTAAAAGCTGTAAAAACTATAATAAACTAAATCAACATGGAGAACTTATAAAGGAATGTTATTTTAATGAAAATAATTCAACCATTATGATAAGCAAAGTTAAAAATGACCTTTTTTAAATAAAAAGTTTAGTTTTATTGAGATTCATTGTTGATTTTATGGGTTTTGGCCAGATTGGGTAGTAATTTATGAACAAAGGGAAATGAAGACCTGTTTAAACAAGATTTGAGACCTACAGCACAATATTTCAGCATATTTAAGACTTAGGCCTAAAGCCTACAAATTGTATTTTGAGGTTTAAGACATTTTAAGACCCCGCAGAAACCCTGATTGAGGAAAAAGAGAAAACAACAATCTGCCATCTTCTGAAGTCTTTTAAAATCCTTTAATTCATGAAATCGATCATTTGCTTTAAGGTCCGGCGTTAAACAAGCGCTTGAACTGAAAGTCAGCAACAGGTTTGTGTGAACAGTTTTATGTTCAGCTGTACAGAGGGAAAGCAGTCTGTGTTTCAAAGCATATGAGGTGGATTGTAAATTAAATAGTGAGTGAAGTCATGAGTTTAAAACGGACAAGAACCTGTAGATTCGGAGAGAAAGAGTCGCTCCGGCAAATGAGTCTTTCAAGATGATTCCTGAGCGGAAAAGAAAATGTTTAAACTTTTAAATCATTTCAGATATTTGATTTCTGTGATTTCACTCATGGTTTATTTTGCTCACTGTGAATATAATGGACAATGGAGTCTCTATTTCAACATTAGAGACCAAATACATGAACGAACAAATTACGTAAACTGAATCATTCAAGTGATTCGTCGCGCAGGCATAGTTTATGGCAAAAAACCCCGATTCAAATCTTTAGATTCAAGGTATGAACAATAAATTCTAAGCTTATGGGGTGGATTGTAAATTAAATAATGAATGAAGTCACGAGTTAAGGACAGAAGTCAAGAATCTGCAGATCCGGAGAGAAAGAGTCGCTCCGCCAAATGAATCTTTCCACGTGATTCCTGAAGGGGGGGAAATGTTTGTCCTTTTAAACCTATATTAGACTTTAAAACAGATTTCTGTGATTTAACTGGTGGTTTATTTTGCTCACTGTAAATATAATAGACAATGGAGCCTCTATTTCAACATTAGAGATCAAATACATGGAGGAACAAATAACGTGAACTGAATCGGTCAAATGATTCGTTGCGCAGGCATAGCGTTTGATTAAATAAACATTCAAACGATTCAATTCTTCCAATTTCAAGGTATGAGCATGTTATTCTCGTGAACATTAACCCAGGAAATCAAAGCATTTCTTTGCTTAACAAATAATTTGAAACGATGAAAAGATTCAATCCACTTAAATGAATCAAAACGGTTTTAATATTGAACTGCTGAATTCTGAAGCTTGAATAACTGGTGAAATGATGATAAACTCTGGTGAATAGGCCCAGGAACTCTGGGAAATCTCTCCCACGTCTTTTTCCTGTTCTCCTTCTAGTAGCAGATGAAGAGAAAGTCATCCCTGAGGTCTGAGTGTGATTTTTACATTAGTCCTAATGTGATCATATCACTAAACATTCAGCATCTCCCTCAACACTTTCCAGCAGATTCAAGCCTGGCAAAACCAGAAACATGGTAAAACATCACCTTTAAAATAATGAAAGTAGATATATATAAATGTCATTATTACCTTCATGTCATTTAGAACTGTTTGTTTTGTCATGGAAGACAAATGAAAAATAAAATAAAAATCTGCTTCATTTCAAAACAGGACTACAAATGATTCAACATCAAACCCACCAAAGGGTTAGTTCACGCAAAAATGAACCTCAAGTGGTTATAAACCACTTCTATTAAACACAAAAGAAGATAATATGAGGAATGTTGGAAACCTGTAACCACTGATGTTCATAGTAGGGAAAAAAATACTATGGAAGTCAATGGTTACAGGTTTACAACATTCCTCAAAATATCTTCTTTTATTAAACACAAAAGAAACAAACTAAAATTCATAAATAATGGCAGGATTTTCATGTTTGGGTGAAATATTCCTTTAGATTTTCATATTCATGAGTAAAATAAGGTCTGTGCTAAACAACTCGGGATGTTTTGTTGTAAAGCTGCTGAAAACATCACTACATCAACATCTGCAGTGTGTGTAATGCACATTGGAGTCTAAATACTGTCGAGTTAGGTCTATCACAAACCTTACTTTATCAATAAATTGAAATATTAAACAAAACCCATAAGGCATTCTTGATTAAACCTAGTCCCAGTCTTTCAGCTCGTGACATCACTTCCTGCATAAACCTTAAACACTGAATTTCATGCATCAACCTGGACCAGATCTGAGCAGCAAAGCTTAACTGTGGGCTCTTTAATCTGTTCATCGTGGAGCTTGACATTACACTGAAAAGCAAATCACTAGAAAATAATAATAATAAAGGTTTAAATCAACATGAGGGTGATTAAAGGGATAGTTCACCCAGAAATGAACATTTACTCACCCTTCACTTAACTGAAACCAGTTTCTCCTGTTAAACACAAAAGAAGAGATTTTGAAGAATGCTGGAAACCTGCAACCATTGACTTCAATAGTAGGAAAAACAAATACTATGGAAGCCAATGGTTACCGGTAGCATTCCTCGAAACATCTTCTTTTGTGTTCAACAGCAGAAAAAACCTCACTTGAGTGTGAATAAATAAACGGACAGTTCACCTAAAAGTGAAAATGTCTGAGGAGATAGTTCACCCAAATAATTATTCAGTGTATATAGTCTCCCTCTAGTGGTGGCAAACTTTTATGATGTTTCTTTCCTTTGTTGAATACTAAAGTAAAGCTGAAAACCGGTAACTATTGACTTTCATTGTAGGAAAAACAAATACTATGGAAGTCAGTGGTTACCGGTTTTTGTAGATCTGAGGACGATCTGAAACACACGGCATATTAAAGCACAGGTTGATTACTGCTGATGTTTTTTATCTAATCTAGAGGTTTCTAAAAGGAAATGCCATCATTATTCTTTTCTTGTTTCATTTCCTCTGTTGAACACAAAATAGGTTTTGAAGAATGTTAGAAAAACCGGTAACTATTGACTTTTTATAGTATTTGTATTTCCTACTATGAAAGTCAATGGATAACGGTTTGTAACATTCTTCAAAATATCTTCTTTTGTGTTTAACAGAAGAAAAAAAGAAGGTTTGAAACGGGTAACCATTGACAAATATAGTATTTGTTTTTCTTACTATGGAATTCAATGGTTACCGGTTTTTGTAGATCTGAAACACACAGGATATTAAAGCACAGGTTGATTACTGCTGATGTTTTTTTTTCTAATCTAGAGGTTTCTAAAAGGAAATGTCATCATTATTCTTTCTTTTCTTGTTTTATTTCCTCTGTTCAACACAAACGAAGATGTTTTGAAGAATGTTAGAAAAACCGGTAACAATTGACTTCCATAGTGTTTGTATTTCCTACTATGAAAGTTAATGGTACATGTTTGTAATATTCTTCAAAATATCTTCTTTTGTGTTTAACAGAAGAAAATAAAAGGGTTTAAAACCGGTAACCATTGACTTCCATAGTATTTGTTTTTCATACTATAGAAGTCAATGGTTACCGGTTTTTAGCTGTCTTCAAAATAACTTATTTAGTGTTCAACAGAAGAAAGAAAACTCCAAAGGTTTGCAACCACTAGATTTTGAATTTTTTTATTAAGTGAAATGTCCTTTTAAAGAGAAAGTTCTTCTTGTAAATTACTCACTCGGTACTCTCCCTCTAGCGGTTGAAAGCATTTATGAATTTTTTTTCTTCTGTTGAACACTAAGATATTTTGAAGAAAGCTGAAAACCAGTAACCATCGACTTTCATAACAGGAAAACAAGCACTACAGAAGTCAATGGTTACAGGTTTTTAACTTTCTTCAACATATTATTCAGAGTTCAACTGAAAAAAGAAAACTCATAAGGGTTTGCAGCCACTAGATTACAATCAACATTCTTCAAAACATCTTCTTTTGTATTCAACAAAGGAAATAATCTCACTTGAGTGTGAAACTATAAGGACATTTTCACTTTTAGGTGAACTGTCTCTTTAAAGGGATTTAAATTTGAAATTTACTGGCTACACACTCTCCCTCTGGTGGTTGCAAAGTATTTTATTCTTCAGTTGAACACTAAATAAGATATTTTGAAGAAAGCAAAAAAAAAAAAAAAAACGGTAACCATTGACTTCTATAGTGTTTGTTTTTCTTACTATGGAAGTCAATGGGTACCGTTTTTTTGTAGATCTGAGAATGATCTGAAATGCACAGGATATTAAAGCACAGGTTAATTACTGCTGATGTTTTTTCTAAGGTTTCTAAAAGGAAATGCCATCATTTATTCTTTCTTTTCTTGTTTTATTTCCTCTGTTGAGCACAAAAGAAGATGCTTTGAAGAATGTTGAAAAGTGGTAACCACTGACTTCCATAGTGTTTGTTTTCCTACTACGGAAGTTACGTGTTTAAAATATTCTTTAAAATAACTTCTTTTGTGTTCAAAAGAAGAAAAAAAAAAGGGTTTGAAAACCTGTAACCATTGACTTCCATAATATTTGTTTCTCATACTATGGAATTGGTTACTGGTATTTAACTTTTATTAACATCACAGTGTTCAACAGAAGTAAGAAAACTCAAAGGTTTGCACTCGATTTTCAATTGCTTCCAACATTTTTTAAAACATCTTCTTTTGTGTTCAACATGTAAAGAATCTCACTTAAGTGAAACAATAAGGAAAGTTTCCCTTTTAGGTGAACTGTCCCTTTAAAGGGATTTACTATTTTAATTTACTCGCTACACTCTCTCTCTAATGGTTGCAGGGTATTTTTGTTTGTAGTTGAACACTAAATAAGATATTTTGAAAAAAATGAAAACCGGTAACCATTGACTTCTATAGTGTTTGGTTTTGCTACTATGAAAATCAGTAGTTAGCAGTTTTTAACTTTCTTCAAAATATCTTGATGTTCAACAGAAGAAAACTCAAAGGTTTGCAACCAGTACACTTTCAATTGACATCCAACATTCTTCAAAACATCTTCTTTTGTGTTCAATAGAAGAAATAATCTTAAGTGTGAATTAATAAGGACATTTTCACTTTAAGGTGAACTGTCTCTTTGAAGGGATTTAAAATGTTATTTACTCGCTGCACACTCTCCCTCTAGTGGTTGCAAATAATTTTTGTCTTCAGTTGAACACTAAATAAGACGTTTTAAAGAAAGCTAAAAACCAGTAACCATTGACTTATATAGTGTTTGCTTTTCCTACTAAGTCAAGGGTTACCGGTTTCAAACATTCTTCAAAACATCTTCTTTTAAGTTCAACAGAAGAGAAGAAACTCACTTGAGAGTGACAACAAATGTTAACTACTAGGTGAACTGTTCCTTTAAAGGGATAGTTCACACAAACAAAAATGTAATTTACTCACTACACACTCTCCCTCTAGTGATTGCAAACCTAGTTTTCATTCATCTGTTGAACACTGAAAGAAAGATGAACACCAGTAACCACCAACTTTCATAGCAGCAAAAACAAACACCATGGAAGTCAATAGTTACCGATTTCCAACGTTCTTCAAAACATCTTCCTTTGTGTTCAACAGAAGAACGAATCTCACTTGAGTGTAAATAAACATGGAACGTTTCACTTTTAGGTGAACTGACCCTTTAAAGATAATAACACTCATTATTTACTCACCCCTGTGTGGGTTTAAACCCTTATGAGATTATTTCTTCTGCTAAACACAAAAGAAGAGATTTTGAAGAATGTTGAAAACCTGTAACCATTGGCTTTCATAGTAGGAAAAACAAATACCATGGAAGTCAATGGTTACCGGTTTCCAACATTCTTCAAAACAACTTCTTTTGTGTTCAACAGGAGAAACTCACTTGAGTGTGAATATATGTGGAATATTTTACTTTTAGGTGAACTGACCCTTTAAAGGTAATAATACTCACTCCTGTGTGATTTCAAACCCTTATGCGATTATTTCTTCTGTTAAACACAAAAGAAGATATTTTGAAGAATGTTGGAAACCTGTAACCATTGGCTTTCATAGTAGGAAAAACAAATACTATGGAAGTCAATGGTTACCAGTTTCCAACATTCTTCAAAACATCATCTTTGGTGTTCAACAGAAGAACGAATCTCACTTGAGTGTGAATATATATGAAACGTTTCACTTTTAGGTGAACTGTCTCTTTAAAGATAACCACACAAACTATTTACTCACCCCTGTGTGGTTTTAAACTCTTTTGAGATTATTTCTTCTTTTAAACACAAAAGAAGATATTTTGAAGAATGTTAAAAACCTGTAACCATTGGCTTTTATAGTAGGAAAACAAACACCATGGAAGTCAATGGTTACCGGTTTCCAACATTCTTCAAAACGTCTTCTTTTGTGTTCAACAGAAGAAAGGTTTGAAACGAGTATAGTGTGAACAAACGATGACAGAAATGCATATTTGGGTGAACTATCCCTTTAAATAATGTCATTTGTCAACATATTCTTCAGATCGACCACAGGAAATCATTCAGGAGTCCTTCTGCGAATGCAAATGCAGGTTAATCTGTGACGAGAGATAACAAAAAAAGCAGGAAACGTCCGTCATTAACCAGCGCTTCTCTGCTCGCTCCTCTGCGAATCTCCATGTTGTGGTTTCATCATCAGGAAGCTTGAAAAGCACCAACACTGAATCAGGAGACGGTCTCCTGGTGTGGTTCTCTCATGTGCGAAAACACACACGCCGCTGCATCTGTGTGTTTTTCTCCGCATTTCAGCGCTGGAACGGTTTGCGCACTTTCTTGCGGCGGCGTGGAGGTTTTGCTCCTTCAGTCCAGTGTTCGCTAGCATCGCTACGCTGAGCCCCGGCGCTGAAAAAGCCCGGCTGAGGAGGAGATCCTGAAAACATGGGAGGAGCTCCAGCGGAGGGTCCGGGGCCGTGATGAGGAGGGTTTCCTGCGGGGAAGAATCCTCCGTTTGCAGACGCGTCACTGGGAGAGCCAGTCTGGAAGAAGCGGTTGAAGAAATCCTGCAGGTCTGCTGGAGAACCCCCGCCTGCTGCGTGATCTGAGGATGATCTGAAACACAGGATAGAAGCACAATGCTATTGATTTTTTGAGGTTTCTAAAAGGAAATGTCATCATTTATTCTTTCTTTTCTTGTTTTATTTCATGTTGAACACCAAAGATGATGTTTTGAAGAATGTTGGAAGCCGGTAACTATTGACGTCCATGGTATTTGTTTTTCCTTCTATGAAAGCCAATGGTTACAGGTTTTCAACATTCTTCAAAATCTCTTCTTTTGTGTTTAGCAGAAGAAATAATCTCCTAAGGGTTTAAAACCACACAGGGGTGAGTAAACAGTGAGTGTAATTATCTTTAAAGGGTCAGTTCACCTAAAAGTGAAAAGTTCCATATTTATTCACACTCGAGTGAGATTCGTTCTTCTGTTGAACACAAAAGAAGATGTTTTGAAGAATGTTGGAAGCTGATAACCATTGACTTCCATGGTGTTTGTTTTTCTTACTATGAAAGCCAATGGTTACAGATTTTCAACATTCTTCAAAATATCTTCTTTTGTGTTTAGCAGAAGAAATAATCTCATAAGGGTTTAAAACCACACAGGGGTGAGTAAATCGCTAGTGTTGTTATCTTTAAAGAGACACTTCACCTAAAAGTCAAAGTTCCATATTTATTCACACTCAAGTGAGATTTGTTCTTCTGTTGAACACCAAAGAAGATGTTTTGAAGAATGTTGGAAACCGGTAACCATTGATGTCCATGGTGTTTGTTTTTCCTACTATGAAAGCCAATGGTTACAGGTTTCCAGCATTCTTCAAAATCTCTTCTTTCGTTTTTAACAAAAGAAACTCAAAAGGGTTTAAACCCACACAGGGGTGAGTAAATAGCGAGTATCACTGCAAAAAATGCTTTCTTACTTATATTTTTTTATCTTGTTTCTAGTCCAAATATCCTAAGTTTTAAAATCAATAAGCATTTTCTAGACAAGCAAAACATATAGTCTTGTTTTAAGAAATAATATGCCAAAATTAAGTAAGTTTTTCCTAAAAACAAGCAAAATAATCTTATGTTGAAAGGGAAAAACCGGAATATTTTGCTTACCCCATTGGCAGATTATTTTGCTTCTTTTTAGGAAAAACTTACTTAATTTTGGCAGATTATTTCTTAAAACAAGACAATATGTGTTGCTTGTCTAGAAAATGCTTTTTGATTTAAAACGTTTGGATATTTAGACTAGAAACAAGACAAAAAATCTAAGAAAAGCATTTTTTGCAGTGTGTTATTATCTTTAAAGGGTCAGTTCACCTAAAAGAGAAAAGTTCCATATTTATTCACACTCAAGTGAGATTCGTTCTTCTGCTGAACACAAAAGATGATGTTTTGAAGAATGTTGGAAACTGATAACCATTGACATCCATGGTGTTTGTTTTTCCTTCTATGAAAGCCAATGGTTACAGGTTTCCAGCATTCTTCAAAATCTCTTCTTTTGTTTTTAACAAAAGAAACTCAAAAGGGTTTAAACCCACACAGGGGTGAGTAAATAGCGAGAATCACTGCAAAAAATGCTTTCTTACTTATATTTTTTTTTCTTTTTTCTAGTCCAAATATCTTAAAAGTTCTTAAATCAAGGAGCATTTTCTAGACAAGCAAATAGAAATAATCTGCCAAAATTAAGTTTTTCCCTAAAACAAGCAAAATAGTCTGCCAATGATGTAAGCAAAATAATCTTATGTTGAAAGGAAAAACAGGATTATTTTGCTTACACCATTGGCAGATTATTTTGCTTCTTTTAGGGAAAAACTTAATTTTGGCAGATTATTTCTTAACACAAGACAATATGTGTTGCTTGTCTGGAAAATGCTTCTTGATTTAAGAACGTTTAGATATTTGGACTAGAAAAAAGACAAAAAAATTACGTAAAAAAAGCATTTTTTGCAGTGTATTATTATCTATAAAGGCACAGTTCACCTAAAAGAGAAAAGTTCCATATTTATTCACACTCAAGTGAGATTTGTTCTTCTGTTGAACACAAGATGTTTTGAAGAATGTTGGAAATCGGTAACCATAGACTTCCATGGTGTTTGTTTTTGCTGCTGAAAGTAGGTGGTTACTGGTGTTCATCTTTCCCTCAGTGTTCAACAGATGAATGAAAACTAGGTTTGCAACCACTAGAGGGAGAGTGTGTAGTGAGTAAATTACATTTTTTGTGTGAACTATCCCTTTAAAGGAACAGTTCACCTAGTAGTTAACATTTGTTGTCACTCTCAAGAGAATTTCTATCTTCTGTTGAACATAAAAGAAGATGTTCTGAAGAATGTTGGAAACGGGTAACCATTAACTTCCATAGTATTTGTTTTTCCTACTATGAAAGTCAATGGTTACACGTTTGTAACATTCTGCAGAATATCTTCTTTTGTGAATGTTTACCTGTGGCGGCTGGGCCCACTGCTACCTTTAGAGCCGAAGGAGATGTGATACGGCACTCGGTGTGTGTCTGGAGAGATGCTGATCCGCTGACAGCCTGCCCACTCTGAACAACACACAGAGAAATGCTTCAGAGATCTGAGGCCTGTAGCATGAAGCTGGATTAGCTAGCTGGGTATCCTAGGTTTTAGATCGAGTTCAAGGTCAACTTTATTTGTATAGCACCTTAAAAGAAAACATGAATGCTGACCAAAGTGGGTAAATTAACAAACGATTCAAGAAAGACAGTATAGAGTACGGCGACGCAGTGGCGCAGTAGGTAGTGCTGTCGCCTCACAGCAAGAAGGTCGCTGGTTCGAGCCTCAGCTGGATCAGTTGGCATGTCTGTGTGGAGTTTGCATGTTCTCCCTGCATTCGCATGGGTTTCCTCCGGGTGCTCCGGTTTCCCCCACAGTCCAAAGACATGCGGTACAGGTGAACTAGGTAGGCTTAATTGTCCATAGTGTATGAGTGTGAATGAGAGTGTTTGGATGTTTCCCAGCTGGAAGGGCACCGCTGCATAAAACATGTGCTGGATAAGTTGGCGGTTCATTCCACTGTGGTGACCCCAGATTAATAAAGGGACTAAGCCGAGAAGAAATTGAATGAATGAGTATAGAGTACATTACATTAAAATATAAAAGTAATCTTAAACAAGCCCCAAACTATCCTACCAGTGATGTCAAAGACTTTTCCGTCCATGAATGCGAAGAATGTAATGCGCAGTCCCAGCATGCTGGACTCGGCCCACAGGTCTCCCTCCTCGGCACCGTGCCATTTATTACATTCAGCACAGAATCGAGCCTCGCCGGGCTCTCGGTCCATCTCAAAGCGCCTGTGGAGGAAACCAAGAGCACATCAAGACACAAAAGCACAGGGCAGGACATCCGTATCCATACATCTGAAAGCTCACAGCTGAAACGGCAGTAATACGCACTTGTGCTTGCCTTCACATTTAGTGCACATCATGGTGTTCATGGCTTCCTTCAGGTCGTCCTGTAGTTTGGTCAGGAACTCGTTCATGGATTTGGAAAGCTCCGTAGCTGCCATTCGCTTCCTATAGACACACCGTATAAAAGCACACGGAGATTATTACAGAGGTTTGTGTTTCTGGCTCCCATCAAATTCGCATTATTGCAGAATATTTAAAAACATTGATTTCTAAGAGTGTAACTGATCACGTCCCACAGTTCAGAAAGCAAATGACCCACAGATTGATCACTTTATTTTTACTTGTAGATAAACCCAACATTTGTAGCGATGGCGTCATTCAAATCGCATGAATGAAAGCATTCTGACTTTCCTGTAAACAAAGATGATGGAAAAAGTTGTGGCGGCACCCAAATGGTTTCTTAGGTTATTAAAGGTGTTTTCTGTCACTTCTTGTTTAGCCTGCATTATTGCATTCAGTGTAAAGTTGCGCAATTAACCATTAAAAGATCGGGATCTCAATTCAAATACCCAAGCAACCTAAAGTATAAATTGATGATGATTAACATATGTTTTTTAATCCAATGTGCTGCATTCAAAACTGATGATAGATTCAGTTTTTACACTTTTCAGTTCGTTACGAAGTTATAAATGATTTAATAACACAGATGTACTGTTTATAGCTCAGATATAAACACTGATGCTTATGGTAAAGATTAAAATCACAGTTTAATGCACTGACGCTGTTGAATGTTGTAGCAATTACACCCTTTAACCAGTAGGTGGTGACAAACCACCATCAAATTTGTCATTGAATAGTTCTTCATAAATGATTCATCTAGTAATGAAATATGACGTTTTATGAGTGAATAACTGAATCATTCATTGAAAATGAGACTAAAAAATAAATATAATGTGTTGTACAAGATTAAATGTTACATTTTTACATTTATCAGCAACATTAGCGAACATCCTTTTACACAATATTGATTTAATTTTCCTTCTTAATTCAGGTGGTCATTTCTTGATTTGTATTATAATTACAGGTTCTAAGTTCTGTGTGTTAAAATCAAATGTAGTACTTTTTTTTTTTTGAATAAACTGAAAGCAAATGACATTTGTCGTCTCCTTTTTTACCGATTCAAAAAATGGTTCCATCCATGACTCAAAAAACGTAGTGTGATCCGAACTGTGAGATTTGTGACACCACTATTTATTTCACATCATATATCATTATAATATATATTCACACTATTAGGCTTTGGTGTGCATGAAAGACAATGCAACAGATATTCGCAATGCAAGTTATTTTTGATAACAATATTGTTCACATTTGATTGTGAAGAACATTTACTATTTTTATAACATTATTTGAAAGTAAAGGTGTTTAATGTTATGGTTAGTTAAAAGTTCATTTTCTGCCATATCAGCATCTAAGGCTAAATTCATGACAAAAACAAATTGCAATAATTCAAAACATGCAGAAAAACAAGCAGAACACTAAACTACTCATTAAAAAAAGATTCTGTTAAATGATGCATATTAGTGAATGTAATGGTATCAAATATAATCAGTAAGACATCAGTTGTTCTGATCTATCATTAAAAAACGAAATGAGTTCACTTTTTTTCTCTCTGAATCATCAGTACAATTATAATTAATACCACATTTGATTAATACCATATTAATGTCAGTAAATGAGTGTAGAGTTGGTTGTTTTTGCGACGCACTCACAGTTCATACTCTCTCCGCGTCTCTGGATTGCTGACGATGTCCCACGCTGCTCTCAACACCTTGAACGCCTCTCCAGCCCCCGGGTGCTTGTTTTTGTCAGGATGAACCTGCGCACAATTTATTATTCTATATATATCCAGGGCAACCCTTGCACCAAATATTCAATATATGATTTACAATCATATCGGTTTCTTCATAATCATTTATTGTTCAAAAAAACATACAAATACTGATAAAAAAAGTCTTTTTGATCAATGAGAAATATTCCAAAATGCATTTCGAAAATGCAAAAAGAAGACCATTTTAAACAATTAATTTAAAATATTTGACAAATCTAAAATCATTTAAAAATATTAGAGCTGTCAAAAGATTAATTGCATGCAAAATCAATGCTTGTGTGTGTGTGTATGCATGTATAAACATAAACACATACATGCACATTTTTAAAAAGCACAGATGTATATATTTGAGAAAATGTTTATTTATATTTACCAATAAAATATACATTTTTTAATATAAAATGTAACTACATATTAATAACAACAATTGTTTATATCTATTATTTTTTGCTCTTATTATTTACATTATAAATATTTTGGTTTTACATTGTTTTGCATTTTATATATTTTTTATTCACACAAACTCCATATTTATTTGCAGTGAGCACACAAATTATGTAAATACAAACTTTTATTTTACATGCAATTATGCGTTCGACAGCACAAAAATAAACATTCTAATAATATTCATACACAAGTTACAAATAGGTATTTCTTTCCCTTTCAATGTGCAAGTCTTGAGTGGCCATTTCTACAAGCTGTTCAAGTCTCCTTTTCAAAGTGGTAATTATTTCTTTTATTTACAAATGTATTCAATTCATACAATTTCTAGTTTATACAATTATCCTGTAGCATTTGCCATTTCTCATTGATGCACAGATTCAAAGCCTGTTCATCAAACCTTCATCTGCTTGTTTGAATGAGTGTTTTAGTGTACTGTATGTTCACCTGCACCGCCAGCTGTCTGTACGCTCTCTTCAGCTCAGACTCAGTGGCATGAACATCCACTCCCAGAACATTAAACGGGTCCAACTCCTCTTCAGGGATCTGAAGCACAGCACATGGTGAGAATGCAGTAATATATAAACACTCTACTATTCTCTAGAGTTAAACTGTTGAGTTTTACCATTTTCCATCTATTCAGCCCATCACCGGGTCTGACAGGAGTACTTTTAGCTTAGCATAGATCATTGAATCAGATTAGACCATTAGCATCTCTCTCAAAAATTACCAAAGAGTAAGGATAAATTTCCAGTTTAAAGCTTGACCCTTTTATAGTTACACCATGTACTAAGATGAAAACTTGTTATTTTTCTAGACCGATATGGCTAGGATTATTTTCAGATGTTAATGGTCTAATCCAATTCAATGATCTGTGCTAATAAAAATTATTTTAATGGAAAACACTACTTTAAAAAAAGACTAATTTTACAGCTTCTCTAGAGTTAAATTATTGAGTTTTACTATTTTTTAATCCATTCAGAAAATCTCCAGGTCTGGCAGGAACATGTTTAGCTTAGCTTAGCATAGATCATTGAATCTGATTAGACCATTAGCATCTCGCTCAAAAATTACCAAAAAGTTCCGAAAAATTCTAGTTTAAAGCTTGACTCTTTTATAGTTACGTTATGTACCAAGATTAAAAGTTACTATTTTTCTAGACCGATATGGCTAGGACTATTTTCAGATGCTAATGGTCTAATCCGATTCCATGATGCATGCTAATAAAAAATATTTAATGGAACACTACTTAAAAAAACAACTCATTTTACAGCTTCTCTTGAGTTAAACAGTGGAGTTTTACCATTTTTCAATCCCTTTAGCCCATCTCTGGGTCAGACAGGAGCACTTTTAGCTTAGCTTAGCATAGATTATTGAATCAGATTAGACCATTAGCATTATGCTTAAAAATGCTTAAAATTCAGTTTAAAGCTTGATTCTTCTGTAGTTACATCATATAGTAAGATGAACATTTGCTAGGATCATTTTCAGATGCTAATGGTCTAATCCAATTCAATGACTTATGCTAAGCTAAGCTAAAAGTGCTCCAGCCAGACCCGGAGATCGGCAGAATGGATTTAAAAAATGGTAAAACTCAACTCTTTAACACAAAGATATTAAATATTTCCAAAAATAAGTGTAGTGGTCCTTCAAAACGCCAGACAATTTTTAGCATTTTTGAACACTCAAACCCCCTACCTTGGCCAGTGCCAGCAGCCTCTGCAGCTCCTCACCAGGTTGCCACTTCTCTGCTCCCCTGTTAGGAGACTCTGGATTTGAGTTTTCGCTCCCAGCGCCTCGTTTAAAGCGCCAGCCACGAATCCTCACACACAGATCCGAGACTTTCCTCCAAATCCTGCTGCTCTGAAACGCAAGCCACCATTTCCGTCCCCTCTCTCCCGCCAGCCTTCCAACAACACACTTCATCATCTGAGATCCTGCGCTTAGAGCTACTCTGACAAATCCTAAAGTGGAAAGAAGAGAGTTTCGAGCTTTACAAGTAGACCGGACGATCCCGTCAATTAAAGCTACAGTCCAACACCGGCTCCAGTCCACGATCCGCCTCATGTCCTGCGTCAAGCCTGGAATATCGGTGACCTTAGAAAGCATTTGAGTGCCAAAATCGTACAGTGCAATTCCAGACGACTCCACCAGGAGGCCACAGCGGTGCGTCAGAGAAATAATGAGCTCTACGAACATATGAATGCAGGAGATGCACCAAGGACTGACGAAATCCGACAGGAAATCCCGACACACCATGACCAGCGGGATCCCGTTTTTCCTGCGCACGCGGCTGTGATTGTGCAGATGGTGGTTGCGTCGTCTCACCTGCTTATGTCTGCTGGATGCAAGGAAGGATTTATGAGGCATGGATGATGAGGATGATGATGTCCAAGATTGGGTTTGATCATAAAATCCCGTCCCCAATCCGCTCTTCTTGGACTTTCCCTTCCTCCCGGATCCAGCATTCCGGGATTTAGTTTCTCCTTCGTCCCGTAACTCATCCGATTTCTCCTCATCCTCCGCTTGATTGTCAATCAGATCTTCGGTTTTGGCGTTTTGTTCTTCATTCTCATCTAAATCAAAGTCTTCATCTGGGAATTCGCAATCGAAATCGTCCATTGCTTCATGTTCACACTCGAAGGGTCCGTGATGCGTGTCGTTTTCAAGATACGAACTGGCCAAAGACACACTGGGAGTCTCACGGTCAGTGTTTTCCTCTACTGTATCCCAGTGTACAGCCATATCCGCTTCCATCTTGCTCAAATACCTGAACATTCACTCCTTCACGCTTAAAAGATCCATCACGAGCTTCAGGGCGGCAGCAGACTTAGACATGCGTGCATTGCATTTATCATCCGTCTCATATTTACAAAGGAAACACTACCACCGGGGGTCTTCAGCATGTCCAGCATTGCAGAAGATCAGAGGTGGACATTTGCGAATCACAGCAGTATTGTGAACGCCTGCAAATCAGAAGAAATCTGTCAACAACATACTACACTAAAAATGAACAGTGGAATCAAGAACTGAGTCACTTAAACATTAATGAAAGTTCATTGCACTTAATAGACATCGGTTATGTAAACAGGTCGGACCCAAAAAAAAAAAAAGGTTAATAGCTCTTTGAGAATTCCCCTTTAAAGCTCTAATAAAATCATGGCAGTTTAGTGACTGTCGCTTTAAATTCATATGAGATTGTGCTCTTTTCAAGAGGCCGGAGCTACAGATGCCTGTGTGTCAGCATAGTGGCAGATTCAAAAACAAGACTGATGTCCATTGTTAATGAGGGAAAGATGGTCACTAGTGGGCGGGGATTTCCACCTTTGAATGACACATACAAAGGGAGAATGTCAATCAATACATTTATTTAGACCATTAGAAGCTGGTTAAATTCGCACACTGTTGCCACAAGACTGTTTAAACCATAGACTGTAAAATATATGGACGTAGTATCCGTGACGTCACCTATAGGTTTCTAAAGAGCGCAAAAGAAGCCACAAGTAGATGCGGACAACCGTTGCTATTTTGTTCGCGCGTCATCAAACCCACGGCGGGATACCAAACAAGGGCAAAGAGGCGGAGAGTGAGCAGAGCTACAGACACCTGCTGGCATTTAGCTTGGACCTGGTTCAGACACACTTTACTTTGGGAGAACGCTCAATACTTTATCACCTGCGACTCGTTTGTATTCAGATCACTTGTGCTTGGTTGTACATTATATCAATAAAGTGTTTAGACTTTTAAAAACACTGCTGTAATACATTAAGCCACTAAACATTGTTCTTATGACGTTTTTCAACAGGAGGAAAACGCGAATTACTTACAAACACTTCAGATATAGTCTGTATAAGTTAATGTAAGACTATTGATGAAATCCAGCATAACACTGTATGATAACGCTTCAGATGACGGTTCTAGAGCCTACAGCTAATCAATCCATCAGATTCTGGAGTGCATTACAGCTCTAAATATAAATATAAACGATAAATGATCTTAAATAAAACAAATACATGTATAGAGATTGTATACAAGTATATAACTTTACTCACATGTGAAACGAAGGCCACGTGAATGGTTTGTGAGCACAATTAAGTGCACTCAGCATGCCATGCCATCTAATAATTGTAGGAAACAAGTCCAAAAGGCAGTTGACTGTGTGAAGCCACATAAAACAACACAGAAATACGATAAATATGCCGAGTTCAGTGACTAATCTGCAGGATTCAGCTGAGGTGACGTGACGGCGACCAACGAGACCTAGCTGTCACTCAAGTGGCCACGCCCTTAATTATGTAAACTTAATATAACTTAATATAAAGGAAACGGATGAGTTATAAAAGAATTCACCCCCCTAACAGTTGTCATGAAGGGTAATATTAGCTGTATTAACCAAAATCTTTTTTTGTACCAGGCTGTAAACACCGTTTTTTCTGCTGTAAAGTTGGCCATTCTAACAGTGGGCTCAATTGAAATTTGCTCTGTTTTGGAGCCAGGAGCGGCCAGGACTAGCGGAATTTCGAATGAATTGCAGTTTTAGTTACTTCTGTATTGGCTTCCTGAGGGAGAGCGGGAGGTTGCCGCTTGGTTTAAACCCCTTATAAAAGTGATGTTTGCCTAACAAGTCCCCTTCAAAACAATGAATTAACACAATTTAACAAAGTATAACTTAATTATAAGCGTGTAAATACTTCAAATCAGGTTCAAACTAAACTGCAGAAATTGAGTTTAAAAAGTCTGACATAAATGACAGAGCATGTGTTACTGCTGTTCAAAACCATAGTGGACCTTATCAAGTGTACTTAATCAAATGCACTGCAATAACACCTAAAGGCTTGAGAATACCCATGATGCACTGTGAGGGTTATAACCAAATAAATTATGTCTTATCAGACTCCAGCATGAACAATACATCCATCCAGCCAGGTTCAACGTGTAATATTGCACAATACCGCACAAGAATAATTTAATTGTTTTATTCAATTGAATAAATAAAGTTTATTGCTTGTAAATAAATCATTTTATACAGTTGAAGACAAAGGGTTTATCCCTCCTGTACATGTTTTACTCTTTTTCAAACATTTTCCAGGTTATTTTTCTGTTCTACATTTCTTCTGGACATTATTTCTTAAAATGAATGTGTTGCTTGCAATTTATTTGTAACATTTTCGCGTGCAAGATATTTCTACAGGTTTTTCAGTGTAGTTGCCACAACATAGAAGTATTTTTCGCAAACTCTAAATAGTGAAATCATATTAGCAGCCAATGACTATCAAAGTACATCATTGTTCACAGTCAAATAAGCAGTGTTAATGTTGTTTTCAAGTCATACTTGCATGCTAATTCCGATCGAATATTCAAAGTAAGATGGTAAACAATATAGAGACTTCTAAATGAACAAATGTCTGAATATAAAACCAACTGTACCTCTACAATATATCGTGATATATTGTATCATGACATGTATCATATCGTGGGCCTGTTTCAGAAAGGAGGTTAAGTGAAAACTCAGAGTATTTTAACCCTGAAATAAGAGAAACTCAGGGTTTTCCGTTTCAAAATGGCAGGTTTGTTAAACTGGAGAAAGCAGGGTGAGTCAAACCTGTTTCTGAACGAGAGGTAACTTTAACTCAGAGTAAGTTACCGTGGCAACTTACTCTGTGAACCTAACCTGGTCAGGAGCAGTTTTTATTCTCTAAACTCAGAGTTTCTGTCAGTCTCCTCCCCTTTTTTAAAGACGAAGTTTCCACCCACCGATTTTAATGCTCATTTTGGAGATGCTCATAAAAGCGATTGATGGAAACCTCATGATGCACATAACTTTGGAAAACACACATAAAAAACACGCACAAAACTAATATAAAACAATATAGAGACTAAATGAAGGAATGTGCGAATATAAAACCCACTTTACCTCTATAACATATCGTGATATATTGTGTCGTGACATGTATCATATCGTGAGGCACTTGCCAATACACAGCCCTAATTCACTGTGAACAATGATGCACTTTGATAGCCATTTGCTGCTAATATGATTTCCCCATTTAGAATTTGCAAATAATACTTTTTTGAAATGATATTATTAAGGAGAATGTCTGAATATCCTACTATAAAAATAACGTAACCTCTATTGTTTTAGCAGCTTTCTTTGACGTTAAGTTAGCTTGTTGTTGACTGACTCAAAATTAAACACACGACTGGTAATGCTAGTAAATTAGCAGAACTTAACGCTTTGAGTCACACAGCTAACACTACATAAACAAAACTCATATCGTAGCATTTAATAACGCTTTTCAAGCAGTTCTCAGATCAGAGCCACGAGGGAAGAATGAATGTAAACATGTAAACATCACATGTAACTTACTGAACTCTCCGTCCTGATAAAGTGCATTAGCATCGACTCTCCAGCTGCTGCCAACAGATGCTTTACAGACACAGCTTGTGTTTCTCCTCAGTGTTTATGTCTTATTGTCTTTATATGTGTTTAATCTCTTCATTTGCGGTGCTGTGTTGCTTTAGCGGATATGCTAACAGAGAAGCTGCAACAGCTAGCGTTGCTGCAGCACTACGGTAAACGAACGGCGTACAGGCGGTACAGCTGATCTCGGGTGTAAAACGAGTATAAAGCAGCTCAGTCCGTCTTCTCGCCTATCTTTAGCTGCTTTCACTGTCCTTCTCTCTTCATTCCTGTTCACTTCCGGGTACAGCAGCAGCAGCGCGGGAACGTCACTTCCGTTTAAGTCATCTTTTCTGTCATCAAAGAGCTTAGAATGACCTAGAGGCGAGCGCCCAGCAACAGCCCCGGATTCCGCCATTTAGGAGTGAAAGCGATCGGCTGTCCATTGGATCTTGTTGCTGTTGCGATGGCAAGCAGCCGCTTTGTTTTTTATTAATTATGTAAAAAGTGCATCAAGGCTGAGATACAACCTGAAAGATGACAAAACAACACTTGCTATCACAATCATCAGCACTTTTAATAGTTTATTTTACAGACTTATAATATGCTGTTATTCCATTGGAGTTTTCATTCCAAAATGGCCGCCGCGCCATCTAGTGGCTGTTTACCGTATTGCACTAGAGTGTCGCCTCTAGGTGATTCTTTGCTGAAATTCTACATAAACTTCTTCCGTCTTCTGAAGATTTTTCAAGTGTATCTCCTCCTAAGCCTTTCAAGCTACATACTTTAAACTTTCGTCAAACCTTAAAAATGATCTGACTCAGGTTGTTATGTCTTTTCTAACTGATCCGACTTTCGGTTTTCCGAAAAACGACCTAGAAAATTCCCAAAAGTCCTATTGATTTAACATTTGTGAGCTCATAACTGCATCAGACTATCCTACAGACTAGAGTCTGGCCTCATTCAACACTGTCTAGCCAGCAGCCAATCACTGATGACATTTACACTTACAAGCCACCCCCTAGCAACCAGTTTCAGCACCCTAGCAACTGTCTCATAGACTGTTACTAGCTATTCTGACACATGCTAATAGTTTTAAAATCTTACTGACACACTAATCGTGCTAGAAACATGCTAGCAACACACTAGTGAAATACTAGTCATGCTAACACATGCTAATTCATGCTAACAACATACTAATTCAAGCTAGAAACAATCTGATTCATGCTAGAATCATGCTAGTAACACGCTAGAATCATGCTAGTAACATGCTAATCCAGGTTAGAATCATGCTAGTAACATGGTAATTCATGTTAGAATCATAATAACAACATGCTAATTCATGTTAGAAACACGCTAGTAACATACTAATTCAGGTTAGAATCATGCTAGTAACATAATTCATGCCGGAATCATTCTAATAACATGCGAATTCATGCTAGAATTATGTCAACAATATGCTAATTCATACTAGAATAATGCTAGTACCATGGTAATTTATACCGGAAACATAGTAACATGCTAATTTATGCAAGAATCATGTTAATTCATGCTAATTCATGCTAGAATCATGCTAAGTTATACTAGCAATGTTAGTAACATGCTAATGCATGCTAGAATCATGTTAGTAACATGCTGAATCATGCTAGAAACATGCAAACAACATGCTAATTTATGCTAGAATCATGCTAACAATGTGCTAAATCATAATAGAATCATGTTAACATTATGCTAATTTGTGTCAGAAGCATGCTAATTCAACGCAGGGTAGTATTATGCTATTACGAACCTCAGACACGGATCAACTTTAAAGCTTTTAAACGGGTTTGCTTTACTCTTTAAAGTGGTTGCATTGTTGACTGCTTTTAGTGGAAGGTAACATTTTGTCCATCATCAGAGGTCTCTGTTAACCCTGAACTGTTATGTGAAAATAATTAATTATTCAATAAATAATCCATAATAATTCACTTAATTGTGATTAAAGATGTCATCTGTTCCTTCCCCTGCAGAAAAATCCAGCTTAAACCAGCCTAGGCTGGTTGGCTGGTTGTAGCTGATCGACCAGGCTGGTTTTAGAGGGGTTTTGGCCATTCAGGCTGGTTTCCAGCTATGTCCAGCCTGGTCTTAGCTGGTCAGGCTGGAAAATGACCAGCTAAATCCAGCTAAAATCAGCTTGACCAGCCTGGTTTAAGCTGGACATAGCTGGTTTTGGCTGGGCTCTCCGCCTGGCTAGGCTGGTCAAGCTGGTTTTAGTTGGTCATCTCCCAGCCTGACCAGTTAAGACCAGGCTGGAAATGGCTGGGAACCAGCCTGGAAATGGCCAAAACCCCTCTTAAACCATCCTGGTCAACCAGCTAAAAATAACCAACCAGCTTAGGCTGGTTTAAGCTGGATTTTTCAGTAGGGTCAGCACTTAGATAATACATTTATAATTGTTTAAAAATTCTGCTTATCAGTGTTAGTGGTTATTGTGGTAAAGTTTATTCAAGCTAATTGTGATGTTATGAAACCATCATTTAATGCAATGTAATGTTTTTATTTTCTTTTTTTGTCACAGCACTGGGTGAATGCCATTGTTCCACATTAAAGTAGAGCAAACATTTATATATCAGTGTAAAGTGCGTGGTCCTCCAGGTGGCGCTGTTGTTTCAGTGATTTCAGTGAGTGATTATTTTATAATCTTGAAGTAAACAATTAAAAAAGTACAACACAGGAAAATAGTGAGACAAGGCTATGGAGGTATATCTATCTATCTATCTATCTATCTATCTATCTATCTATCTATCTATCTATCTATCTATCTATCTATCTATCTATCTATCTATCTATCTGTCTGTCTGTCTGTCTGTCTGTCTGTCTGTCTGACATTCTCTGGCAGCTTATTTTCTTTCTTTCTATCTATCTATCTATCTATCTATCTATCTATCTATCTATCTATCTATCTATCTATCTATCTATCTATCTATCTATCTATCTATCTATCTATCTATCTATCTATCTATCTATCTATCTAAAATTATTTGACATTTCATTTCTTCTTCTTTTTCTTTACATGTGCTCACCAACCAGAGAGAGTGACGTGTGGTGCCGGGGAATCCCGCTGCTCAAGCCGCGTCACAGAGCTCCGATCCCCGCCTACAGACACGGTGATCTCCGGCGCCCATCCACCACACACAACCCATGCGTTCTCTTGCATTAAAACCAGACTCCCATTTTAACTACATAATAGCGCTGTGTACATAATTGATTTCTACCAAACATTATAGGCAAACATGTTAATAAATGGAGCGAATTCCCCGTGCATCCACACCCGAAGAGGAGGGCGCTCCCCCCAGAGCCTAGCCCGGAGAGGAAGGCTCTTATTCGGTCAGATGGCGTGCCGCAGTCCGCCCACGCGTTTCTCGCGCCCACACAGCAGCGAAAGGAGCGTCATTAACTGAGCGCACAGCAGAACAGAGAGACAACAACACAAGAGTTTCAAGAACATTCACATCTGCAGAATAAGGTCTTACAAGCACTGAAAACAACACGAAATAGGGCGTAAAGGTTGAAGTCTAATTACAGAACCAAAAAGTTTGACTCGTTTGAGTGGCAGAAGTTTTCACTGGAGGCTCAAGATTCCGTCTTGAAGACTCTCGAGGTGAGTAGTTCAACTGCATGATTACCTGCATTTTTAGTGTAACTACTACAACTGTATAGGCTATTTATAGCAGCAGAAAAAGCTGAGTAACACCATCTCTGGATATGATGTTTACTAAGTGCAAGTTATAAAGCATTATAATGCTTTACAAATAGTGCATAGTTTGTGTGTGTGTGTGTGTGTGCTATCAGTTTTTATACACACTTAAATTGCTGGGTTGTTTTAGTTGGGTTAAATATGGAAAAACCCAACCATTGGGTTAAAATTTGTAATTTAAATTTAATTGAATAAACAACCCAGCATTTGTGTGTGTATATGTATATATATATATATATATATATATATATATATATATATATATCTGAATCAGCAAAAAGCAGTCAGAAAATGTTTGTATTATATTTTACATTCATATAAAACCTCAATGAATCAATGAAACTGAGTTTTTCATTTGATTAAGGTTTACTAAATGCCTCAACTGTTAATTATAAAAACTTTATTGATTCATTAAGGTTAAAATGGATGCAAATCATAATGCAAACTACTGTAAGCAATCAGAAAAGCCCTGTGTCCATTGCATTGTTTTTCTGATTGCTTACAGTAGTTTGCATTATGATTTACAGTCATTATATCCTTAATAAATTGATGAAACTGAGTTATTTCAATTGATTAATATTTACTTAAAGTCTCTTAACTATTTATTTTTCTAAAAGACAGTCTTAATTTGTAGATTGCAGGAGTCATAAAGATAGATGTCGCTGGGGCATTGGCTTTCCAAACGTACCTCTTCGAATCATTTAGGTACTAACATCTACCTCAGCCCTGCTAAAAAATCTAGCTTAAACCAGTCTAGGCTGGTTGGCCGGTTTTAGCTGGTCGACCAGGCTGGTTTTAGAGGGGTTTTGGCCACTTCCAGGCTGGTTTCCAGCCATTTCCAGCCTGGTCTTAGCTGGTCAGGCTGGACAATGACCAGCTAAATCCAGCTAAAACCACCTTGACCAGCCTGGTTTAAGCTGGACATAGCTGGTTTTGGCTGGGCTCTCCGCCTGGCTAGGCTGGTCAAGCTGGTTTTAGTTGGTCATCTCCCAGCCTGACCAGTTAAGACCAGGCTGGAAATGGCTGGTAACCAGCCTGGAAATGGCCAAAACCCCTCTAAAACCATCCTGGTCAACCAGCTAAAACCAGCCAACCAGCCTAGACTGGTTTAAGCTGTTTTTTTCAGTAGGGAGAGGTACCAATATGGACCCCTTACTGGTACCACCCCAATTTATAAAGTACAATGAGTGTATAGTTAATAAAGGATGTAGATGGAGCATTCACAAGAGCTGAATCTGTCTCCTGCTGTAGGGGAGTTGAGCAAAACATCCATTATTGCAGATTAAGAGGCTCCATGTTGTGTTGTGGGAGGATCTGGATGAAAACATCTATAGCCCAAACGCATGTAAAGTGAACTATAAGTAAACTGAATTAGCTAAATTGGCCATAGTGTATTAATGTGTGTGTGAATTTATGAGTGTTTCCCAGTGCTGGGTTGCGGCTGGGAAGGGCATCCGCTGTGTAAAACATATGCTGGAATAGTTGGCGCTTCATTCCGCTGTGGCGACCCCAGTCTAAGCTGAAGGAAAATAAATGAATGCTTCTGAAATGCCTGAATCGAGTCATCAGTAATAGTTAGCTTTGGCAGCCTGTGAACAATCTTTGCTTGGACTCTTTGTAGTCATAGCTGTGCCCTTGATGAGTTCATATCTTGTTTTGTACATGTCAAGAAGGTTTTGATGTTTTTTTTTCTGCTGATAAAGCAAGTTCACTTTGCATGACCTTCAAAATGAGGAGGATTTCTGCTAAAGTGTTAAAGGTGCTGTATGTGAGTTTTTGACTCTTCTAAAGCATAAAAATACCATAATATGTTTGCAGATATTTAGGAAACATGCTAAGTGAACCTTCTTGTTTATCTGAAAAACAATGCTGAAGTCAGCTATTCTGCTTTGAAAATGTGAGTTAAGTGCTGGAATGGCTGTCTTTGTTTTGGTTCCTTTAACCCGCCCACTGCCAGTTTAGCCAATCATATTTCAGCATCCCGGGTTGCCTTGGTGGAAAACAGCGTATTTCATTCAATCAGTCAGGAAGGCTCTCAAAGCGAGATATATCCAGCTGCAAGCCCGCAGAACCACACACGTTTTAGGCACACACAATCTAGCACACACGATTTAGGCAAACCCTATATGCTAACTAACTTTTTAGCATTATCGCCACCTATTGAATTTCACAAGTATGGTTTCCCATTTCAGTCATCATTATTATTATTATATCGTTACGATTATTTTAACATCTCTGCAGTTTCTGAACTCAAATTATGTAAATAAAAATAATTGGTTAAAGACACTTATGACTTTATTCATGTGTCCACATACACAAAGAAAACAGAATAGACCGTCTAATTGTAGGATTAAGTGTAAACTAATTCAGGATCTTAATCTTATCATACTTGGTTAAAATCACTTTGTTGTAAAATAATCATTTAATATATATATATATACATATATATATACATATATATATATATATATATATATATATATATATATATATATATATATATATATATATAGTTATATATATATATATATATATATATATATAGTTATAAACTGATGATCTTAACTGATTATAATTATAAGTTTATATATAAACTACTATCTTTTGCTAAACTTTATTTACTAAATATATATATATATATGTGTGTGTGTATATACAGGGTCCCCGCGGGGTCTTAAAAAGTATTAAAAAGTCTTAAATTAAAAAAATCAAAATTTATGTCTTTAAAAAGTCTTAAATTTGCTGTTCTAGGTCTTAAATATTTTTGCACAGGTCTTATTTTTGCGATGTCCATGTAACACTACATCTAATGCTCATTTAAATAATTTTTGTTGTTGTTGCTAGGTTTTTGGGGTGTTGTAGTTCATTATTTCACTAGTCCAATTGTAATTTGCGGTATTACAACTACAAAAAAGTCAACTTGCAATAGCAATCAGCTTTCTGTTATTAAACTCAGTGCGCGCGGCCAATGTGACGTCATCGCTGTGTTTGCGGAAGTTCGCTTTGAGTGCGCGCGAAATGATTTCGGCTGGCAGAGTATGCCATTATTTCACTGACAAATGTCGCAAGCGCAGTTTTATAAGTCGGGAGCGTTGTAATGCGAGAGAGGGAAATTTAAATAACTTTATTTTACCCCTAATTTTGTGCTTTTACATTTTCTCTCGTGTGTTTTTGATATTGCGATATAGGTCTTAAATTTAATACTTAATGGTCTTAAAAAGGTCTTAAAAGGTCTTAAATTTGACATTATGATATCTGCAGAGACCCTGATATAGTGTTTAAAAAATAAGTATATATATATATATATATATATATATATATATATATATATATATATATATATATATATACTTATTATTTTTTATTAATAATAATTAATTTGTTCCTATTGCTAAAGTTTGGTTTAAAAACAATTTATTGCTTACTATAAATTACTACAGTATTAAATGTGGGAAAAGGTTATTAATAAAATTAAGCTCATAAACACTATTAAATCGCTTGAATAAAATATTAATACAGTGTTATACATTTGTTACATGTAAAAAGATTTTTATTACATATGTTTTATTGCCTATATTAACTTGCTAATATTTCCTTCATCATAAATGAATCCATTATATAAATAAACCTGTCCAAATTAGATCGTTCAGCAAGGCCAGCAAATGAGTATCTGCCATATTATTGTCAGATAACAATGACTGATCAGCTATAATGACTGATTTAAAAACTGTTCAGTCTAGTATAATGAATGTCGATCGGAAACAATGCTCGCCATTCGGCCGTCTCGATCACAATATTTGTGAAATAAAGTAAACACTATTGTTTATTGTGTACAATATTTATTAATCATATATATCAAAATATATCGCTTTCGATGTTCAAACAGACGTAATAACATTAACATCCGTCGTAACCATATATGGTTTGCCTAGATTGTTTGTCCTAGATTGTGTGTGCCTTAAACGTGTGTGGTTCTGCGGGCCTGCAGCTGGATATTATTGCTCAAAGCATGCACCTGTGACCGTAATGCGACCTCCGGAGGACAGTAGCAGACCCAAAATGAGGCACAGATTCAGAGTTTTACATGAGGTTATTAATTAGCAAATAATATAAATATTATGAGTGTAAACAGTTTCCATCACTAAAGAACATCTACTTCTATGCTAACATAAAGAGAATAAAAGGAAAGATGACAATGAGTTTTAATAGACCAGTCATTGCGGTAACATCTGCTAAATTCAGCTTTTCGGCTAGCTTCCTGCTTTGCTCATGTTTGATAGTTAACACAATTCCAAAACAACGTGCAAAGCATGTGAAATGTTATATATTGATAGTATATTCAAGCTCATATCATTTTTAAGTAATTAAAAATACATGTTTAGTTCCTGATGGTCAGTCCTGTGCAATTTCAGAATTTCATATACCCCTGTATAATCCATACATTATTGTCTTGTCTTTTTCTTTTTCTTCCACGTTTGATTTAATGGCAGCTCATAGGACTGGTAAAATGTTGTGAACACCAAACACAGCATATTTGAAGTCCCTAACACAAATCCTCCAGCACTACTAACAGCTCAGATGTTCACTCATGTTTATGCTAATAATAGTCTGAAAGACTAGAAACACCTCTTTTTTTTTCTTCAGATCACTGAAGCTGATTGCACACACACTCCGTAACTAAACCAGTTCATCTTTTAGACTAGTGTTTCTCAACAACGTACCTGTCCTTTGTCTCCCTACTGAAAAAAAAACAGCTTAAACCAGCCTAGGCTGATGTCCAGCTTAAACCAGGCTGGTCAAGCTGGTTTTAGCTGGATTTAGCTGGTCATTTTCCAGCCTGACCAGCTAAGACCAGGCTGGAAATGGCTGGAAACCAGCATGGAAAGGGCCAAAACCCCTCTAAAACCAGGCTGGTCAACCATCTTAAAACCAGCCAACCAGCCTAGGCTGGTTTAAGCTCGATTTTTTAGCAAGGCTGTCACACCCATTACATTAGCTTCTCAGCTAATGTTTACGTTTGCATTGTTTTTATATTTGCTAATTAAAAACACAAAACAAACATTTTCAAGTGAAAATAGCTGACTTTACTCTTGTTTTTCAGATATTTTCGCCTATTATGTTTCTTAAATATCTCCAAATAGTATTTATTATACATTAAAAGAGTCAAAAACCGTCATACAACACTTTTAAGTTACAAATTCGCAGCTGATCTGATGCGTACTTTCATGCTTATTTTTTGTCTTGTGCTTGGCCCCGTAATCGCTGCTTGCAGCTATATTTTTATTACTTTTATTTAATTAACTTATAACACTAATGATTGATTATTTGGGAATCCCATTGCAGCTGATCATCAGGATGTCTCTGCCACGAACGCTGGGTGAACTGCAGCTCTACCGAGTTTTACAGCGAGCCAACCTGCTGATGTACTACGACACCTTCATCCAGCAGGGCGGCGATGATGTCCAGCAGCTGTGTGAGGCTGGCGAAGAGGAGTTTCTTGAGATTATGGCTCTTGTGGGCATGGCTACAAAACCCCTGCATGTGCGGCGATTACAGAAAGCGCTGCGCGACTGGGCATCAAACCCAACGCTATTCAACCAGCCACTAACCACCAATGTGGCTCCATGTGGAGTTCCTCTGCTTAGAATCGACAGTGCTGGCAGTGCCAACTCAACAATAATGGGTGCAAGAAAATCTATGAGCAACGGTCAACCAGGATCTCCATGTGAAAGAGAGGAAGTTGGCTCCTGCCTTACGCCGCTTAGAGAAAACAGTCCAAAAAGTCCCTGTTCGCAGGCATCTCCAATACCTCCAGACCACCATCTGTACAGGGAAAAGCTGTCCCCGATGGACTCTCACTGGCTCAGCCCTGAAATATACGGATCTGCAGATTTAGATGAAGATCAACCCGTGCCTCCTTTACCCTTTGCTTGTCATTCTCGTCTTCTGGGTCCACCAACGCCAACATCATCTTCATCATCCACTTTGGTCTCTCCGTGGCCTGGAGGTCAGCTGGATCCGGACACTATTAAAGCGGTGGAGGACAGCGTGGATCGGCTTCTGAGGACCATGCCGCAAGCCGATCAGACTGAGGTCAAGACGCTTTTGAGACTCAATAAGAAAATGGCCAAGACCGTGGGACACATTTTCAACCTGGAAGCTCAGGACAAGAGCAAAGAGGAGGAGATCCGCAAATACAGCCTGATCTACGGACGCTTCGACTCCAAGAGGAGGGAAGGGAAACAGCTCACACACCATGAGGTTTGTCTGTTTTGAAGTTGATTAAGGAGTTTGTATTGAGTTATATACAGAAAGTTTGAAGTAGTTTTTTTAGAAATGTGAATTTTTAAGATTTTAGACGTTATTTAGATGTTATTTAGACGTTGTTTAGATTTATTTAGACTTTAATTAGATGTTATTTAGATGTTATTGAGATGTTATTTAGATTTATTTAGACATAATTTAGACGTTATTTAGATGTTATTTAGACATTATTTAGACGTTAATTAGACGTTATTTAGATGTTATTTAGACATTATTTAGACGTTAATTAGACGTTATTTAGATGTTTTTAGACGTTATTTAGATATTATTTAGATATTATTTAGATGTTATTTAGAGGTTATTTAGATGTTATTGAGAAGTTATTTAGATATTATTTAGATGTTATTTAGAGGTTATTTAGATGTTATTGAGAAGTTATTTAGATATTATTTAGATGTTATTTAGAGGTTATTTAGAGGTTATTGAGAAGTTATTTAGACATTATTTAGATATTATTTAGATGTTATTTAGAGGTTATTTAGATGTTATTGAGAAGTTATTTAGATATTATTTAGGATGTTATTGAGATGTTATTTAGATGTTATTTAGAGGTTATTTAGATGTTATTGAGAAGTTATTTAGACATTATTTAGATATTATTTAGATGTTATTTAGAGGTTATTTAGATGTTATTGAGAAGTTATTTAGATATTATTTAGGATGTTATTGAGATGTTATTTAGATGTTATTTAGAGGTTATTTAGATGCTATTGAGACGTTATTTAGACATTATTTAGACATTATTTAGTTTTTATTTAGATGTTATTTAGAAGTTATTGAGATGTTATTTAGATATTATTTAGACATTATTTAGATATTATTTAGACATTATTTTGATGTTGTTTAGACGTTATTTAGACATTATTTAAAAGTTATTTAGACATTATTTATATGTTATTTAAGGCTGGAAAGTGAAGTTAGGTGTTTGAGTGTGTAAATTACATATAAAGTCAATGCAAATGTGCAAATAAAAGGGAATTATCGATACAATGCAAAAATGATGCAGATTGCATGGAATATGCCTCAATCACATCTACTAGGGCTCTAATGGATCACGGTTGATCCATCATTCGTACGGATCACAATCCATGGTTCAGAACACATGTGACCCACAGATTAATACTTTTTTTTAACTTTTAGATAAATCCTAAATTCGTAATGATCACAGAGGATCGCCTCTCGCGTCATTGAAATCACATATATTAAAGCATTTAGGCTTTCCTGTAAAATATAATCATGACTGAAGAAGTTGTGGTGAGTTATTGAGGATGTGGTGGGTTTCTTAGTTTATTAAAGGTGTTTTCTGTCACTGCTTGTTTAGCCTGCATAAATGCATTCAGTGTAAGCTGCACGATTAATCATTGAAAGATCGAGATCTCAACACCCACGCAACATAAATTATAAATGGTGCTGATTTGCAAATGCTTATTAATCCTTCTAATCGCTGCATTCAAATCTGTTTAAAAAATAAAAGTTTTACCTCTTCCCTACAGGGAAAAACAACAATCAAGAATGCATGATCATATGCTGTCATGGCTTTGCAGTCAAAAATGTGATTATAATTACAGTCAATGGGGCAAAAACAGCCCCGAAAATAACGAAAGGGGAGTCAGTTTGAACAGTACACAAGAGTTGTGCTGTAAAATGAGCTTATTTCCAGTCACAGATGACCATTAAAGACCTGGTTCTCTTTTATTTCCTCTTTCAGATGCTCATCAACGAGGCGGCAGCTCAGTTCTGCATTCGAGACAATGCTCTGTTATTGCGCAGAGTCGAACTCTTCTCACTAGCGCGACAAGTGGCCAGAGAATGTGCCTACACGTCTACATTTAAACACCACAGGTGAGGATCACTTCTCTTATGAGTACACCTTATAGTTCACTTTAATGAGGTCTCATATATTGCTAAATACCATTTGGCATTTCTGTGTGGAGTTTGCATGTTCTCCATGTGTTGGCGTGGGTTTCCTCCGTACAATCCAAACACTTGCGCTATAGGTGAATTGGATTAACTAAATTGGCCGTAGTGTATGAGTGTGTGTGTTTGAATGTGAGTGTATGGGGAAACCCACACCAACACGAGGAGAATGATGACATTAACACGTTTGATTTCATTATTTCATAGCACTCTAAACACACACTCACGTCCTGTTTGCTGTGTTTTCTTTTGAAGTCTTTGATATATGAAGAAGCTTTAAAGTCCAATTTGGTAAAGATCCAAAGAAAGCTCTTGGAGGAGTTTTCTGGAAATTGAATCTGTGGGCTGCTTTTGACTTGGCACGAGCCCAGGAATCAGAAGGAAAGATAAGGATGCCAGTGGTTCACAACTTTTCCCACTCCCCCAGAAACCAATTATATATTGAATTAATTTAGCAGGAAATTGGCAATGTTGTATTTTTATTATACAATACATGTTATTCTAATAGTTTTGCATTGCCTTCCACAATAACTGCCTTTGTTTTATTTGTTTGACTATAGGGTGCTTTTATAATATCTGGCAACCTTTCAAAAACCTTATTTGTTCTACATAATAGTTCCTCACATACTATTTACATGTATTCACAAAAAAAAAAGACTCAAAACTCTACTCTTTACGCCAGGTCGGACACTTTCTGTTTGTTAGGATCACAATAAGATCAATTTCAAAAACTTGAAGACTCTCAGAACTGTTATGAACAGCCGAAGTGTATACCAGTTTCAGTTTTTCATTGAAATTAGCGTCTTTTTATGATTAATGTGTTAACCTATTTCATCGCATGCTAATTTTTTTTATTTTTGTCATCTCAGGACGTACTCAGAGGATTGTTCTGCCTCCGCCGAGTGTGCCGCTCAGAAGAGGATCAAGCTTGATGTGAGTAAATCAAGATATCAACAGTTTAACTAAAGTTTCGGGGAGATTGCAAATATTCATCAGCATTAGAAATACGCAGTTTAAAGGTTCACAAAACCCTCGGGTACTTTTTTTGAGATGTTAACAGATGTGTGTGTGTTGAGCATCAGTTAGGACAATGTTAGCAGCTGTCAGCTTTAATTGTGGGGAAAACTGGATAATTTTGAGCTTTTGTCCGCTCATTTCAGCTTCTGTAGTGGTTTTCGATTTTGCTCTTAATGAATCAAATTCAGTCTGGAGATTATGAATATCAGAAGAGTATACTTTATTGTCGACAACAAAGGAGAATTTTCAGGAGACCCCGAGTAGCATCTCTGTCTGAAAAATTCTCACTGATGTTCTGGCCTGCTTAAATACTCTTTTGCAACTGTTTTTCCCTTTGTTTTAATTTGTCACACAAGATCCCACCTAGGTAAACCCCTGACCTCAATTTCCACCTAGGTTAACCCCTGACCCTAAATTCCTCCTAGGTTAACCCCTGACCCCAAGTTCCACCTAGGTTAACCCCTGACCCTAAATTCCTCCTAGGTTAACCCCTGACCCCAAATTCCACCTAGGTTAACCCCTGACCCCAAATTCCACCTAGGTTAACCCCTGACCCTAAATTCCTCCTAGGTTAACCCCTGACCCCAAATTCCACCTAGGTTAACCCCTGACCCCAAATTCCACCTAGGTTAACCCCTGACCCTAAATTCCTCCTAGGTTAACCCCTGACCCCAAATTCCACCTAGGTTAACCCCTGACCCCAAATTCCACCTAGGTTGACCCCTGACCCCAAATTCCACCTAGGTTAACCCCTGACCCCAAATTCCACCTAGGTTAACCCCTGACCCCAAGTTCCACCTAGGTTAACCCCTGACCCCAAATTCCACCTAGGTTAACCCCTGACCCCAAAATCCACCTAGGTTAACCCCTGACCTCAAGTTCCACCTAGGTTAACCCCTGACCCCAAATTCCACCTAGGTTAACCCCTGACCCCAAGTTCCACCTAGGTTAACCCCTGACCCCAAATTCCACCTAGGTTAACCCCTGACCCCAAGTTCCACCTAGGTTAACCCCTGACCTCAATTTCCACCTAGGTTAACCCCTGACCCCAAGTTCCACCTAGGTTAACCCCTGACCTCAATTTCCACCTAGGTTAACCCCTGACCTCAATTTCCACCTAGGTTAACCCCTGACCTCAATTTCCACCTAGGTTAACCCCTGACCTCAATTTCCACCTAGGTTAACTCCTGACCCAAACCTGGTAACTATATAACTTATCCATTTCTTGTGATATGGTAATTCTTCTAATGGTATGCAAGTCTAGAAGCAGATTATACACATACAATTTGAATATATAGATTAACTTCACACTTTAAAGAATATAAAATCCACTTCACTTCCGGGTTTAAAATGATTTTTGGGGAGGATTAAAATCGAAGACGTATCGCAAAACTGCAAGTGCCAAGATGACACGTCGGTTTCTCATTATTATTCATAGCAGAGATTTCTTATCCTATGAGAAGAGCCAGCTGCTTAATTATTCATGACTGCACGTGCTTTCTGAAGGCTAGACAGGCCTGCCAGTGCCAAGCTGAGACACGGACCCACGGCACACAGTGTTTAGCTGTTCATGAAGGCTTGTATGTGTTTGTTTCCATGATCCACGGGGGTTTGTTGCATGTTTTTCCTCGCGATGCTGTCAGGGCCGATACAGCAAAGCTGTTTCTGTGCAGCAAGCATTTTTGTCGGGAGAGCAGTACGAGAATTAGAGAATGGCGGATGTTGTCTTTTATCACTTCACATTTAGACACATTGCCGTGCTGCTGTGTTTGCCTAAATCCTCCAGATTACCAACAGGGCTAATGGTTAGACAGGGCAAGAGACCTGCAGCACTGAGTCTGCATTCAGACCCGGGGATTGAGGGAGAAGTCCTCATTTATAGTCTTTATATGAACATGATTATCTTTATAATGATATAAATTGTGGTTGTCTGTATATGAAATTACGAATGTAGCAGGGCATTAAATCAGTTTATTTCTTTGCATTTTAACTCTGTAAACTATAAAATCATGCGTCTCCTCACGGTTTGGGTCTTATTTTGTGAGCCGACTGACAACAGTTGCTCGCTTCCCTCCTTCTCCCCTGCTGGCCACGCCCACTCCTGCCCTTTGCTCTTAGAGCTCCACCCCCATTATGATGAATCTTTTGAAAAAATTGGGAGTTGGACCTGAACTGAACGTGGGGGGTGTCATGGCCCTTTAAGGCCAAAGTGAATGTATTTATGTAATAAGTATTAATGAAATTTACTTCATTTTTCAAAGTGTCTCAAACAGAACAGAACAAGGACATTTTTTACAATGTTAAACATCACTTTGGAAATATTAAAAAAAAATATTTAAAATTTCACAGGAGGGTGAATAATCTGTCTTCAGCTGTATTAAATATTCTCAAATTGACAATAAAAAGAACAGGACCGAAATAAAGATGTACAAACGCAAAGATCTAAAGTGCTCAGCGAATGATTTCATTCATTTTCCTTTCAGCCTAGTCCCTTTATTAATCTGGGGTCGCCACAGCGGAATGAACCACCAACTTATCCAGCGTACGTTTTACGCAGCGGATGCCCTTCCAGCTATAACCCATCTTTGGGAAACATACATTCACACTCATACACTACAGCCAATTTAGCCCACCCAATTCACCTGTGCCGCATGTGTTTGGACTGTGGGGGAAACCGGAGCACCCGGTGGAAACCCACGCGAACGCAGGGAGAACATGCAAACTCCACACAGAAACACCAACTGACCCAGCCTAGGCTCAAACCAGCGACCTTCTTGCAGTGAGGCGACAGCACTACCTACTGCGCCACTGCGTCGCCCATTTTTGTTATTTCATCATCATTTATATTTCAGTATATTGTTATTTTTATTATCTATCTATTTATGCATTTTTTATATTTAATTTTTATATATGTATGTAAATTGAATGCGTATATACAGTTGAAGTCATAAATATTTGCCCTCCTATGAATTTCAATTTCTTCTTCGAATATTTCCCAAACGCTGATTAACAGATTCTGGAATTTCTCACAGTATTTCCTATAATATTTGTTCTTCTGCAGAAAGTCTTATTTGTTTTATTTCGGCTGGAATAAAAGCAGTTTTTAATTTTTTCATAAACCTTTTTAAGGTCAATATTATTAGCTCCCTTAAGCAATATTAGTGTTGGATTGTCTCCAGAACAAACCACTGTTATACAATGACTTACCTAATTACCCTAACTTTACCCTGATTACCCTAGTGAAGCCTTTAAATGTCACTTTAAGCTGAATACTAGCATCTTGAAAAATATCCAGTCAATTATAATGTGCTGTCATCATGACAAAGATAAAAAAAATGGAGCCAGTCGCAGGGGGAATGAAGTGTTTGCTGTTTGCAGGTCACAGATTCTGACAGACTGTCGAAGGATCCAGCGGTCAACAGTGACGTCAGATCTACAGCAGACGACAACAGTCTTTCTGGAGAGAGTCTGGACAGTTTAACACAAGGTGAGGGGCGGGGGGGACTTGGCATCAGATATTTTCCAGTGAGTTTACTGGAGACTCAGACAGAACGGATCAATTCAATCAGTGTGTTGTTTAATGGAGACTCTGCATTAGCATAGACAGCCCTGAGTGAGAAGCAGCCATCCGCCATTAGAGTTTTCACCTGCTGAAGATAATGTCACACAAATGCACAGCGACAGAAGTCTCCGTAGACTGATGCATTCTCACACATTTCACATTTTCTTTTTTTACCACAGAGATAACTTTAGTCCTGTTTTGAATCTGCCACTATGCTGACACACAGGCATCTGTAGCTCCGCCCTCTTTTGAAAAATCACATTTCAATTTAAAGCGACAGTCACCAAAACGCCACAATTAGGATCAAAGCCTAAAAGGGGCAGATTATTACAGTTATAAAACATTATTCATGTGGTATTTTGAGCTGAAACTTCACATACATGCTCTAGAGACACCACAGACTTATCTTGCATCTTGTAAAAAGGGGCAGAATAGGTCTCCTTTAAGGTGTTGTGTATAGGGCGAACAGTAAAACCTGTAATTATATATAATATAGGGCCCTAATATCAACCCAGGCTCATTCTGAAAATGTAGTCCCCTGGACGTTTCTGGAGACCGCGAAATACATCCTGGGAGGTACGTATTTGTGCAGTTTTTGCCGTTGGCGCCCGCAGTGTTCTCGCGTAAACCCACCGGGAGGCCGCTGTCGAGTGACCGTCTGTCCAACTGACTGAATGATTGGGCGACCGGTGAATCCCACCCTCCTCCTCCTTCCGTAAACCCAACCGGTTTTACCGATTGACCCGCCCGCCTACTTACTTCCCTAAACCCAAGCAACGATTTACAAAAGCCGTCCAGATATAGAAAAGCCCTCGTCTGATTTTTACCCCGTTTTCGGATTTTACCACATTCTCGCCCTGTTATGAACTCGTTCACTTTATTTTTTGGATTCTGTTTTTGTCTTACCTAATTTCTGGAACCGCTCTTCCCTGGACTCGAACCCGGTCGTCGTGGTCAGCTCCTCTTAGCGTCTCAACGAGAGAACCCGACAAACTGGTTGCGGCGGGAAAGCCCTCCACAGAGGTGAGCTGTCAGCCGGCGAGTGCGAAAAGGAGCGGCGTCACACCGGCCCATAGCATCCGCTTAAAAAAATTTAATTCAGCCTTAAGTACCTCCGGCTACATAAATCGCGATCTCCAGAAACGTCCGCAGGACTACATTTTCAGAATGAGCTTGGGTTGCCTAATATACACCCAGCACAATAAGACACAAAGGTGTGTATGGGGCGATTTGTTGCTATTTTCAGACCAGCGCCACTCTAATTTTCACATTTTGCACCATGTTGTTTAAATAGCAAATGTATTTTTTGCTCATGGGTGTGCTGGACTACAAAGGAGGTGTGTTAAGGCACATTGTTGATGCATTGCTATATTAAGAACTGAAATAGACCGCACAATTGACCAACTAAAAGCTGCTCTAAAGTTCAGTACAGAGCGCGTTAGTTATGCGCCTATGCAGGTCCAAACATTTACACATTGCTTAATACACACAGGATGGACAGCAACACACAAATATCTTTACATATGAAAAAGTTAAGATTAAATGATTAAAGTTAAGATTAAAATGTTACAAAAATTATAATTTTCTATATAAATATAAAAACCACTGCCTCTATGCCTTATTCACCTCGGTGGGGGGAGGGGGGGGGGGGGGGGGGCTTTTAGTTTATTCATGACAACTTGCATTTTTATTATAATTTTATTATTATTATTATTATTATTATTATTATTATTATTATTAGCAGATTGTGGGCTTTTAGTTTATTCATGACAATTTGCATTTTTATTATAATGTTATTATTATTATTATTATTTGCAGTATTATTTATTATAAGCTTATTTATATTTGTTTTGTTAAAATCGAGTTTAGATTTGTCCAGCTGTGGGGTTTTGGAGACGTCTGCATCAGCACATGGGGCATAAGAACAGGATGTGTTTTTGAATATAACTCAGTTTTTTGACCACACTTCCTTATTATTGTTCATTTATTCCTTTGCTGGAAATTAGAACAGAATTTAGAAATAGTTTTGACACAAATATTTGCGCTTAACAAACTAAATTAAACATGTTTGAAAAAAAAGTACAGGAGTAAAGAGTAAAAATAAAGTAAAGAGAAAGTAAAGAGGCTGAATGGAGGAGGCTCGTTCTTTATCCTCTTGCTGCAGATGCTCTGTTTAACTGTTTTCTCGCTAGTGAAGCGTTCTGTTTTCACACCTAAAGTCCATCATGTAAATAGAAAATGTGCCATGGAGTGACGCAACTGACTCTTAAAGGGAATGGGAGATGAGACTCTGATTGATTTAATGCATGTTATGCTCAAAACACACCCAGAACTCATTAAGAGAATAAGCTCGACCCTGTTAGACCATGCGCTGGGGCGCAGAGCGTATTTTTCTGTCCTTAAAATAGCAAGTGGATTCGTACACACCCTTAATGCTTTTGCGCTTTAGACTTTGCGTCTAGATCATTAAAAATAAAGCCCATAAATTGTTATTTTTTTAAAAAAGGAGATGTTTAAGTGCCTAAAACACACACAATCCATAAATGTATATGGATGGAGACATAGCCATTGATTTACTGCTTGCAAAATCCAACTGCTTGCCAAAATGTAACTTCCAACCCATCATTTGTCCTTTTTTTTCATTATGTGTTGCATTTAGTGCATGTGTCAAAATGTTCAGTATCACTTTACTTGAAGGGGTGCCATGCCATGATTGTACGCATGCTTACGACAACCGTTATTGAGTGTCATTTGCTCAGTTATGTCATTTTAAATGCAAAGATGATACTGTTTGACAACTTGACATGAACAAATACATCACAAAGCAGTCTTCATCTTTGTCATGACAATTTGACATTAGCAAGACAACATAACTTGTCATAAATCTGTCATAAACATGATTGTCGTGATGAGGCATTATAAGCGTGTCATGAATATTTTTCTGATTACGTTTTCACTGTATTTGCCATTAAAATGTCTCATTAAAAGTGCCATTACTCTGTGGAATTATAATAAAGAGCATCATTAAAAACAAATTCAGCTTGTACCACTGTAGTTATATTAATGATGGCCTTATAAAAATAATTACATACTTATAATGGCTTCATCATGACGATCATGTTTATGAAGGATTTATGACAAGTTTTGTTGTCTTCGTAATGTCAAGTTGTCATGACAAAGACATAAACAGCTTGTGATGTGTTTATGTCAAGTTATCATAACAAACACTGTCATCTTTGCATTTAAAATGACTTGACTGAGCGAGGCAGCATTGTGGCTCAGTGGTTAGCTCTGTCGCCTCACAGCAAGTAGGTTGCTGGTTTGAGTCTCGGCTGGGTCAGTTTCCCCCACAATCCAAACACATGCACTATAGGTGAATTGATGAACCAAATTGGCTGTAGTGTACGAGTGTGAATAAGTGTGCATGGGTGTTTCCCAGTACTGGGCTGCAGCTGGAAGGGCATCCGCTGTGTAAAACATAAGCTGGATAAGTTGGCGGTTCATTCCGCTGTGGCGACCCCTGATAAATAAAGGGATTAAGCCGAAGAAAATTGAGTATATAACTGAGCGAATGACACTTAACAACAGTTGTTATAAGCATGTATGAAATCTCATTCACTTTCATGACATGTGACGTCATGGTTATAAAGGTCTTGTAAAGGTGTCCGTTCACTCCCTCATTGCCTCAGAATTCATTGTTTGTCTGTCTCTGTGTGTGTTGATAGATCTGAGTCCTCAGTGTCAGGCGTCCTCGTCCCCTCACCCCCTCCCCGAAACCAGCCTCATCACCTGGAGTCGGACGCTCATGCAACAGACACTCATGGATGAGGGCCTCAGATTGGCTAGAATGGTGTCACGTGACCACGCCAGCAGAGTCAGCCTAGGGTCAGAAAAGAGACAGATTTCAGGTGAATACTAGAGTTCTGTCATCTCTCATACAACACCACCAGCCATGCTTTTCCTAGCTCACATTGCTAGTTTTGTGGTGAACATTTCATCTGTGCATGTCATTAAGAATCAAACAAATAATTTGCCCTTCTAATCTTCAACTAAAATCTGAAAATGCACTTCCTGTTTGTTTTTAGATAAATTCCCAGATTAGGTCTGTCTGAGGTATTGGGTGTGGCCAACATATTTAACCACGCCCCTTCAGCTGTCAGTTTTGACAACAAACAGTAATGCTAAGCAGGAGGAGGAGTCTGTTAGGTTATAATAACTCTCCGCAAACTCTTTTCCCCATCTTTTGAATAAAACACCTACTTTACTGATAAAATTTCTAATAAATATTCAGTTCCTCTAGAAACTGCACGACAAAATTGTGGACGGGCCCAGGACAGGTCAATCAGTAAAACCGGTTAGGTTTAGGCAAGGAGGAGGGTGGGTCGGCCGATTGGTCGGTCGCTCAGTCAATCATTTAGTCAGTCGGACAGACAGCACGGCGGATTCGCGAAAACAAAAACTGCACAAACACGTACTTCTTTTACGTATTTTGCGGTCTCCAGAAACGTCCGCGGGACTATGTTTCCAGAATGAGCCTGGGTTGAATATATGGGAGTCTTTTTCATGCATGATAGACGCAAATAAAAAAACGACCTTTTGCGCGATGTGATAATACCTCGAAGTTTTACCCTTTAGCAGTCACGGAGGTCGGACACCAGATGCGCCTCTCGGCCCCGTGCCACGCAGCACCATGAATTTAAAAATTCTAAACATAGATTTCTATCAGGGTACACACACCAGCGCTGCAAGTCGACAGCTGTCTGCGGCGCCCATCTATAACTCAGGACTCTGTTCACTCTGATCGCCATCTGAATAGTTTAATTTTAAGTAACATGCGTATGTGCGTGTCCGGCGAATGATACTTCCAACCATCATATTCACACCGCATCTGGTGTGCAACCCGCTTCAGAAGACTGGAACTTCATGTTTAAGGCAGCACTCATGCCTCATCACAAAGGGGCAAACAAAACTGACATTTAGCCTACAATCCTTGCACAACCTACAGTTGTATCCGTTATCTCTCTCTTTTGGTAGTACCCAACTTAAATGTGAGATTTTAGAAACCAGATCTAAATTTATCGAAAACGGTCGGGTCGGACAGAAAATTATTTTAATCAGGCAGCGGTTGAACAAAGAATATACGGAGGGAGTGGTCGGGTGCGGAATAAAACCTTGCGGGAGCGGGACTAAAAAAACAGTCCTGTGCAGACCCCTAGTGTGATTGGCTCCCTAATCTATTGTGATAATTCCACAGTTGCTATAGTAACAAAACAACTATCGTAATGTAAACAAATGATCCAAGACTACAGAAAAGAACAGACCATTTTGAGGGATGTAAACAACAACAATTGTCCTAATCTATTTCCTGTATTACATTTTTTATTTCCATAGCTTCCAAAATGTCCATATATTCATAAATAAGGTTATGATAACATTTAGACACCATTTAACTGTCTCTTGTTGTGGTTACGAAATAGTTCAGGCAGAAAATGTTCATGGGTCAATGACATCGCCACATTGAAATGGTCCATATTGTAAAAAGCTATATTAGTTTTGGATTGTCTACAAAACAAACCACTCTTATACAATGGCTTGCCTAATAACCCGATCTTAACCTTATTAACCTAGTTAAGCCTTTAAATGTCACTGTAAGCTGAATACTAGTATCTTGAAGAACATCTAGTCTAATATTATTTACTGTCATCATGACAAAGACAAAATAAATCAGTGATTAGAGATGAGTTATTAAAACTATTATGATTATGAAAATACTGTGATGTCAGGTTTATCTAACATCGTGCAGCACTGGTGGTGTGTGTGCTGTAGCTGGTCTTCAGTGCTGGCATGAATCAGACAGTATGAAAAAGCGAGATGTGAAGAGGACGAGTGTACGGGCGGAGGGGGCCGCAGGAAGTGATGCGTGGGTGAGAAACCGGAGCCCCTCGTCCCCGTCTGACGTCAAAGCGCATCAGTGTGCGGACGGATGGAGGGATGGATGGATGGATGGAGAGAATAGAGGGGGTGAACGAGTGGGAGGGAGTGAGAAGGGCGTCGCTTTGACTCACAGAGACGGAGTAAAAATAAACCATGTGGGCAGAGAAAGGATGCAGTGTCTCTCTCTCTCTCTCTCTCTTTAATGAGCAAACACTAATGCTTCACTTTAGTCAAACTCACAGAAATGAGCTTTTTGTGTGTGTGTGTGTGTGTGTGTGTGTGTGTGTGTGTGTGTGTGCGCGCTGATAATTTGTTGTTCATTTCATTGCGCTGTCAGTCATGTTGTGCTCATTTCTCTGCGTACAGTTGAAGTCAGAATTATTCGCCCTCCTGTATATTTTTCTCCTTAATTTCTGTTTAATGAAGAGATTTTTTTCAGCACATTTCTAAACATAATAGTTTTAATAACTCAGTTCTAGTTGATTTCTATTATCTTTACCATGATGACAGCACATAATATATGACTGGATATTCTTCAAGACACTAGTGTTCAGCTTAAAGTGACATTTAAAGGCTTAACCAGGCTAATTAGGGTAAAGTTAGGGTAATTACGCAAGTCATTGTATAACAGTGGTTTGTTCTGGAGACAATCCAACACTAATATTGCTTAAGGGGGCTAATAATATTGACCTTACAATGATTTAAAAAAAATTAAAACTGCATTTATTCTAACCGAAATAAAACAAATTAGACATTTTTTCCAGAAGAAAAATAATTATAGGAAATACTGTGACAAATTCCTTGCTCTGTTAAACATCATTTAAGAAATATTTGAAAAAGAAAATAAATAAAAGCCTCTGATGAATAAAGGCACTAAGCTGAAGGAAAGTTAATAATTAAATGTAGGTATAATTGTAAATTATATAACTAGATAGAACTAAATATATATATATAAATAAAATAAAAATAAAACAAAAAAAACGATGATATATAAAACCCTTTAAAAAATAAAAATAACTTTTTACAATAATAAAATATTGTAAAAAAGTGTATATATAGAGAGTGTATAAAAAATATATATGTATATATATAAGTATAAATATTACAGTAAAAATAAAGAAAATGGTCGACGCCTGTGGTGTAGTGGTTAGGGCGTCGACACATGCACTCCTGTGCCGATCCTTCCCCTCTCTCTGCTCCCCATGCTTTCCTGTCAATTCTCTCTACTTTCCTATCCAATAAAGGTGAAAACCCCGAAAAAATTTTAAAAATAAAGAAATAAAAAAATAAAGAAAATGATGAAAAATTAAATGTTATTTATTTATTATTATTATTATTTATTTATAGTTAAACTGGCCATTTTTGCTTGCCTAATATTGCTTAAAGGGGGTAATAATATTGATCTTAAAATGGCTTTAAAAAAATTAAAAACTGCTTTTATTCTAGCCAAAATAAAACAAATAAGACTTTTTCCAGAAGAAAAAATATTATAGGAAATACTGTGAAAAATTCCTGAATTTGTTTAAGACCATTTGGGGAATATTTGAAAAAGAAAATAAATAAGCAAATAAATTCACAGGAGGGCAAATCATGTTGACTTCCACTGTATGCATGAGTTTTAAGGGGGCAGTTCACACCAAATATAAAAATTCTGTGATAATTTACTTATCCTGCAATTATTTCAAAAGCTTTTTGAGTTTACTTCTTCTGTTGAGCACAAAAGGAGAAGTTTTGAGGAATGTTGGAAACTAGAACCCATTTATTTCAATCATAGTTTTTTTTACTGCTATGGAAATCAGTGGTGTAGGTTTTCCAAATTTTCAAAAAGTCTCCAGAAATATTTTACTGGCCTTAAAACAGAATAATTGTTTTTTCATTAAAAAGAGAGGAGGATAAAACTGTGAAAACATGTCCATTTGCAGTTTTTAGTTTGATTATGTATTATAAAAGTCTGATGACACGGTGGCTCAGTGGTTAGCACTGTCACCTCACAGCAAGAAGATCGCTGGTTCAAGTCCCGGATTTGTCAGTTGGCATTTTTGTGTGGAGTTTGCATGTTCCCCCCGTGTTGGTGGGTGCTTCGGTTTCCCGCAGAGTCCAAACACATGCACTTTTGAATTAAATGAGCTAAATTGTTTGTAGCGTATGAATGTGAATGAGTGTGTATGAGTGTATTTAAGTACTGGGTTGCAGGTGGAAGGGCATACGCTGTGTAAAACATATGCTGGAGTAGTTGGTGGTTCATTCCACTGTGGCAACCTCTGATAAATAAAACGACTAAGCCGAAGGAAAATTATTGAATAATTAATTGTAGGTATAACTGTGTATGATTTACCTATATAGGACAAAAAATAAATATAAAAAATGGTGATATATAAAACCCTTAAAAAATACAAAATTAAAACTTTTTACAGTAATAAAATATTGCAAAAAGTATTTATATATATATATATATATATATATATATATATATATATATATATATATATATATATATATATATATATTTATTTATTTATTTATTGTAATACTGGCAATTTTGATCCGAAAAATATTGCTTAGTGGGGCTAATAATATTGATCTTAAAATGGTTTTTTTTTCAAATCTAAGCTGCTTTTATTCTAGCCAAAATAAAATAAATAAGACTTTCTCCAGAAGACAAAATATTATCGGAAATACTCTGAAAATTTGCTGAATCTGTTACAAATTATTCCGGGAATATTTTGGCAATATTTTAACTTCAGCTGTATAATACAAATTGACATCTGATACTGTGTCGGACTGCACTCGTTTCCCATCTTGAAAAGCAATGTAAATGTAAATGTTGTTTATTGTGCTAGAGATGGAGGAGAGGGCATCCGAGAGGAGAAGTCTGAGTACCAGAAGCAGCAGTCCAGCAAACACCAAAGATGATCCATGAGAACCAGCAGTCCTTCAGTCCCCATGACGATCTCAGGTCTCTCCAAGCCGTGTGTGTGTGTGTTCACTTCACTGTTCATCATGCCAGGGTAAAGCTGCAGTCAAAGAATAACAATGGAAATCTGCATTTGTTTGATGTGCTTTAAGGTAATTGATGATGGTTTATCATCCATTAAAGGAACACTCCAATGTACTGCCACATTACAAGGTTTTTGTAGCGAAAAGTACAACACCGACCCAGACAATGCAGCACTTTAAACCAATAAAAATGTTAATAAAAGTCACTTTTTCAATCTCTTCGAGGTTAAAAGTTGTTAGAACAAAGATCAAGATCCCATAATGCAACTCAAAGCATAAATAAATAGTATGGTCAATAAATATTATTCACAAAATACAGAAAACTGTCGACACCTCTCTAGGCTGGAGACTCTAAACCGGAAGCAGTTTGAGTGTTATAAATACATCACTTTCTTTGGTCAAGTTGCTTTGACATACCAATAAATATGGTGCTAATTTGGTGTCGAGTAGTTTAGAAAATGAACCTGCATCTGTATCTGTTACCTGAAGCTTCACTCATTAGTCTAGATGACACGCTAGTCTTCTTGATTTGTTGTTTTAATCCAACTGATCACAATGCTACAATAAACATACACTATACTGCCAAAATCTTGGGGAAATCTGCCTTTACATGCACGTCCTGAAATTGAAGGACATCCCAGTCTTTATCCGTAGGGTTTAATAATAAGTTGGCCTACCCTTTTTAGCTTGAACTCTCTAGAGATGTGTGTCTGGAGGAGCATTTGTGAGGTCAGACGCTGATTTTAGCCTGGGTCAAAGTCTCTGGTCTATTTTATCCCCGAGGTGTTCATTTGGGTTAAAGTCAGGACTCCGTGCAGGCCAGTCTATTTTTATCCACAACAAAAATCCATGTCTATATGGATCTAGGCTTGTTGACTAGTGAGTGTTCATGTTGAACAGGAATCCCCATTCCCAATCTATTCCTATAAAGTTGGGAGAATGACATTGTCTAAAATATGTTGGTATGCTGAAGCATCACCAGTTATTTTCATCAGAACTAAAGGCATGGTTCAGTACAGCTAGGTTTCGGGGGCTGGTCCACTGCATTCTGTACTTAGTACCTGGAACTTATTTTAGTACTACATCAGGTGAGGTTTCAAGCAGGTTGTACCATTACCAAAACATGACATGTACACACTGCTGCCGATCACCGATTGGTCAGAGATTTTCAATTTCACTTCAGTGTGTGAGTCTGGCTTGAATAAGTTCCATGTATTTTTACCATTCTTTCCCGTGGTATAACTAACTGATTTTTAAATAGCCAACTTTGATGAAAGGTATTAAACATATGCACTATATTGCCAAAACCTTTGGAAAATCATTTGTGAAGTCTGGAACTGCGTTTGGATGTGAAGGCCTGTCTCACAGTCTAATTCAGCCCAAGGTGTTCATTTGGGTTAAGGTCAGGACTCTATGCAGGCCAGTCCATTTTTTCACATCAAACTCGCTCATTCCTGTCTATATGGACCTAGGTTTGTTCACTAGTGAGTGTTCATGTAGAACAGGAATCCCCATCTGTTCCATAAACTGGTCCAAAATAAAGTTGGGAGCATGACATTGTCTAAAACAGGGGTGTCAAACTCAATTCCTGGAGGGCCGAAGCCCTGCACAGTTTAGTTCCAACCCTGCTCCAACACACTTACCTGTAGGTTTCAAACAAGCCTGAAGCACTGAATTAGTTTGATCAGGTGTGTTTAATTAGGGTTGGAACTAAACTGTGCAGAGCTGCGGCCCTTTTGGAACAGAGTTTGACACCTGTGGTCTAAAATGTGTTGGTATGCTGAAGCATCACCAGTTATTTTCATCAGAACTAAAGGCATGGTTCAGTACAGCTCGGTTTCGTGGGCTGGTCCACTGCATTCTGTACTGAGTACCTGGAACTTATTTTAGCACCACATCAGGTGAGGTTTCAAGCAGGTTGTACCATTACCAAAACATGACATGTACACACTGCTGCCGATCACCGATTGGTCAGAGATTTTCAATTTCACTTCAGTGTGTGAGTCTGGCTTGAATAAGTTCCATGTATTTTTATCATTCTTTCCCGTGGTATAACTAACTGATTTCAAGCTAGCCAACTTTGGTGAAACATACACACTACATTGCCAAAACCTTTGGAAAATCTGCCTTTACATGCACTTCCTAAAATTTAATGACATCACAATCTTTATCCGTAAGGTTTATTATTGAGTTGGCCCCCCCTTTTTAGCCTTTTTAGTCTATTAGTCTAATTCAGCCCAAGTCGTTCATTTGGGTTAAAGTCAGGCCTCTGTGCAGGCCAGTCCATTTTTTCCACATCAAACTCACCCATGCATGTCTATATGGACCTAGGTTTGTTCACTAGTGAGTGTTCATGTAGAACAGGCTCAGCTTTAGGGGCTTTTCCACTGCATTCTGTACTTAGTACCTGGAACTTATTTAAGTTTACCATTACCAAAACATGACATAAACACAATGCTGATCACTGATTGGCCAGAGATGATGGGTAATGATTTTGTTCCACGTATTTTTATCACTCTATCCCATAATATGACCAATTGATTTCTTTATAGTCAACTTTGATGAAAGGTGTTGAGCCATTTTAAATGTTGAAATGTTCACTTATGGCCATGGAAGAGATTGAAGACTTGAATTCAGTGATATGGTGGGCTGTCCCAAAAACATTAGTCAATACAGTGTATAAACCGCTGAAATACTTTATTGTGTACAGAGAGCAAAATGTTTTATCTTATGGATTTTATTATTAATGTGTGAGCTCCTGAACTCATGGACTCTTGAGATCGCTGACACTAGTTACTCATGCAGTGAATATTAACAGAAATTCTTAATGTTTGTACTTTTTGGAGATTTCGGAAGTAATAAACCATAGGATGATTAGTATTCTCACTGTTTAAAGGTCGAATGCCTTTAATAGTGTCTGTATTCAGTATTGTCCGTTATTACAAATGCATATGTGGCCTCTTCAATGACAGATTATTTATTTTGTTAATTCCTCAATAAATTATATTGCCTCACATTTATTTCTTTAGATTGTTACATTCATTTAAGAACAACTCGCTCGCTTTTTTGCATTAAAAGTCTTTTGTGTCCTTTAAATAGTCACAGCACTGTTTGTGAAAATGCATATGCATATGTGTATTTTAAGTTACGGTCTCCTTTCTGACACACTGATCCGACACCCACACATCTCAGCAAAGCAGACAGATGAAGCCTGTGATTCACCGACTCTCATTTCATCTTCATCATCATCATCTTCCTCAGTCTCACAGATGGAAAACCTGAAAAGTCTGAAAAAACATTAATTTACACTCACCGGCCACTTTATTAGGTACACCTGTCCAGCTGCTCATTAACACAAATGTCTAATCAGCCAATCACATGGCAGCAACTCAATGCATTTAGGCATGTAGACATGGTCAAGAGGATCTGCTGAAGTTCAAAGCGAGCATCAGAATGGGAAAGAAAGGGGATTTAAGTGACTTTGAACGTGCCATGGTTGTTGGTGCCAGACGGGCTGCTCTGAGTATTTCAGAAACTGCTGATCATTGAGGCAGATGGGCTACAGCAGCAGAAGACCACACCGGGTGCCGCTCCTGTCAGCTAAGAACAGGAAACTGAGGCTACAATTCACACAGGCTCACCAAAACTGGACAATAGAAGATTGGAGAAACGTTGCTGCTCTGATGAGTCTCCATTTCTGCTGCAACATTCGGATGGTCAGGTCAGAATTTGGCATCAACAACATGAAATCATGGATCCATCCTGCCTTGTATCAGCGGTTCAGGCTGGTGGTGGTGGTGTAATGGTGTGGGGGAGATTTTCTTGCCACACTTTGGGTCCATTAGTACCAATCGAGCATCGTGTCAACGCCACAGCCTACCTGAGTATTGCTGCTGACCATGTCCATCCCTTTATGAGCACAGTGTCTCCATCTTCTGATGGCTACTTCCAGCAGGATAACGCACCATGTCATAAAGCGTGAATCATCTCAGACTGGTTTCTTGAACATGTCAATGAGTTCACTGTACTCAAATGGCCTCCACAGCCACCAGAGCTCAATCCAATAGAGCATCTTTGGGATGTGGTGGAACTGGAGATTCGCAACCTACAAATCTGCAGCAACTGTGTGACGCTATCATGTCAATATGGAGGAAAATCTCTGAGGAATATTTTCAGTACCTTATTAAATCTATATCACGAAGGCAGTTCTGATGGCAAAAGTGGGTCCAACCCGGTAATAGTCAGGTGTGCCTAATAAAGGGGCCGGTGAGTGTATATTCATGCATTTATTTTTGGTTGAACTGTCCCTTTAAAGTCACTAGGAAATACAATTATTTGCTTTTTTTAAGCCCATAACCATTTTTAAGTACATATTTAAAAAAGGTTTACCTAAAATTGAACATATTGACAAATCATATGCAATATTAAAATGCAATATTATAAGTCTGAACTTAAAAAGTAGGCACATATGCTGCTTAAGGGGGCTAATAATATTGACCTTAAAATGTTTTTTAAATAATTAAAAACTGCTTTTATTCTAACCGAAATAAAACAAATAAGACTTTTTCCAGAAGAAAAAATATTGTAGGAAAAAATTCCTGCTCTGTTAAACATCATTTGAGAAAATATTAGAAAAAAGAAAAATCACAGGAGGGTGAATACTTTTGACTTCAGCTGTATATTTATTGTTCAAATAAATTCAACATCTCTGATTGGTGTTTGAAGGCGGGATTGACATGTCAATCATATGAGATGCACCAATAGCAAACCACACGAATGCAATCAAAATGAATCCCGCCTACAGTTATTATCATAATAACATCATAATTACAGCATGACAGAGAAGAAACAGTTTAAACTAGCAAGCTAAAGCATTACATAATAAATCATGATTAATCGCACCTAAAATTAAAATGTTAATTTATATAGCATATGCCTGTACAGTCAGTGTGTATATTCACCTTATTCTCTGCAGACGAGCGGGTGCAGCCATTTGAATCTTTTTGGCACTTCCATTCATTTTTAGACATTAAAAACTGCTCGTGATGTTGCAAACTGATATTTCCTTGTTATATTATTCTACTTGGTCCGTATAGTCATGCAAACATTTGTTTGTAGAGCAAGTAGTTTGACCGTTTTTTGGCGTTCATTATTCCTTGTCATTTCTCCCATAGGCGACTGGAACGGAAGTTCTAAGACAATCGCGAAAACAGGCGCACTTCCGCATTTTAGAATAAGGTCAATATTATGTTAAGAATTATTCCATTGAAAGCCGCTCTTCTTCCATCATGTAATGTGTGTGTGTGTGTGTTTGGTCAGAGAGAAGTGTTTCAGCGCGGCCCTTCTTCAGCTCATGTGTGTTGTGAGGTGACGCAGAAACTCTCCGCGGGTGGTGGTGTGTCCTGGAAACACAGCATGACAAAACTCACACACCTGCGACTGAAGCGTCACTCCAGACATGATGAGACCTCCAGCGTGACTGAGCAGCTCACTGTCCAGGAAAGAGGACGACCCGGGTCTCTAAAAAACACACACACATGCAAACACACACACACACACATTATATGTAATACAACAGAGCTAGATTCCACCAAAGTGTCCTGGGTTGAAGAAGGAATGGGAGGAGGTAGCCGTTTTTTATACATACACACACACACACACACACACACACACACACACACACACACACACACACACACACACATGTTTGTTTTTGTGAAAAGTGGGGACATTACATAGGTTTCCATTCATTTTATGCAGCCCAAACCGTATATTATATTGCCCTCACCCCACCCCACTCCTAAACCCAACCATCACAGGAGACTGTGTGCAGCTTTACTCTCTGATTAAACTCATTCTGTAGGATTTATAAGCATTTTGAGAAATGAGGACGTCACCAATGTCCTCATATTTCACCTCCTTTTTGTAATACCTGTGTCATACCCATGTCATTATACAGATTTGTGTCCTGATATGTCACAAAAACACGTACACACACACACACACACTAATATATATGTTTTACATTTTAATCCTTTCATTTTTCATATTTAAAGATATTTGTGTGGGTTTCCCTGAAGTGTGTAATAAGCAAAGAGTTTGTGCATTTTGGAAAAGGAATGGGAGAAGGTAGTGGTTATAAATTTATATACACTAATATATATATATATATATATATATATATATATATATATATATATATATATATATATATATATATATATATATATATATATTTACTTATTTCTTTTATTTTTCTTATTTAAAGATGTTTGTGTGCTGCTGTGCATCTCTATGTGGTTAATAAGCAAAGAGTATGCATGTTCTGGAGAAGGAATGGGAGGAGGTAGCGATTTTTATACTTGTATACAAAATAATTTATCTATTTTTACATCTTAATGCTTTAATTTTTTCTTATTTAAAGATATTTGTGTGCTGCTGTGCATGCCTGAGTGTATGTATTAAGCAATGAGCATGCATGTTTTGGAGAAGGAATGGCAGTGGTTTTATATTTATATACGCACTAATATATACAGTTGAAGTCAGATTTATTAGCCCCCTTGCATTTTTTAACCTAATTTCTGTTTAACGGAGAGAAGATTTGTTCAACACAATTCTAAACATAATAGTTTTAATGACTCATTTCTAATAACTGATTTATTATACTGAAAATTATAAAAACTTTTTTTTTAAATGAAATGCTAATGGTCTAATCCGTTTCAATTCATTATGCTAAGCTAAGCTAAAAGTGACCCTGCAAGAACAAGATTTTTTTTTATAAAAAGATATTTGTGTGCTGCTGTGTGCATCCCTGTGTGTGTAATAAGCAATATGTATGCATGTTTTTGGACCTACATAGGCGCATAACACTAACACACTCTTTAAATATCAAATAAAACTCTCCACCATTGACTTTAGAGCAGCTTTTAGTTGGTCGATGGTGCTGGCTATTTTACTATTTCAGTTGCCTCACGGTTAAACAGACACCTCATGTCTCAGTGGTTTCAAGGAGTCCTTTGAAAACAGCTGAATCTCATGCTCTGCGTAATATCACTCCGCTTGGTCAAGCCATGTTACAGCAGCAGAGTTTCTTGACTAATACGCTAGAAAGAGTATAGTTCCTAGTAATATTGGCCTAGAAATTTTTCCATTTTCCGTCTACTTTATACCACAATGTAACTACAGAAGACTAGAGCTTTAAATAGTAAAATTATCAAAACATTTTTGTGAATAAAATGCTAATGGTCTAATCCGTTTCAATTCATTATGCTAAGCTAAGCTAAAAGTGACCCTGCCAGAACAAGAAATCTGCTGAATGTATTCAAACATGGTTCAAGTCAGCTGTTTAACTCTAGGAGACTTGTAAAATGAGATCAAAAATAGGTGGAGTGTTCCTTTAACACACCTCATTTTCAGATCAGCACACCCACGGGTGCAGAAATTGATGCAAATACATTTACTATGTAGAGATGAACTAGCAAATAACATTGTACATGGCACCACATTAGAAAAATGCTTCTTGATTTAGGGAATTTTAGATATTTAGTTTAGAAACAAGACAAAACCTCTCAGTTAGAAACTGATTTTTGTAGTGCATGAATGTTTTAATGTTTCAGGTGAAATGGTTAGGAGCAGGGGCGTTGCGAGGGGGGGGCTTTGGGGGCTTAAGCCCCTGATGTATTGTCAAAAGCCCCTGATCTCTTGGAATATGTTGCACTTAAATAAAAATATGTTGTATAACATTTATTTAGTTATGTAAGTACTAAAAATTACCACATACATCACGAACATTCCACTCAACGCAGCGTTTGTGTCAGGTAATTAAACCGTCAGTTGTTCAGCAGTACCTGTTTCTACCGGCAGGTGGGAGTGGCTCTGTTGTCACATGGTGTTTAAAAAATCCCGCCACTGCACATCATTCATTTATTATTTTGAGGAGCTGAAGCTAATGAGGTAATAATACAACTCTTTCGCGAAACTAAATAGTTTTAACTACTGATGAAGCTTGTTTCCACAGTATAAAATGTGTGTAGTTTTGGTGACATAAAATAACTATAATCAGTAAAATGTGCATCATATCAATGTAAATACAAGTAAAAAAACGTAAATTGTACTAGCTTTCTAGATCTGTTTCTGTAATAGTTAAATCACAGTGAGTTTATGCATCTAGCTTATTATTATATAACTATATTCTACTGTAACATGCTATGTCAGTTTAAATCAAATTATAAATCGACTTTCTTATGAAAATACCTAAAATGGTTGGAAGAACACACAGTTCCTTGGGGCTAAGCCCCTTATCCCTTTCGACCCTAGCAACGCCCCTGGTTAGGAGGATTAAGCAAAAAGGCCAAAAGTAAACTCAACACAAATATGGTACAAACCCGCAGTTTTTGTAGAGTCTGGTTATCATAATATTGTTCCTCAGCTTTCCTCAGGTCATCCCAGGCATTGCTTGCAGGCATCTGCGCAGGATTGTGGAAAACTGCTTTATCGTGGACGGCCTGTTTCTGATCCAGCACGTCCATGTTAAGATGTAGTTTGTCTAGTCCTTCGTTTATCTTACCCAGATAATTAGTAGCTGGAAAACAAACACACAAGCAGAGAAAAAAAGAGGTCAAGCAATTCAGAAATAATTCAGTGACAGTACAATGAAGCAATGTAAGTTGGTTTTGATGATTAAAAACAATATCAGTGTTGAAGGCTTTGAATAACTGGGTTCCCACTGTAAATTATTAAATTCCCTGACTTTCATGGACTAAAAAGCTGAATTTTCATGAAACAATGAATAGAAAATCAGGCCATTGTGCTTATATATTATTCATTCATTCGTTTTTATTCAGCTTAGTCCCTGATTTGTAAGCGGAATGAACCACCTTATATAATAATAATATATTTGTAAGAATCATAATTTATATAATATAATTTATTAATAGTGCTCTAATTCACGTACAGTTTACACATTGATATGTTTAGTTGTGTACATTTGTTTATCTACTCCTTTGTAATGGTTAGCTCTGCCCTTATTGGACTGTTTTAAGTTATATTTCGAAATAGGAAAGTAAAAGAAAGAAAGACGGAGCAACAGTTTGTTGACCAGAGTTGTTATGATGCTTGAAAATTCAGTAAACATCTTTAAATGGAAAGAAACCCGAATCAATTTAATGCCTGAATGATTTTTGAAATTCTGTTAGTACAATTTTATTAAAATAATATGTAAAAATAAGAACATAATAATAAAATGATTTTAGCTGGAATATTTTGCAATGTTTTAATATCCAGATAAGAACAGCAATGGATAATTTACCATTTAATTCATGGATAATTTAATAATTTAATGCTTGCATGGCTGCAATGTTAAATAATGCTTGCATGGCTGTTAAATAAGATAGCAACTTTGTTGAAAAGTTAAACAAAATGTCTTTTATTGACATTTTTAGTAATCTAAAATAATGATAAATCCTTGAAATAACTCAAGGCAGAATGAGAGTATAGTATATAGCCATATTGACCAAGAAAATAGCAACTATTTATTTTCTGTCATTCTTAGTATATAATGTAACTACAGAAAAGTCAAGCTTTAAATGGGAAAATTATCGAAACTCTTTGGTCGTTTTTGTTTGAGATGCTAATGGTCTAATCTGATTCAATGATCTATGCTAAGCTAAGCTAAAAGTGTTCCCGGCAGACCCAGAGATTGGCTGAATAGATCAAAAATGGTGAAAATCGACTGTTTAACTATAATGGAGCTGTAAAATGAGCCTTAAACAAAGCTTTTTTTAAAAATGGAAAGTTCTTTTAAAGCTTTCAGATGATAAATCTCATACTCTGAGGTTCCAGCAGGTTTTCTCCAGCAGGATGTCTCTGAGATTCATGGCACTGTGTTTGCTGATATGTGTTTTTTCCTGCGCACTGGCACGGGTTTACAAAGTTCCTTGCTGAAGCTGTGGCCGAACCTGAAAGTGAACATGCAACTCATTTAAAATAATCATGCATCACGTTGTTGATAATACAGTGATGTGAAAAGGCTAGGGCAGCCTATTGAATTTCATGGTTTTTCGTATCAGGAGATACGTCTTAAAATTTGTAAGATAAAACCTCGGATGAACAACATCACAAGGGATTTTACATATTTATAACAAAAATAAACCCAAGATAGAGAAGCCATAAAAGATAGCCAATGATTCAGATCCTAATACACCCTTTTCACAAGACGATGATGATGTGTTTAATGGTTATCAGCACCTTAAATCTTCAAATGTTTTTAATATATTGATTCCTAAAAATTTGTATGTATATTTATAAGTCATTATTATTTATTATATTCATAATAATAAAATATATATGTAATATGTATATAATACATAATAATAGCATACTGCATACAATACTGGGCAACATGGTGGCTCAGTGGTTAGTACTGTCGCCTCACAGCAAGAAGGTTGCTGATTCGAGCCCTGTTCTCCTCATGTTGGCATGGGTTTCCTCCAGGTGCTCTGGTTTCCCCAACAGTCCTAACACATGCGCTATAGGGGAACTGAATAAACTGCCCATAGTGTTTGTGTGTAAATGAGTGTGTATGGGTGTTTCCCAATACTGGGTTGCAGCTGGAAGGGCATCCGCTGTGTAAAAAATATGCTGGATAAGGCTTGGTTGGCTTGCAGGACTCCCGTGACAGCTGATGGGTATCGACAGGCCAAGCGTGCTGCATCCCGGGAGGTTGCGGAAGCAAAAACTCGGGCCTGGGAAGAGTTCGGGGAGACCATGGAGGAAGACTAAGCCCCAAAGAGATTCTGGCAAACTGTCCGGCGCCTCAGGAGGGGAAAGCAGCTCCACATCGATGCCGTTTACAGCGGAAGTGGGGAGCTGTTTACCTCGACTGGGGATGTGGTCGTGCGGTGAAAGGAATACTTTGAGGGTCTCCATAACCCCACTGATATGTCAGCTGAGGTGGCTCGGACATCTGTTTTGGATGCCTCCTGGACGCCTACCTAGGGAGGTGTTCCAGGCATGTCCCACCGGGAGGAGGAAGACCCAGGACACGCTGGAGGGACTATGTCTCTCGACTGGCCTGGGAACGCCTCGGGATCCCCCCAGAGGAGCTGGAGGAAGTGTCTGGGGAGAGGGAAGTCTGGGGTTCTCTCCTAAGACTGCTGCCCCCGCGACCCGGCCCCGGAAAAGTGGCAAAAAATGAATGAATGAATGTAATACATAATAATATAATATATATAGATAATAAAATAGAGATATAGCAGTGACTGAATTCTTTACAACATTGCTATATGTTGTTTTATTTCCCAAATTTTTAGACCTGCAAAAGATGGTTGCTGAGGTATCATTTATAAATAAGCCATACGCACAAAATAGGGCTGGAAATGTGGAATTGAGGTAAAGCTGGTTTTATATTCGCACATTTGTTCGTTTTTTTGAACATTGACAACTTATGACACATTCCCTATATTGTTTATTACACTACTTTAAATATTTCGGTCTGAAAACGCATGTAAATATGACTTCAGAACAACATTAGCTCTATTTAATTGACTGTGAACAGTGTTGTATTTTAATAGTCATTGGCTGCTAATATGATTTCACTATTAGGAATTGGCAAAGAATGCTTTTCTAAAATTATATTAATAAGGAGAAAGTCCAAATGTGCGAATATAAAACCATTTTTACCTCAATAAATGTGCGTACGCCAATTCCCATATAAAAGTTGTGATCTGTAATAAACAAACTTAACCCAGAGAATGTGCGCAGCTGTAAAAAACAAGTAGACATATCTCACTTACATTTTGACTTAATTGAACCACCATTTGAGCCATAATCATTAATAAAGTAATCTATTCTAGTGTACGTTCACTTTTAAGAAGGTTTCTATGTTCATTTTATAAAACAGACTTCACATCATTTTTTATGCCCTGATTTGGAAAAATGTGAATTTAATAGGGCGTCCTAACTTCGTCACACTCGTGTGTATCTCTGACCTTGCTGTCGCTGTAGAGCTTCAGAGAGATGCTGTAGCATTGCAGCTTGTTTTAAGCAGATGGACTGGAGACGCACAAACTCCTGATAGAGCGCTGCATACGCCTCCTCCATCTTAAAGTCTTTGAGCTTGAAGATTTAAGGTCAATTACTTCTGTGCAAAAAGGAAAAAAGAGAGACATTCAGTGATATACCTGTAAATATACAGTGGCTACAAAAATAAATTTAATAAAAACACTCCAATCTAGGCCTGCCATGATGAGTCTGGATTAAGAAATCCTATTAATTAAGAAATGTACATGAGATCGTACAAGGCTAATCTGGTTATAATTTGGTGATGTGTCAAAACAACTAACTACACTACCTGACAAAAGTCTTGACGCCTATCCAAACCAACCATATTCTAGTTGCTCATTTGGTATCAGAAGTGGCTTATATGAAAGGCAAAGGCCTCTAGATGACGCTTATTTGACAAAAATAAAATATGATCATTATGATCATTGATTTTTAATGATTTCATGAGGACAGTAAGGTCTGACTCTGCTTAAACAAGAGTCTTGTCACTGAACAGAAGTAATGTCCAGTATAGAATATAAAGTCCTGCTGCAGTGGAGACAGAATGAATATTGTGTCTGACTACATCATGAGCTTGGAGGACTGCATCCATACATCTCTGCACTGACTCAAATCACTGATTAATAAAGTCATCTGGAATGGTAAAGAAAGCCTTCTTGCAGGACTCCCAGAGTTCATCAAGATCCTTTGTGTTCATCTTCAACGCCTCCTCCTTCATCTTACACCAGACATGCTCAATAATGTTCATGTCTGGTTACTGGGCTGGCCAATCCTGGAGCACCTTGACCTTCTTTGCTTTCAGGAGCTTTGATGTGGAGGCTGAAGTATGAGAAGGAGCGCTATCCTGCTGGAGAATTGTCCCTCTCCTGTGGTTTGTAGTGTAATGGGCAGCACAAATGTCTTGATACCTCAGGCTGTTGATGTTGATCATCCACTCTGCAGATCTCTCCATACTGAATGTAACCCCAAACCATGACTTCTCCTTCACCAAACTTGACTGATTTCTTTGAGAATCGTGGCTCCATGTTGGTTCCAGTAGGTCCTCTGCAGTATTTGTGATGATTGGTATGCAGTTCAGCAGATGATCCATCAACAAAATCCACCTTCTGCCTTGAAATCATGTTATTATTTGTTGCTTTTACAACTGGGTCGATGACAGGACTTTTGTCAGGTAGTGTATTTGTTCTCTTGACATAAAAAATACACACCATCAAGGTTTAAACACTACGAGGACTTTATGGTATAGATGCCAACCATTCGAGAACTGATAGGACAACAAACACTTAATACACAAATACACTTCCTTCAATGTATTATAATTGTTTGCAAATATTATTTATTTTGGCAGCACACCATATATTGTATATATGTAAATATATATATATATATATTAGGGTTGGGCATCTAAGCTATAATGCCGATCCGATGCGCATCTCGATACAAAGAATACGATCCGATATATTAGCGATACATTTGGGACATATTGCGATGCAACACGATACGATTCACACCCATATCACGATACAATGCGATAATTCAGCACTAACTAATTAGATCAAGTTTAGGAGATTATGTGAAAGAGGATGCTGTGCCATTGAATGAGTTTTATTATTTATTAACAAAGCAAAACCAAGACTTTTTTTACAAACTGGCTTTTCTCTCAGAGTCGGAGTGTCAGTTTACAGTAGAGGGCCATTTTAGAACATATAGCACATATTATTTAAGTATTTTCAAGATAAACAGAATGTATAAGTGCAATATATATTAAAATATATATATTTGCACTCTTTCAACATAAAGGTTTAGCATTGCACAACAAGAATTGTGATTTAACTTTTCAACTATGAAAACCAGTTTTACAAAGATATATTCTGCCACTGAATATTCAAAACTTAAGGTGGTGAACTAGCAGTGTTATGCTGCTTTGAAACATCACTGTCACTGTAAACAACAGGCTAATAAAAATATAACAAACCAGCAATCTTCTTGCTGTGAGGTGGTCAAACTACCCACTGTGCCACCGTGACACCCATTATTTTTATCATTATAATTATTAATATTATTATTATTATTATAATTAAATAAAAATTAACAGGAGGAGGTGTTTAAAACCTTCGTTCTCCGTGACACTAGGGTGAATATCTTTGCAGATGAACAATGCAGTAACATCCGTTATTGGCGTAGAGCGCACAAAACTGTTGCGCATGGAGAAAAAAACTTGCAATGCTTTTCTCACCACTTTTGGAGCTGGTAGCTACAGTTGAAGCAGTGCGAAAGCCGGGGATGCAGGAACACTGGAAGATGCTTCCACAACAACACCGAGGCGCCGCTTCAAGCGAGATTTCAGATTAGTCGTACTGCCCGCGTATTTTACAGATGCGCGGCACATTATGCAAATTGCATCTTTCCTGTCATGTCGTCCATCCTTAAATCCATAATGTTGCTTGCCATACTTTAGATTTAGAACTCAGTGGGGAATAAAATGTTTGTTTTGCTTCTCGCGCTTTCTGAGGGCGCACCACTAGCTTCATCCGCACACCTGATACACTGAGTTGTAGTGTAAGTGTACACATCCGCAAATCCGTTGCTAAGGCTTACTTTATGTAGGTCGATTAAATTATGCGCCAAAAACAGGTTGACAACACTTGTTAATAAATAAAAAATACATTCTATATTAAAAATATAAGCTGTATCTTGGAAAAACCGATGCATCTCGCAAAAACCGATGCACCTCGATTTGCTTCCAAAATTTCATTCATCCTCTGCTGTTCAACCGATGTACTCGTATCGTGCACGCGCATGACCGCGTATCGATACATATCGGTTAATCTTCCCATCCCTAATATATATATATATATACTGCAGGTTAACTATGTTTATACAGTTGAAGTCAGAATTATTAGCCCCTCAAATTATTAGCCCCCCTGTTTATTTTGTCCCCCAATTTCTGTTTAGCATAGAGAAGATTTATTCAGCACATTTCTAATCATAATAGTTTTAACAACTCATTTCTAATAACTGATTTATTTTATCTTTGTCATGATGACAGTAAATAATATTTGACTAGATATTCTTCAAGACACTTCTATGCAGCTTAAAGTGACATTTAAAGGCTTAATTAGGTTAACTAGGCAGGTTAGGGTAATTAGGCAAGTTATTGTATAATGATGGTTTGTTCTGTAGACTATCAAAAATATATTGCTTAAAGGAGCTATTAATTTTGTCCTTAAAATGGTTTTACAAAAATTAAAAGCTGCTTTTATTCTAGCCGAAATAAAACAAATAAGCCTTTCTCCAGAAGAAAAAAATATTATCAGACATTTTGTGAAAATTTTCTTGCTCTGTAAACATCATTTGGGAATTGTTTAAAAAAGAAAAACATATTTAAAGGGGGGCTAATAATTCTGACCTCAACTGTATATAGCCAACTCTTTAACTTGTCTGATTTTGACTGTAATGCAATGCTGTGCACTTTTCGGAACGATAATCAGGCCTGTTACAATATCTATTTTTTGTTGTACGATATATTGCACCAAATATATTGCGATAAAAGATATTAGTGTCATTTTAGAACTATGGTATGCCTCTTAATGTCAGAATGACAATATAATATCACAATGCAAGTACACTCCTCCAAAAACACAGCTGTGAGACACGCACATGAGTATATACTATAGTAATTTATAGTAAATACTACAGTCTTTTTAACCATACTGACACCTCCAATAGACGTAGAGATGTCGCACAATCAGCTAAATGTTACTAGAATATATAGAATATATTGCATCAGCAAAAATGACAGAAGTCATGTCCATGTGTTGTGCGACAAGTCATATTGTGACAGACCTAGTGATCATAATTGTGAAAAAGCGCAATGCAAGTCAACCTGAATTAAATTGAGAATTGATTTATTTCAGAACTCACAATGAAACACTTCAGGCAACAGATGGAAACCACAAGAGCTCAAACTGAAAGCACACATTTCGCTATACTGTATACTGTACTGTTTGTTTGTATCACCACCAGAACAAATTATAATTCTCAACCACAACCACAACCTCAGCGCCATGAACAAACAAAAACAAATCCAATTACCATAACCATAGTTTATTAAGACTAAAAATGTAGGCCTAGTAACCATATTGTTTTGTTTGTTTTTGTGGCTCTTTGTCCTTATTTGTAATAACACTGTTGTTCCTAAATTAACATGGTAGAACTAATTTTGACCTACCATAGTCAATTAACCACATATTGATCTAACCATAGTGTTTACCACTGTAGTAAAACTGTAGATATACAAATGAAAGTACTACAATTTTAAAACTAGTTATAAACTAATTTTAAAGCTAACGTTAGTAACGTTAACTAATATAAATGTAAGTAGTACAATAATAAAACAGTAGTAAGACAAATGTAACGTAGTTCTACAAATGTAAGACGGTGTTTACTACAATTTTACGATGAAAAACACATGGTTAATTTTCGTAAGGGATATATGACTACAAGACATCATCAATACTTACAAACGTTGCTTCCTCCATCTATTTAATTGTCAAGTTTATGCGTACGTTATTATTATTGTTGTTGCGGTAATAGAATGAAAGTGTGAAGAGGAACAGCAGTTCATCGAAATAACCTACATAAGACACTAACATACTGTGAACAAATACATACAGTTGAAGAGTCTGTCAGTCTGATGAACCTGTGGTGGGGAAAACATCCGTATAAACTTTCAACGTTAGTTACAAAACAGTTGAACAGTGACAGGAAATCACAACAGGAACTCGTCCAGGAACCGCCTTTTCTTCTCCCGGGTCAGCTCAAGTGAGCACGAGCAACCATTTCAAAAATGACATTAACATGTCTTGCTCTTTATGTGAGACTTCTTCTGAATCTATCGCTCACTTGTTTTGAGAATGTCCCTTTGTTAAATCTTTCTGGTCTGATGTGAATTCTCTAATTGTCCAAAAGGTTTGTGGTGAAGCCAGTGGATCTAAAACTTTTTTCACCAAGTACCACCTCGGAAACAAATGTCTCTCCAAGTACCACCATGAGAGCAATATTGAAATACAGTAGTATAGTAGGCCCAGTAAAAAAGCATTAGCTCTGTACAGTTTTAAAACATGCCAGATTTATTCCTATTATTAAGAATATTTATTATTATCAGCCACTTTAAACATTAAAATAAATAGTTTGACCATAACACTGCCTATATGTACTGTGAATCAAAGAATCAAAATAAAACAATGTTTAAATTGAAATGTGTTTTTAAAAGGTTACAAATGATAAGCTCCTGTACTTAAATGTAAAGTATTAACATATAGTAGCCTATTCTTCAAAACCTGATGTTGCTTATTGGCCCTCATAAAAATAGGCTGTATGTCATCACATGTACATATGACATATTTGATTCCTCCGTGTACCACTAGAAGGAAGCCCACGTACCAGTGGTACAGGTACCACAGATTAAGAGGTTTTATATTAAAGAAAAACAATTCCTTAATTCAACTTTTTTGCATAAACCTCATTTTATTTATTGGAAAGTTTTTTTTATATATACAAAAATGCAAATATACTCAATGTAAGCCAATTTTTTTAAAAACTTGAATCGGAACTTTATTTAAAAACCATCACAGACTTTCACAACAAGAAAGTGTTTTATTTAAACGTATAAAACATGTACTTTATTTAATTTTCAGCATTAATTTGTTTTATTTTTGTCATGTGCTTTTATTTTATTTTTTGTTGTATTTATTTATTTTACTTTTTCCTCTCTCTTTGTCTTTCTTTTGCTTTACCTTTTTAATTTTATTTTAAAATTGTTACATTTCTCTTGCTGCAAAAAGTAATATATGTATTGCTTGTACTATATACTTCTATCAGTTTTTGTATTTATATCTGTTGTTATAGCCTGTTGTTATTGTGAAAAAAGTGAGCAAAGAAGGGGGCAAAAAGTGAGCAACAGTACAAAAACAGCACACTTTGTAATTGTTTTAAATTGAATTTTATTATTATTGTCGTTGTATTTTAAATTCTGCTTACCAGTTCTTGCTTTTTATTTGTTTTTTTTGTTAAAATAAAATTGGGCGAAGCAGTGGCGCAGTAGGTAGTGCTGTCGCCTCACATCAAGAAGGTCACTGGTTCGATCCTCGGCTCAGTTGTCGTTTCTGTGTGGAGTTTGCATGTGCTCCCTGCGTTCGCGTGGGTTTGCTCCGGTTTCCCCTACAGTCCAAAGACATGCGGTACAGGTGAATTGGGTAGGCTAAATTGTCCGTAGTGTGTATGTGAATGTTTGTGTGGGTGTTTCCCAGAGATGGGTTGCGGCTGGAAGGGCATCCGCTGCGTAAAAATGTGCTGGATAAGTTGGCGGTTCATTCCGCAGTGGCAACCCCGGATTAATAAAGGGACTAAGCCGACAAGAAAATTAATGAATGAAAATAAAATTAAAGATTAACCTAAAATTTAAAGTAGGAGTAATTTCTTTAGCGTTCTGTGTGTATATATAGTAAAATTTAATCTATGTGTTCAGAACTCAACATCATTACGTTGGTCTTCAGTCCATCCCAATAATCTTCCATAAATAATTCTTAAATGCTGATTTGATGTTCAAGAATCATGATTAAAGTTAAAACAGTGTTGAAAACATTCATGCTGTTTCATTTTTTAATATCGAATGATTTACAAAAGTATTATTTCTCTTTTATTTATAAAATAAATATGAATTTGTTTTATGAACGGTTTTTATTTTATCAATATATTTCTGTTCATTCTGAAAAGTAATTACAAAATATATCCACATATAGTAAACAGGTATTCTTAATCAATAACATCTGTGGCAGTAACCTGTATGCAGAATCTGCTCAATTTTAATCAACAATTTTAGATTTTTTTTAATTTAAGTAATTAATAACATAATAAACAGTTTAAAAACTAAATCACAGCCTCATTAAACTTAAAATAAGTGTTAAAATAGCAGTATACCATACTAAATAAAAACCAAACCCAACAAAACTGTTTTTAATCCTCATTCATTCATTCACTTTCTTTTCGGCTTAGTCCGTTTATTAATCTGGGGTCACCACGGCAATTAAATTCAACTTATCAATTTTACACAGTGAATCCCCTTCCAGCCGCAACCCAACACTGGGAAACATCCAAACACTCTCATTCACTGTCTATAATAATTATGAATATTTTTAATATTTTGCATTTCTTTGATGACTTTCAACAATATATGTAATGTTATCTTTTTACATTACACGTAGTGCAATGAAGTTTTCTTTCTCAAGGCAGGTTAGGGAATGACAAAAAGAGTTAATATTATGCTAAAAAAGTGGTTCTTTAGGCTTTCTGTTCATCAAAGTTTCCTGAAAGAAATGTATATTCATTCATTCATTCATATTCTTGTTGGCTTAGTCCCTTTATTAATCCGGGGTCGCCACAGCGGAATGAATCGCCAACTTATCCAGCAAGTTTTTACGCAGCGGATGCCCTTCCAGCCGCAACCCATCTCTGGGAAACAAATGTATATTTGTTTGCACAAAAATATTTAGTATCACAACTGTTTATAACACTGGTAGTAAGACATTTTGAACATGAAATAAGCAAATGAGGATCCTGTGACACTGAAGACTGGACTAATCTACTTTTTTTTTCTACAATAGAAAGTAGATTTCACAGGATGATAAATCCACAACTCTGAGCTATAACCAGTGTTTACATTTGTCAAAATGTTGATTGTAGCGCCAACTGCGACCTCTGGTGGTCATACAGAATGCCATGCAGTGCTCAGCATAATTGAGTACACCCTATTTTGAAAATGAACACTTTCCTCCATTTCTCTATAGGCAATGTATTTTGGTGCATTCACACAAAACAGATTTATTACACAGATATATTTATTAAAATAAAATTTTAGTCGCCAAACATATTTAGAAATTGAAAGATAAAACATTTCAATTCATGCAAAATATTACAAAAAGAATTACAACCTTCCTCAACTAAATGTTTCAATGTTTTTGCTTCTCTTGATTTTTTTCTCTTTGCTTAAATTTGTATTTAATATTTTTTTATAACACATAAATTTGGGTGTTCTAATTATTGTACGTTATTTTGTTAGACAAGCTCTAGATATATTTGATTTATTTGAATTTTTTATTTATTTATTTTTTTAAATAATAAACCAAAAATGACCACAAACTATATGTTATATTATGTTTTTAAAATATACTTTAGCAAACTGGGTAATAAATATGTGATCCTGGATAACAAAACCAGCCATAAGCAAATTTTCTTTTAAAATTGAGATTCTTACATCAAATAAAATCTAAACAAATTAGCGTTCTGCTAAAATATAGGCTACATTTTTAGAATATGACAATATTTAGATACTGTGTAAATACATTTAAAAATCTGGAATCTAAGGGTTAATATATTAAGAATAAGTTTTCTAAATTTAAGTTCTTAGCAATGCATGTTACGAATAAAAATTAAGTTTTGATATATTTACTGCAGAACTTTTACAAAAACATCTTTATGCAACATAAGAATTGTTGAGTATTTGAACAATTTTGGCATAAAAAAGTGTGTATGTGTGTGTGTGTGTGTGTGTGTTTATGTGTGTGTGTGTGTGTATGTGTATATATATATATATATATATATATATATATATATATATATATATATATATATATATATATATATATATATATTATACACTTACTTTTCTTTACAAAACGTTTTTTTGCAAATAAAAAAAAAGATATAATACTAAGGCTATATTTTGAAAATAGGCTACTTAGAAATTAACGACCAATCAGATATTTAGCTAAAGAGTGCAAATATACCCTCATTATTATGTGAGTGTTATTAGTACACTTAAAAAACATGTTTGCTATTTGTTCAAACTATGTATTTAAAATGAGCTGACACAACACAATTCTTAAGGGTTTTCTGTGACAACTTAATTATTTTATGTTCAATCAGCTCAAATTTGCAAAAACTAATAAGCTAACATATTTTTTTTTCATATTGTCCCAACACAAATTGTTTATTGAACCCAGAGTTTTTCACAGTGTACACAATTTTTTTTTAGCTGTTTGTTCAATATGTACTTCAAATAAGCTGAAACAAAACAATTCTTGAGGTTTTTTTAGCCAACTTAATTGTTTTAGGTTCATTCATTCATATATTTTCTTTTCGAATTGCTCCCTTTATTCATCAGGGTGTTGGCGTGGGTTTCCTCCAGGTGCTCTGGTTTCCCTCACAGTCCAAACACATGCCCTATAGGGGAATTGAGTCAGCTAAATTGTCCATACTGCATGTGTGTGAATGAGAGGAAATGGGTGTTTCCCAGTGCTGTGTTATTGCTGGAAGGTCATCTGCTGCGTAGAACTTATGCTGGATAAGTTGGCGGTTCATTCCACTAGCCTACTAAAAAAAACAGCTTAAACCAGCCCAAGCTGGTTGGCTGGTTTTAGCTGGTCAACTTGGCTGGTTTTAGAGTGGTTCTGGCCACTTCCAGGCTGGTTTCCAGCCATTTCCAGCCTGGTCTTAGCTGGTCAGGCTGGAAAATCACCAGCCTAAACCAGCTAAACCCAGCTTGACCAGCCTGGTTTAAGTTGGACATGTCTGGTTTTGACTGGGCTCACAGCCTGGCTAGGCTGGTCAAGGTGGTTTTAGCTGGTCATCTCCGAGCCTGACCAGCTAAGACCAGGCTGGAAATGGCTGGAAACAAGCCTGCCCTGCTGAAAAATCCAGCTTAAACCAGCCTAGGCTGGCTGGCTGGTTTTAGCTGGTTGACCAGCCTGGTTTTAGAGGGGTGTTGGCCATTTCCAGCCTGGTCTTAGCTGGTCAGGCTGGAAAATGACCAGATAAATCCAGCTAAAACCAGCTTGACCAGCCTGGTTTAAGCTGGACATAGCTGGTTTTGGCTGGACTCCCAGCCTGGCTAGGCTGGTCAAGCTGGTTTTAGCTGGTCATCTCCCAGCCTGACCAGCTAAGACCAGGCTGGAAATGGCTGGAAACCAGCCTGGAAATGGCCAAAACCCCTCTAAAACCAGGCTGGTCGACCAGCTAAAACCAGCCAACCAGCCTAGGCTGGTTTAAGCTGAATTTTTCTGTTGGGTGGAAATGGACAAACCCCCTCTAAAACCAGCCAAGTTTAAGCTGTTTTTTTAGTAGACCCAAGTTTAATAAAGGAACTAAGCCGAAAAAAAAGAATGAATCAATGAAAGTTTGATCAAACTACTTATTTTTAATGAGCTGAAACAACAGAATTCTTACGTTATTTTAGACAACTTAATTGTTTTATGTTCAGTCCATTTCAATTTGTAAAATTAGCTTAATTAATTTGTGTTGCGACAACATGAAGGAATAGTGTGGAACCCAGCAATGTTTACAGTGTATAAACCAATGACTGGATAAAAGGTATAAACACGCTGTAAACTTGTATATGTGTTTTTTTTTTTTGGACGCTCCAGTTCGGTTGGCGGCAGTAAAGCAATACACAGCAGCCAACAGTAGTGAAGAAGAGCAAGAAAAGCTTGTGGCAGATCCCAGATCAGCAGTCAGCCCGGTGTGCACGTCATCAGTTCACCAGCGCGTGTGTGTGCGGCGAATTTAAAGCAAAAGGTTTGTTATATTTTTTCACAAATTGCGTGAACCGAACTCAGTGTTTACATCGACACACCGCATTTAGTGCTCGATGGAGTTTGATAAATATAACCCATTCATTCAGAGTTTTACTTCAGTAGTCTCATGTTGCGGTTGTTCCTCATTATCGTCATATATTATTGTGCATTTTCATAAATATGTGTTTTGTAGGTGGTTATGGAAAAGCAGTATCATATTATTATCTTCTGTGCACTTTTGTCTGTGCACCTATCATTTGTCCAAGGCGCCAGACAGGGTCAAGACGTCAAATGTGGAGGTATTTGTGCCATTTTAATCCTGTTTCTGCATGACTTAAATTATATATTTTATATAAATGGATTGTATATGTTTTGCAGGACAATTAGCCATTATGATCTGTTCCTAATTTCATAAATACTTCCTCAAACTACTTAAAGTTGGAGGTTTTCATGCATAAAAGTGTAACATACTGTTGTTTTTAGACATTAAAGAGCACCTATTATGCAAACATCACTTTTTATATGGGATTTAAACAAAATGTTGTGGCAATAGAATGTAATTATAACCAGCTTATAATGTTAGAATTGATTAATTCAATTTTTATAATCAGACTTGATAAAAACAGTCTGCAGAAAAACATTGATTGACATTCTCCTCTTGTATGTGTCAGAAGGGAAAGCCCCGCCCATTAGTGACGATCTCTCCCTCATTAGCATAGCCCTGAGTGAGAAGCAGCCGTTCGTCATTAGAGTTTAACTTAGACTTAAGCTGCGGTCACACTGGACTTTACTTCCGAAAGACTTCCATTCATACGCACACGAATGCGTTAGACTGGAAACGCAAGTTCGTACGTCATGTTTCGCAGTTCACTGTGTTGCAAAGTTCAAGCTTAGTGAACTCTGACCTGCGAAATTGCATCACTTGACTGCGTGAGACCAATCGAGGATCAAAACATGACCTCACTGGACAGAAATTTAAAATATCAACCAATCACTCACTTTTTTTAAACTTTAATCATCTTGTTTAATCCCGCCCCTTTTCGCAGCGCCATATGACAGAATTTCGCATGCTCCAACTCTAGTATGACTGCAGCTTAATTTCACATTTTTAGTTATGACAGAGATAACATCATGATGCATAGGCATTTTTAGCTCCTCCCTCTTTTGTAAGGAGCACAATCTCATTTGAATTTAAAGCAACAGTCACCAAAATGGCACAATTTGGCTAAAAGGGTCAGTTTCAAAGAGTTATGAAACATTACTTGTGTGAGCTGAAATATCACATACTCACTCTAGGGACATCAGACTTTTTTATATCTCGAATACACGGGCATGATAGGTCCTCTTTAAAACATAATAAAAGTTTAAAAATAAATAATAATAAAGTTTAGAAAATAAAAATAATGATAGTTCAACATTTATTCATACATTAATAATCTGGAGTTAGACATTAGTTAATTACTATAACAAGAAATATAATAATTAACGAGTATTTTCATTAACCGATAATAGCAAAGATGAGTAAATACTGTAAGAAATGTTTTGTTCAAACTAATGGAACCTTAATTAATATAATAATTAATATAATTCATACTGCATATTTTTTGTTGTTTTCCAGCATGCAGGGCGTTAGTTGATGAAATGGAGTGGGAAATATCGCAAATCGATCCCAAGAAAACAATCCAGACTGGATCATTTAGGATCAATCCTGATGGCAGTCAGTCAGTACGAGAGGTGGTGGATTGTTATTTTGTATTTACACTAATTGCATGTTTTTAGACATGCAACCATAGGATTTTTTTAACCGATACCAATTAAAAAAAAAAAAAAATCATCCGATACTGATACCGATATTCACCGATATTGGTCAGTTGCAAACAGTACTATAGTTTTTAAAAATGTATTATTAGTTTAGTTTTACTGAATATAGATCTATTCACTTTAAACTTTTAAATTAAATTAAACTTTTAATTGAAATATAGTAGACCGTATTTATTTAATAAACTTAATTTAAAAAGCCAGTGCTGTTGCTGCAAGTTATGAATTTTGCTGCTTTAGAAAAATCTGGACTCTCAAGTGCAGATGGTTTCTTTTAATGTCCAAAATATTTTAATATTAGTTTCTTGTCCAAAATATTTTAATATCGGTTTCTTTTATTGTTCAAAATATTTGAATATCGGTTTCTTTTATTGTTTAAAATATTTTAAATATCAGTTTGTTTTATTGTTTAAAATACTTTAATATTGGTTTCTTTTGTTATTCAAAATACTTTAATATTGGTTTCTTTTATTGTTCAAAATATTTTAATATCGGTTTCTTTTATTGTTCAAAATATTTTAATATCGATTTCTTTTATTGTTCAAAATGTTTTAATATTGCTTTCTTTTGTTATTTAAAATATTTTATTATTGGTTTCTTTTTTTATTCAAAATATGTTAATATCTTTTGTTGTTGTTCAAAACATTTTAATATCGGTTTCTTTTATAATCCTGATATTTTATTATCGGTTTCTTTTATAGTCCAAAATATTTGTAATATCAGTTACTTTTATTATTCAAAATATTTTAGTATCGGTTTCTTTTATTGTTCAAAATATTCTAATATCGGTTTCTTTTATTGTTCAAAATATTTGAATATCGGTTTCTTTTATTGTTTAAAATATTTTAAATATCAGTTTGTTTTATTGTTTAAAATACTTTAATATTGGTTTCTTTTGTTATTCAAAATACTTTAATATTGGTTTCTTTTATTGTTCAAAATATTTTTATATCGGTTTCTTTTATTGTTCAAAATATTTTAATATCGTTTTCTTTTATTGTTTAAAATATTTTAAATATCGGTTTCTTTTATTGTTCAAAATATTTTAATATTGGTTTCTTTTATTGTTCAAAATATTTTAATATCGGTTTCTTTTATTGTTCAAAATATTTTTAATATCGGTTTCTTTTATTGTTCAAAATATTTTAATATCAAATTGAATATGCTGTGTTTTTCAACATGTCAACATGGGGTGCTAAAATATAACTGGGTAAACTGGCAGTGGGCTGGTTATAGAGACCAAAACAAAGACAAACATTCAAATATTTTCAAAGGAGAATATCTGACTTTAGCAACATTTTTCAGATAAACAAGTATGTTCACTTAGCATGTTTTTAAATATCTGCAAAAATATGATCACATTTTTTTTACTTTAGAAGAGTCAATACTTACATATGGCACCTTTAACACCAAACGAATTACTAAATTTTTATGCTTAAAAGTCAATAAAGTTAAATTAATCACATATCTGCAACGGATACATTGGTGCTTTCCTATTTTATTTATTTATTTTTCTTTCAATTTACAGAGTTTCATCTTCACATGTTTGCTTTACATCTTCAGGTCCCATACTCTCGCTCAGAGGGTCATCTACTCGAGTTGATGGAAGAGGTTTGTGAGAAGATGAATGATTACGGTGAACGCGTCGATCCTGTTACTGATCGGAAGACATACGTGAGACACACGTCCCGGGACGGCACGGCAATGGACCTCTCTGATGTGGCGTTTGACTCCAGAGTCAGCTCCAGCTTAAAGTTTGCTGTAAGACCCCATTTGTAATGTACATATTTATGGGATTAGATTTAAATAAAATGAACAAAACTTTAGTGGACAAAGACCAAAAAATACATTGAAAAATAAGAAAATCAATATGAAAATAAAGAGTCATTAACTGAATAACACACAAAAAAAGCTTGGAAATTGTGCGGTCATGTAGACGTGTATATACCTTTTTTTGCTGTTTAGTTGATTGCTTTTTATTTTCAGATTGTTTTTCTCATTTACCAGTCCTTCCAGGATTGCTTGGTAAAATTTATTGAATGCATACATTTTTATAAATAATCGTTCTTATATTTATATGTGTGTGTGTGTGTGTGTGTGTTTTTCCCAGTGTGAAACAATCGTGGAGCAGCATGAGGATGAACTTATTGAATTCTTTGCTCATGAGACGGACAATGTAAAAGACAAGCTCTGCAGTAAGAGGACAGGTAAATTGTTTAAATTGTTAGGTAAATTTAAGAGGACAGCTTAAATTTTTTGCATATATTTTCATATTTAAGTTTTATTGTCCTGTTACTTACTTGGGATATATTTTATATCTGTGAGAAGATATAATTAGAATAATATTAATAATAATAATAAAAGGTGTGTATATGTATATATGTATATGTATGTATATATATATGTATGTATGTATGTATGTGTATATATATATATATATATATATATATATATATATATATATATATATATATATATATTAAGGGTGTCTGAATCGATCGAAATTCATGCTTAATTTCGATTATCAAATAAAAAAATGGAATCGTCGATGCTGCCACACCCCCATGCGAAAACAAACACGCTTGTTGAACTGCAGATGCAGGAGACCTGTCGTCAGAACTTAAACGCTCTCACCGGTATGGAAGTATTTTGGATTTCCACTGAGTTATGTTGACAATGTTTGTGTTGTCGACAAAAAAAACACTGTTTGCGATCCTCCACCCCGCCCCTGTTTCAAATCAGCTCGCTTAAAATACACACTCAGGCCCTGTTTACACTAAGGCCGTACTCACACTAGGTACAGTTGCCTCGAACCGGGCCAAAGCACGCTTGTCCCCCCTTCCGTCTCCCCCGACGGCCCGCGCTCACACCATATCGGGCCTCGGCACGCTTACGTCATCGCTGCTGCGCTGTTCAGTGAGAAGCGCTCTCTCACTCAGCAGCACAGTGGAGATTTCTCTAGTTATATCGTTTCAGTCGTTTGATATGCAGTCAAATATTTCGCCAAACAGTCCTTAGGGATGCGGGGACACGCAGTCAGATATTTCGCCGAACAGATCCGCCACTTTTGGCGCTCATAAACAATCATAAAGCCCTCGTGCTGCAGGAATGAGGAGGTCTGCTGAAGGTGCAGCTGTCGTGCAGTGAGGGGTTTGCGTCTTTAATAAACTACGGCAGTTTGCATTCACTGAACAGTAAGAATGATTAATAAATCCATATGAAACAGTGCCTTAAAAGTCACGTCTTGCTTTCAGTTTCGGGCCAAGTGAACCGGGCTCAGGCACACCTCTTCCAACCGGGCCAGGGCCGGCCAAGTGAACCGTGCTTGAGCCCGATTCAGCGCACTCGCACTTCTCAAACGCTCCGGGAAACGGGGCTGGGCACGGTACGGATGGCATAGTGTGAGTAGGCCCTAATAGGTCTTAGATTTTAAATCCCATTTATAACGACAATGATCCACATCCACACTGGCGTTTTGCATTTCTGAGCAGCCCTCTTTCCTCACTACTGCTGAAAATGCACATCACAAGACCCCACACACATATTCACACACAGATGCACACACACTGTCATGCGCTCGAGACAGCGGGTCCAGGCAGTCAGCGGGTCAGTAGACTGCTTCAATCTTTTACTTTCACACTCTTTACTTTCAATCTTTTACTTGGTAATTTTAGCAAACACCTCAGGTACTGTTGGGTGGTATGTGTATATATATATATATATATATATATATATATATATATATATATATATATATATATATATGTATGTATATATATATGTATATATATATGTATGTATATATATATGTATGTATATAACAATGCATGATAGTGTGTAAAATATTTTCTCTAGAAGTGTATGGCCAACACATTTTTCACATCATTATTGTGTATTCCCACAGATCTCTGTGACCACGCGCTGAACATCCATCATGATGAGCTCTAACACGAGTCTGCAGCTTCACCTATGGAGAATAATGTGTGAGGAAGCTGAGCCTATGTAATGTACTGGACCCCATGGGTTACTGTTGACCTGTTCAGCTGTATCAATGGCTTCTCCATCACAACTGTTCATCGTCATCAATTAAAGCTGACTTTCTACAGCTGAAGCGAGATCTCTTCTCGAGTCTCTCCAATGGCGTACTTTTGTATTTAAAACACATTTGAGTGCACTTAGTGTTTAGTTTAGAAAACGTCTTGCAGGATATTTATTAAAAGCGCAGAGTTCTTATTAGTTTGTCTTTGTATTTGAATCTGACCAGATTACTAGTCTTAAAGGGCTCGTTCACACAAAAATGAAAATTCTGTCATCATCTATTGATGTTTGAGATGGTTTCTTCTGTCTAACAAAAAAAGAAGATATTTTGAAAAATGATAACCATTAAAGGGGACCTGTTATACAAAAGTCACTTTTATAAGGGGTTTCAAAACAGTTGTGCAGCAAAAATATGTGAATGTAACTAGCTTTTAATGGTTTATTATAGAAATGGTCTGCAGAAACACTTTGATTGACATTCTCCCTTTGTACTAAAGGGGAAAGCCCCACCCACTAGTGACCATCTCTCCCTCATTAGCTTAGGATAGGGGTGTCCAAACTCGGTTCTGGAAGGCCGGTGTCCTGCAGATTTTATCTCCAACCCCAATAAGACAAACCTGGGCTAGGTAATCAAGCTCTTACTAGGCTTTCTAGAAACATCCTTGCAGGCGTGTTGAGGCAAGTTGGAGCTGAAATGTGCAGGACACCGACCCTCCAGGACCGAGTTTGGACACCCCTGGCATAGGAAGTTAGTCTTGTTTTTGAATCTGCCACTATGCTGACAGGCATCTGTAGCTCCGCCCTCTTCTGAAAAGAGCTCAATCTCATTTGAATTTAAAGCGACGGTCACCTAAACGCCACAATTTGGATCAAAGCCTAAAAGGGGCAGATTCGAGTTGTAAAACATTATTAGTGTGGTATTTTGAGCTGAAACTTTTCACACACACTCTAAACTGTCCTTTAAACCATGCACCAAAACAATTGAGAACGGTATAAACGGAGGTTGGAGCCAACTCCAAGTGGATGGGCCTTCGAGCTCTAAGTGGGCTGTACAAACCTGGAGTTTTTATTTATTTAATGTCTTGTACGTGACATTGAGTCCAATATTGTACTTTATGAATGTCTTCCCCAACCTCACAGTAACCTGATGTGTTTTATTAATGTTTACTCCACCTACACCACCTAAACCCAACCTACTTGTGACGAAGGTCCCTCCCACTTGGAGGTCCCCCAACCTATTTGTGGTGTAATCCCTCCCACTTGGAGGTCTCCGGGCTGCAGCGATACCTACTTTGAAACAGTTGTCCACCATTGTATTTGTTTGTCCTGCAGCGGATATCAATGGTATTCAACATTCTTCAAAATATCTTCTTTTGTGTTTCAATATAAGAATGAAGCTCTTAAACATTTTGAGCTATTTAAGGGCAAATAAATTATGAGTATTTTTGTATTCATGGGTAAACTATCATCTTTGTCTCTTGTTTTTCCCTGCTCTGTTAAATATAATTTGGGAAATATTTAAAAAAGAAAAACAAACTCAAAGTGGGGCTAATAATTCTGACTTCAACTGTATATATACAATTTTTTTTTCGTGTTTTCACAAGCAAAAGCAATGGGAATGTCTGCATTTTTAGAGGGTTTTTTCCATCGCAGTTGTGAATTAGTAAAGTCTGATGGCATTTTTATACATTAAAGCACTTACTGTCAGATGCCAAACTTGAGTATTAGCAAAGCCACAAAGAACATTTAATAAAGTCTTCTTTCTTGCATACAGTTATTTGCATACAGGTATTTTATTTTTACAAAAGTTATTTGATACGTTAAAGTTCATCCATTTTGCTTGCATTTAGTATGATTTCTGTGACTAAATGACTTTTTACTGCTAATGTAAAGAAAACATCCAAAATGCGTCTTATCAACAATTACAACTACACATTTATATACTGTATTATATCTCAGAATATTGTTTTGTGCTGCAGGTTGGTAATTGATTAATGTGGTCCAAGTTTACATGTTTACAAAAAAATAAATAAATAGATTTTTAGACATTTTAATTTCTAGAGAGGACATTTCTGTAGAACTTATTTGATTATTGTGATCTAAGTTTAAATGTTAGGAAAAAAAATAGATTTTTAGACATTTTGATGCCTGAAGAGGACATTTCTGTAGAATTTACCTGATTAATGTGGTCTGAGTTGAAATGTTAGAAAAATAAAGACATTTTTTTTAGACATTTGCTATACCAAAAGATGGCTTTTCTGTTGACGATAATTTATTAACGTACCTAACTCAATGTTTACACAAGAGGACATTTTTGTTGAAGGTAATTCATGAATGTGGTCTTGGTTTACATCGTAAGCGGGTTTAAAAGTTGTAAAAATAAAAGGGTTTTTAGGTTTTTTGCTATACCAAAGGAAAACATTTCTGTTGAAGACAATTGTTGTTTAAGTTTTAATGTTTGCAACAACAACAAAAAAGGTACGGTAATTGATTAAAGTGGTGTAAGTTTCAATCACAGGTTTAAATGATAGAAAAAAATGATAGGCTAGCTTTTTAGACATTTTTCTATACCAAAAAAAAAAGCCTTTCTGTTGAAGATAATTGAATAATGTGGTCTATAAGTTTAAATGTTTACAAAACAAATACATTTTTAGACCTTTTTGCTATAGCAAAATAAGACGTTTCTGTTGAAGATAATTAATTAATGCGATGTTAGTTTATACTATAGACAGGTTTAAATGATAGAAAAATAGAGTTTAAACAAATATCTTTTGTTTTAGTATATCTCTTAGTATATTAAGTGTACTGTCATTTATATTTTAGTTTATCCTACTTATTTTCACTATCATTGATGCTGTTGGCACTATTATTATATTATTATTATTTAATAACCTCCATTTATTTGGTTATTACATGTATTTCTAATGCTCACTGTTATATGCTGATTGTCATATTTTTTGTGTTCACATAATTTCAAAATAAAAGAATAAAGATTTAATGAAAAGAAATTCACAATAACCTTTTTTTATTTGTTTTATGGTGGAAACAGGCTTTTATAGATGGCTTCCTTCCGTTTCTTTTACAATTAATACATTTCATTCCATGTATGTTTTACAATTAATATTAGTAACACAGGAGATACATAAGACATGTAATTTGTACTAATATTAGGTGACTTGAATACAAATCAATACTCATTCAAGGCAAAAATGTAGGCCTAACAAAAAAATGAAAAATATCAATACATGAAAGAATAACAAATACTTAAAAAAAAGAAAATAAGATGTGAATAAAAAAAAAAAAATACATATCATTTCCATAGAAGATAAGTAAATTAAACACCAGCGCTAACTTCCCCTATAGAGCAGCAGGTGGCGCTGTAAACCGGCTGCAGGTTCATATTACAGCACAGCTGCACAAGCAGATCCCCTCTCACTAATCATCGGTCATTATTAACGCTCGAAGGAAACTTTGTTTTGTCATTTATTACCGGATTGTCCGTCTTCAGTCCCAATGAGGAAACAACGACCTGACTAGTGTGAGGAGATGGGGACACTCAACATTAGCGAGCAGGTAAACGTCGTGTATTTACTGCTTATTTCAACGTGTCGTTTACTGAGAGCAGCTTTAAAGGGGCAGTTCACACCAAAATTAAAAAAAAATCACAAGTCATTTACACACCCTTTACTTGTTTTCAAATCTTTATGAGTTTCTTTCTTCTCTTAAACACAAAGGAAGATATTTTTAAGAAGTGTAAACCGGTAACTTTTGAATTTCATAGAAAAACTGAGACTTAAAAACATCTTCTTTTTTGTTCAACTTAAGAAAGACACTCATAAAGATTTAAATCAAGTAAAGGGTGATTAAATTACGACTTTTTTTTATTTAGGGTGAACTTTAACGTTAGGTCTTGTTCTGTGTGTGTTAGTTTTATTTTCATTTTAATACACGTGTTCTGTAAATATACACAGCCAGCCTTTGTAAAACTAGTTTTTTGGTTGTTTATTTAGTTGTCAAGTTAAAATGTACGTTTGTTTTGTATTATTTATTTGTGATGTGCTTGTTTATTTTTTATTTAATGTGATAAAGGTTCATTTATTTGTTCATTCATTGATGGAGAGCATTATTTTTATTTACTACACATATTGTTTGAGTGCGTTTACTTGAAAGTTGCTGTACATTTATACTGAAGCAAAATTTAAAGTAAATCTCGCTTATTTGCGTAGCTGTCCATCGTAATTACCGTAACTATCCTAAAAACTAACAATCGACTGATTGTATTATTTGTTATGCCTGTTTCTTTGATTGTTTTGATTCTGAACTTATCCATTTAAAGCACAAGATAAATGACAAATTATTGAAATGGGGCGGCAGAGTCACCTCACAGCAAAAAGGTCACTGGTTTGCTGGGTCTGTGCATTTCTGTGTGGAGTTTGCATGTTCTCCGAGTGCTCCCGTTTCCCCCACAGTCCAAACACATGCACTATAAAGGAATTGATGAGCTAAATTGGCCATAGTGTATGAGTGTGTGTGTGTGAATGTAAGAGTGTATGGGTGCTTCCCAGTACTGGGTTGCAGCTGGAAGGGCATCCACTGTGTAAGACAAATGCTGGATAAGTTAGCGGTTCATTCCGCTGTGTTGACCCCTGATGAATAAAGTGACCAAGCCGAAGGAAAATGAATGAATGAATGAAATTATTGAAATATAAGACTTACTGTTTGCCTTTGGTTCAATATAACTGCAATCAGATGCTAAACAAGACTCTGACGCCCTATTCACACGGGGCGTCAGCGTCAACGCTTCCCATTCACTTTGAATGGGTAACGTCAGGCGTTGCCAAACTGCATTGTGGATCCGTCGGCGCTGCTTCAGAAGCGTTCCTCGCTGCAGAAGTTGGGACTAGCTCAACTTTTCAAGCGCCGATGGAAGCGTCAGCCAATCAGATCGCTGTATGCAAATACACCAGCTCAGACAGTGGCCTATTGCTGACTGAATTTCATTGGCTGACGCTTCTATGACGATCGTTTCAGCTCCAACTTCAGACACGCCTTCAGTCAAGCGTTGACGCTGAAGCCCCGTGTGAATAGGGCGTAACGGGGCTTCAGCGTCAACGCTACCCATTCACTTTGAATGGGTGACGTCAGGCGCTGCCGAACTGCATTGTGGATCCGCTTCAGAGGTGTTGCTCGCAGCAGAAGTTGGGACTAGCTCAACTTTTCAAGCGCCGACGGAAGCGTCAGCCAATCAGATCGCTGTATGCAAATACACCAGCTAGACAGTGGCCTATTGCTGACTGAATTTCATTGGCTGACGCTGCTATGACGATCGCTTCAGCCCCAACTTCAGATAAGCCTTCAGTCAAGCGTTGACGCTGAAGCCCCTTGTGAATGGGGCGTAAGGTGCTATTTACTTTGAAATAAAAGGTTTTCTTCTGGAAACACAGAAAAAGTTTGGTGTATTAATCAGTCCCCCAAGGTTGAGATTGAAGCAAATGGCGTCATAAGTTTTGAGAAAAGCGGCCACAAAATCAGTCATTTTAGGATGGAAATATATAAACAAATGTCCATTAAAAATCCCCTATGGACTGATTAATAACTGTTTACTGTCTCTCAGTAAACCGTGTGATTATTCTAAAAGGATTCTGGCATGATCTGCTCAGTCTGTCTGTCTTTTCTCAATGGGATTCTTCTGTTTCTCCTGCATTTATTGAGTTTGGTGATGTTTCAAACTATTACAATATAAAATTTTCCACACCCGCTACTGCAATTATTTGCAGAGCTTCAGAATTAAAGTGTTTCTTCAGCACATTTCTTAACACAATAGTTTTAATAACTCATTTCTAATAACTGATTTATTTTATCTTTGCCATGATGACAGAAAATAATATTAGACTAGAAATTTTAAAGACACTTTTATACAGCTTAAAGTGACATTTAAAGGCTTAACTAGGTTAATTAGGCAAGTCATTGTATAACAGTAATAATAATAATTATATTGACCTTAAAAACATAATAATATTGACCTTAAAATGGTTTTTAAAAATTAAGAACTATTTTTATTTTTTTATTCTAGCCGAAATAATACAAATAAGACTTTCTCCAGAAGAAAAAATATTGAAGGAATTACTTTGAAAAATTCCTGAATCTGTTAAACATCATTTGGGAAATATTTGCAAAAGAAAAGAAAATGTACTGGAGGTCTAATAATTTTGACTTTAACTGTATATATATATATATATATATATATATATATATATATATACACATTTCAAAACAGTGACAACATTAACACTTTTTCACGTCCGCCATTTTGTATCAAACATACTAATGATGACATCACATTTCACTTCAGCTTCTCATCAAAAGTTTTCTCTCCCCCAGTCTCTCCTGGTTCAGGCAGTGTTCAGCCAGAATGCTGAAATGCTGGAGTTTTTATTGGAACAAAATGAAGACGTCAACGAATTGGTATCTGCTTTATCTTGTGCTTCTTGAAGAAACAACTTGAATTTATTATATTTGAAGCACTTTACAGTAAGGTTGTATTAGTTAATGTATTTGCTAACATTAACAAACAATGACCAACACATTTATTACAGTATTTATTCATCTTTTTTACAGTTGTTCACTGTTTGTTCGTGTTAACTTGTGGTGCATGAACTAGCACGAATTTGTATTTTAATAATGCATTAGGAAACGTTGAACTATAATTAATAAATGGTGTATTATTCACAGTATTGTTCATTATTAGTTTGTTAATAAATGCATTAACTAATAAAGTCTAAGTGTAAAGGGTGACATATATTTAAATTCTAATGCTGTATTTATTCGTAAAAACGCATTATTCCATATGGCTGATGAATGCTAATCAATGCTACAAGATGCACAACATATATGCACAGACATTATAATTGTAATGTAATGTCCAGTCGTGTTGTTTCAGGACCAAGAGTGTCGCAGCGCTCTGCACGCCGCTGCGTTTGTGGGTGGTGCTCATATCATGGACCTCCTCATCAGTTCAGGTGAGAGATCAGGAAATTCATTAGGTTAAGGCGTGCAGTAGAGACAGTGGTCGTTTTGTATGCAAACATCAGTGCCTTAAGTTTGAAGTGAGTAGCTTCTGGCGGTCAGTGCAAACAGAGGTGTCATGTGCGCTCTCTTCTGCTCATTAGAGATCACCCTAAATGCCACATTCTGGATCAGATGCAGAGGCTTTATAGTTCTGGCTGGAAGGCCTGCCAATAGAGCGTTGTAATAATCCAGCCTGGACGGAACAAGAGCTTGAACAAGGAGTTGTGTAGTATATTCCTGATCCTCCCAATGTGTTGTACAAGGCAAATCCGCAGTACTGGGAGGTTTCAGCAGTGTATTCTTTCAAGTTCAGCTGATCATCTAGTCACAACTCCAAAGTTGCTGGATGTCCTGGAACACTCTTAAAATTAAAGGTTCTCTTTTGCCATTCGTGGCTTCACAAAGACCTTTTAACCAAAGTGTCAATTACAGGGGGTTTAATGCTTGATCCCTAGCCTTGAACACCATTTGCTGTTCAAATCTAGCCTAGAGCGCTGTCTGCTGTTAATATCTAGTCTAGAGCGCCGTCTGCTGTTAAAACCAAGCCCAGAGCGCCGTCTGCTGTTAAACACTAGCCTAGAGCGCCGTCTGCTGTTAAAAACTAGCCTAGAGCGATGTCTGCTGTTCAAATGTAGCCTAGAGCGCCGTCTGCTGTTAAAACCAAGCCCAGAGTGCCACCTGCTGTTAAAACCAAGCCCAGAGCGCCGTCTGCTGTTAAAACCAAGCCCAGAGCGCCATCTGCTGTTAAACACTAGCCTAGAGCGCCGTCTGCTGTTAAAAACTAGCCTAGAGCGCCGTCTGCTGTTCAAAACTATCCTAGAGCGCCGTCTGCTGTTAAAAACTAGCCTAGAGCGCCATCTGCTGTTCAAAACTAGCCTAGAGCGCCATCAGCTGTTAAAACTAGCCTAGAGCGCCGTCTGCTGTTCAAAACTAGGCTAGAGCACCGTCTGCTGTTCAAAACTAGCCTAGAGCGCCGTCTGCTGTTCAAAACTAGGCTAGAGCACCCTCTGCTGTTAAAAATTAGCCTAGAGCGCCATCTGTTGTTAAAAACTAGCCTAGAGCGCCGTCTGTTGTTAAAAACTAGCCTAGAGCACCTTCTGCTGTTAAAAACTAGCCTAGAGCGCCGTCTGTTGTTAAAAACTAGCCTAGAGCGCTGTCTGCTGTTAAAAACTAGCCTAGAGCGCCGTCTGCTGTTAAAAACTAGCCTAGAGCGCCTTCTGCTGTTATAAACAGTTTTCTGCAGAATCTCATGTTTTTCTGTTGTTGTCTGTGCTCACCTGTGGTTGTAGGTGCTAATGTTAATGCTAAAGATCAGGAGTGGTTGACTCCTCTGCATCGAGCAGCTGCTTCACAGAATGAAGTAAGTTCAGGTTGATTTCATGTTGTATTTTATGTGTTTTTTTTTTACTCTGACTGCATTATTTTAATTTCAGGTGTCTGTGGGCCTGCTGATGGAAAAGGGAGCAGATGTGAACACACAGGACAGATTCTGCCAGACGCCATTACATGTAGCTGCAGCCAACAGAGCCACTAAATGTGTGGATGTTTTGCTTTTTCACGAGAGCAGTTTAAATGCAGCGGATTGTTTTGGGAGAACAGCTTTACATCACGCAGTGCACAGCGGGCACACAGAGGTACAGCAAGATCTAAATCACAATATAATGAACATTTCATTAAGGAATTATAATCCTTAGGGCGCCACAGCATCTACTGTTAAAAACTAGCCTAAAGCACCATCTGCTGTTAAACACTAGCCTAGAGCGCCATCTACTGTTAAACACTAGCCTAGAGCGCCATCTGCTGTTAAACACTAGCCTAGAGCACCATCTGCTGTTAAACACTAGCCTAGAGCGCCGTCTGCTGGTAAACATTAGCCTAGAGCACCATCTGCTGTTAAACACTAGTCTAGAGCACCATCTGCTGTTAAACACTAGCCTAGAGCGCCGTCTGCTGGTAAACATTAGCCTAGAGCACCATCTGCTGTTAAACACTAGTCTAGAGCGCCGTCTGCTGTTAAACATTAGCCTAGAGCACCATCTGCTGTTAAACACTAGCCTAGAGCACCATCTGCTGTTAAACACTAGCCTAGAGCGCCGTCTGCTGGTAAACATTAGCCTAGAGCACCATCTGCTGTTAAACACTAGTCTAGAGCGCCGTCTGCTGTTAAACATTAGCCTAGAGCACCATCTGCTGTTAAACACTAGCCTAGAGCGCCGTCTGCTGTTAAACATTAGCCTAGAGCACCATCTGCTGTTAAACACTAGCCTAGAGCACCATCTGCTGTTAAACACTAGCCTAGAGCATCGTCTGCTGTTAAACATTAGCCTAGAGCACCATCTGCTGTTAAACACTAGCCTAGAGCATCGTCTGCTGTTAAACATTAGCCTAGAGCACCATCTGCTGTTTAAAACTAGCCTAGAGCGCCATCTGCTGTTAAACACTAGTCTAGAGCAGCGTCTGCTGTTAAACACTAGTCTAGAGAACCATCTGCTGTTAAACACTAGTCTAGAGCGCCATCTGCTGTTAAAAACTAGCATAGATCCCCGTTTGCTATTTAAAAACTAGCCTAGAGCACCGTCTGCTGTTAAAAAGTAGCCTAGAACGCTGTCTGCTGTTAAAAACTAGCCTAGAGCGCCATCTGCTGTTAAAAACTAGCCTAGAGCGCCATCTGCTGTTAAAAACTAGCCTCAATCAAGACCACTGTTGATGTTGGAATTAAAATGTGAAATCACATATCACTTCTCTTCATGACTAATCAGTATTGTCCTCAGACAGTGGCTGTGCTGCTGAACAAAGGGGCCAATGTGAGTGCCAGAGACATAAAGGACCGGCAGCCGCTCCATCTGGCCGCCTTTCTAGGTAGGCAATCTTCTGTCTCTGAATTCTTCAGCATACATGGGATTTCAATATCTGATTGTGTGTGATCAGGGAACATGGAGGTCGTGAAGCTGTTGTTGGCGTTCAGAGCTGATGTGTCCTGCAGGGATAAACTGGCCTTCACTCCTTTACATGCGGCAGCTCTTGGCGAACACACTGAAGTGCTCAAATACCTGCTGAAACATGGAGCACAGGTCAGCAATCTGAAAACACCATTTCTTCAACACATTTCTGATTATAATAGATTTAATAACTCATTTCTAATTTTATTTTAATCTTTGCCATGATGACAGCACATAATATTTGACTAGAAATTCTTCAAGACACTAGTATTCAGCTTACAGTGACATTTAAAGGCTTAACTAGGTTAATTAGGGTAAAGTAGGGTGATTAGGCAAGTCATTGTATATGCTTATATCACGCGGCCGCCATTTTAAAGAACCAAAGTGAGGCTGCGGTGGGAAGAAACCCGGAAGTACAGGACCAGCACTGTAAACATTGCAGTAACATGCTGTGGACTGCAAAACCTCCAGCTGTTGCCGAGATTTATTTTAATCTATTTAACAGATTGATGAAGCGGATGGTTCTGGAAACACTGCTCTTCACATGGTGTGCAGTGCTGGTCTGGAGTCAGTAGTGTGTGACCTGGTGAACTGCGGTGCCGATGTGAACCGTCCAAACCTGCGCGGCTCCACACCTCTGCATCTGTGTGCTGAGTCCCCCGACGGAGCCCTGTGCCTGGAGCTGCTGGTCAATAACGGAGCACACGTTAACATTCCGGTCAGACATGCATGAACGCAAAATCAGCTTTAACAAAAAAAAATTAGTTACGCTTTATTGAATTATAATTCCTGCTATTAACAAACCATGAACTATAGCTATGCTTCCATGCAAAGATGCGCAAGACTGGAATATTGCATACAATATTTGCGCACCATTTCCATCCAATGATTCAAAGAGAACAAAATCGTCACTTCCTGACAAACATTAGACACAAAAATGTAGTGTAGTGCGCTAGGAGAAGCCACTGTAGTCTTTTTTTCCTTCTCTAATAAATTACACCTCAGAAAATGAAGTCAAAACACAATGAATGCATTGGCGTAGTGGTTAGTCTGTCGACACATGCACTCAAGTGCTCTTGGCAACCCGAGTTCGATTCCCACCTCGTGGTCTTATGCCGATCCTTCCCCTCTCTCTGCCTCCCTGTCAACACTCTCTACTATCCTATCCATTAAAGATGTAGACCCCTTAAAAATAATTGTAAAACATAAATACATGTGAATGCAGTGCAATGGCTTTTGAAGGCATGAGACGCTCAAGACAGTTCTGGAGAGAATAATAATTATATAATAATATTAATAATACTGAACCACTGTGAGTTTGGCTGAGGGATTGTTAAATGACCAAAACTACATTTCAGATGTCTTACAATGGGCTGGAAATGCTGGTTTGTCCATTAATGTTATCCCATTTTAAACGCATGATCTATGAAAACAAAAGTTTCTCAGTTTTGCACATACATTTTTAATGTGCATTTTTTAAAATTAATGTGCATCCTTGAATTTTTTATTGTGATTTTTGTTCAAAATGCGCAGAAAAATGGGTGATGCGGTGGCGTATTAGGTAGTGCTGTTGCCTCACAGCAAGAAGGTCACTGGTTCAAGCTTGGGTCAGTTGGCGTTTCTGTGTGTTTGCATGTTCTCCCTGCATTCGCGTGGGTTTCCTCCAGGTGCTCCGGTTTCAGTCCAAACACATGCGCTATAGGGGAATTGAATAAGCTAAAATTGTCCGTAGTGTATGAGTGTGAATGAGTGTGTATGGATGTTTCCCAGTGATGGGTTGCAGCTGAAAGGGCATCCGCTGCGTAAAACATATGCTGGATAAGTTGGTGGTTCATTCCACTGTGGTGACCCCTGATTAATAAAGGGACTAAGCTAAAAATTGAATGAATGAATGAATGCACATAAAAATAGGTGTGTGGGAACATAGCTAATGAATTTTGCTTCAATAATTCCCAATGTTCTGCTCATTAATAAATATTAAGGTAGGGGTTTAGATATTGGGTAGGATTTGGAAACTACAACCAAGTCAGGCTGAATATGTTCTTAATAAGTAATAATAAACAGCCAGTATCTTAATAATAGGCAGGTAATAAGCTAGAGAATTGGTGCTTAAAAGGGTCTTATTATGCCCCTTTTTTAATAAGATGTCAAACAAGTCACTGATGTCCCTTGAGTGTTTGTGTTTATGTGTGTGTGTGTGTGTGTGTGTGTGTGTGTGTGTGTTTCAGCTCAAATACCACACTAATAATGTTTTATAATTCTCTGAAACTGACCCTTTCAGGCTTTGATCCTAACTGTGGTGTTTTGGTGACTGTTGCTTTAAATTCAAATGAGATTGTGCTCTTTTCAAAAGAGGGCGGAGCTACAAATGCCTGTGTGTCAGCATAGTGGCAGATTCAAAACTCTTAACAGCTGCTTCTCACTCAGGGCTGTTTATGCTAATGAGGGAGAGATGGTCACTAGTAGGCGGGGCTTTCTCCCTCTGATGACACATACAAAGAGAGAATGTCAATCAAAGTGTTCTATCAAGTGTGATTAATGAATAAATAGATTTTTACCAATGGAGGCTGGTTATACTGTATACACACACTGTTGCCACACAACTGTCTTTAAACCCCTTTAAAAACTGCATAATAGGTCCTATTTAAATTAAAGTGTCACCAAAAAGTGTATTGTCTTTATTTTCTCTGACCTTTCTGTTATTTTGATTTCAGAATAATGAAGGGAAGAGTCCTTTGCACATGGCCGCCATTCATGGACACTTCACCCGTTCCCAAATACTCATTCAGAACGGTAAAGTACAAACCTAACAAATTAATTGTAGTAAGATGCCGTTAAAGGGGTCTTGAACTCTTGGTTTCTGCGTTTGCCTCTTTTTATTTATATTTCAAGACAAAATTGTAAAATTTTAATTTTTTCAAATATTTTTCAAGTTATGTGGACGTTTTTCACAGTATTTCCTTATATATGTGTATGTTAAACTGATAAGGTTAATATTATTGGCCCCTTTTAGAAATTATTATTGTTTTGGTTGGTTACAGAACAAACCATGACAACAAATGAGGGGGGGGGGGGGGCTTCATTTTATCCATCATTGTTTGGATGGTAGTTGTTTCTTGTTTGTTATTGGTGGTTTTAATGTTAATCCCGCCCTTATGCTGGTAAACACCAATCAGAGAAGAGATGATGAAGAAGAAGGAGGGAAGATTATTTTTAAATCAATATTATCAGGACACGTGAGATTTAAAAAGAATGAATATCGAACAATGCAGTTCTGTAAAAAAATAAAACACGTCTGACTATGATTCAGAGAGAATTTTTAATAATACCAGTCAAAATATCAGTCCTTTGTCTTTTTAAGTTTTATTTTTTATTTTTGTTTTCCTTTTTCTTTTCTTTTTCTTTTCTTTTTTTTCTTTTTTACTTTTTTGGTTTCTTTTGTTTTTGTTTTTGTTTTTTCTTTTGTATTTTCTTTTTGTTTTTCTTTTCCTTTTTGTTTTTTGTCCCCTTTGTTTTCTTTTTTCTTTTCCCTTTTTTCGTTTTCCTTATTGTTTTCTTTTTTGTTTAAATTTCTTTTCTTTTTCTATTATTATTATTATTATTTTTGTTATTATTAATATTATTTTACACCTCCCTGTTTTCCTTTATTTTGTTTATTACATGTATTTTCTTTTGATGCTCCCTGTGATATGCTGATTGCATGCACTTTTTTAAAATGTTCATACAAAGATAGAAAAAATATGTTCTAGTACAATTTGTGCTCTGCTTAGTCTGATACAATTCCATAAGTCCATTTCTCAAAAACCAGGCTATCTGAAATTTTTGCCAATATCAATGACAGATGTGACAGATGTCATGCACCAAGGTGTAATTTGAGTCATATGTTCTTTATGTGCCCTCTGTTACAGAATTATTGGATTAATTATAATACAATTATGTCCAAGGTGTTGCAGGTAAATGTCGACCCATCCCCTGATGTTGCCATTTTTGGGGTTCCAAACATTTGGTCCCAATTCAATTATAAACATCTTGATGTTTTGGCCTTTACCTCACTTATAGCCAGGCATCGTATACTACTTCACTGGAAATCAAATAAGACCCCAATTACATCCCAATGGCTTGTAGATACCATGCATTTTCTTAAGTTGGAAAAGGTTAGATGCTCTGGGAAAACTAATTTCTTTAAAAAGTGGCAGTGTTTTATAACTTACTTTAACTCTCTTAAGGTATTGCCTACCATTTAATAGATGCACTCTCCTTCCCTTTTTAATTTATTTAGTAGTAATTTAATTTATTTGTTTTATCTAATACTATTTTATATTGTTTAATTGTAAATATTTACTTTCAACATTGACAATGTATCTGAACATTTGATTGTGATATTTGGTTGTAATTCTCTGTACACTTATTACTCTTGTTTCCATTTTTTTTCCCCCTCTTTTATTATTATTATTATCATTATTATTATTAATATAATATAATAATATAATATAATATAATAATATTATTATTAATATTCTCTTTATTATATATATATATATATATATATATATATATATATATATATATATATATATATATATATATATATATATATTTATATATATATATATTTTTTTTTTATTATTATTATTATTTTATTCTCTTTTGTAAAAAAAGATAATGATATGTAACTATCTGTACTGATGTAGTGTTTGTTTTTTTCACAATAAACAATTTAATCATAAAGATAGAAAAAATACCATTCTTTTCTCTTGTGTTTTGAAGGCGCAGAAGTGGAGTGTGTGGATAATTATGGAAACACTGCTCTTCACACTGCTGCTAAACATGGACACGAGCTGCTCATCAGTGAACTGCTGAATAATGGTGCAGACATAGCCAGGTCTGTTTATACTGTTGTACGAAATGGGTTTTAGCTAAAAATTTACATTGTTTAAAAACAATATTTGTGAATGAAAAACGTAAAACAACTTAATTCATTTCACATCAATAAACATCTGAATAGCAAAAAAGCAAAACGTAAATAATAAACGGAACCTTCTTTAGAAAGTAGAGCTGTTCTGCAAAACAGATTTGTAAAACAACAAAAAGAGCCACTTTTTACTGAATTGATTTATGCAGAACTGTTTACTATATATTTATTTACAGTATTTAAAACAAGTGTATTACAAGTATACTATATTATACTTTAAAAGTAATCCCTCAGTGAATAATTTAATTACAGAAACGAGTTGCTTTGTAACTCATTACACCACACTCTGATTGTAATTTGCTTTTACAAAAACTGTCCAGGCGAGGCATTGATGGCATGACTCCATTGCACTTGGCGGTGTTGTACGGCTATTCAGACTGTTGTCTTAAGCTACTTACCTCAGGTAAAATCACACATATACACTGTCTGCAAATCCCCATCTCCTTTTGTGTGCATTACTGTGCAGAAGTCTAAGGCCGTTTTATTTTTGCTATTATTTGAAATAATGCAGATTTTTGTTTGCTCGAGTTGTCTGAAAGAGTCAGACATCTGGTCTGGTTAATAGAAAAAAAAACCCCTGATATTTCCTACTGACACACTACAGCTGGAGATTGAAGAAATACACAGCCATTACACCCTGCAGCCCAAGACCGGTTACTCACTGAAGGTAAACAGAGCTGAGCCTGGTCAGTACCTGGATGGGAGACCTCATGGGAAAACTAGTTTGCTGTTGAAAGTGATGTTAGTGAGGCCAGCAGGGGGCGCCCAACCTGTTAGTCTTAATGCCCCAGTATAATGAAGGGGACACTACACTGTCAGTGAGCACTGTCTTTCCTATGAGACATTAAACCCAGGCCCTGACTCTCTGTGGCCATTAATAATCACATGACACTTCTGGTAAAGACTAGGGGTGTAACCCAGGTGTCCTGGCTAAAACTCGACCATCCCCAACATCATCCCCTTCCACTGAATTGGCTCTATCACTGTCTCTCCACTACCCCAATAGCTGGTGTGTGGTCAGCGCACCGGTGTCGTTGTCACATCATCCAAGTGGAGCTGCACATTGGTAGTGGTGTGAAAAGACCCCCCTCATGATTGTGAAGCGCTTTGGGTGTATGGCCATACATGATAAATGCGCTTTATAAATACACATTACATTACATTACTCACAATACAAATAAATGACTGATTAAGTGACTCGATAAATGATTAAAACCATTTTTATGTTGGTGAAAATACTATTGGCCTAAGACAGTGGTCACTAAACTTGTTCCTGGAGGGCCGGTGTCCTGCAGATTTTAACTCCAACTCTAATCAAACACACCTGAACAAGCTAATCAAGGTCTTACTAGGTATACTTGAAGCATTCAGGCAGGTGTGTTGAAGCAAGCTGGAGCTAAACCCTGCAGGGACACCGGCCCTCCAGGACCGAGATTGGTGACCCCTGACCTAAGACCATACCTGCCAACACATTTCCCAAGGAGTCTCCTGTATATCACACCCATCTCCCGCCACCCTCCAGTTTTGTTATTTCTCCCGGGAAACTCCCGTATTTTGTATGAGCCAATCTAGTTATGGAAAAAACGTTTCTCGTGTTTGTAAAGTTGCCAGATCCTCTTTGAAGCTCATCACCTCACACAATTGATCAAATATACAGTTGAAGTCAGAATTATTAGCCCCTTTTTTTCGTTTAAAATATTTCCCAAATGATGTTTAACAGAGCAAGGAAATTTTCACAGTATGTCTGATAATATTTTTTCTTCTGGAGAAAGTCTTATTTGTTTTATTTCGGCCAGAATAAAAGCAGTTTTTAATTTTTCAAACACCATTTTAAGGACAAAATTATTAGCCCCTTTAAGCAATATTGTTTTTCGATAGTCTACAGAACAAACGATCGCTATAAAATAACTTGCCTAATTACCCTAACCTGCCTAGTTAACCTAAATAACCTAGTTAAGCCTTTAAATGTCACTTTAAGTTGTCTTAAAAAATATCTAGTCTAATATTATCTACTGTCATCATGGCAAAGATAAAATAAATCAGGTATTAGAAATGAGTTATTAAAACTATCATGTTTAGAAATGTGTTGAAGAAATCTTCTCTCCATTAAACAGAAATTGCAGAAAATAATTGCGAATAATTCTGACTTAAACTGTAACAAAATCTCGAAGCAATTTTAACCTCAATCTGGCAACATGCGCAGTAGTAGTAGACCGGGGGAGTGGGGTCATATGTTGGCAGGTATGCCTATAGACATTTGCACAGTACTGCACGTCTGTGTATCTTTGTCTAAGATACTGTTCGTGTCAGCAGGGTTTGATATAAACACACTGGATGGCCTGAGCAGGACGTGTTTACATATTGCTGCTTCAGGAGGGTAAGTTAAGCCTGTGAGTGTATTTTGTTTAATATAATAGAATTAAATAGTTGTACATCCTTTGTTTGTTTGTCGACTGACAGGAATGTCGAATGTCTTAAGCTGCTGTTGGACAGTGGTGCTGATTGGAGTATAAAGGACAACATAGGAAGGTAAAGTGATTCATATTCAATAATGCTATGTCCTTTTAGATGTTAAAGTTAAACTAAGGGTATTTGGCATAACATACAATAGTTTAGTGTTTTTGACAAGTGGATAGGGAAAGAAACGACTTGAAGACCAAACATCACTACAATTATTTATTGCCCATACTTCCAGTGAAACCAGGGAAAATATATTGTACAGTGAAAGAAAAATATTTACAATAAATAAATGATAAATTACCTGGAGAAGAGGAAGTAGTTACATGTGCTTAAATCAAAGAAATAAATATAACAAAACCCAATAACTTTATTAAACAAACTAAACTTAATATAAAAAGGAAAGCATGAAAAGAAACATCTTCAACGTACCAAACATCCTAACTAAACTAACTTAAAGGGCCATGACACCCCCCACGTTCGGTTCAGGTCTACCTTCAGTATTTTTTCAACAGATTCATCATAATGGGGGTGGAGCTCTGAAAGCAAAGGGCAGGAGTGGGCGTGGCCAGCAGGGGAGAAGGAGGGAAGCGAGCAACTGTTGTCAGTCGGCTCACAAAATGAAACACAAACCGTGAGGAGACGCATGATTTTATAGTTTACAGAGTTAAAATGCAAAGAAATAAACAGTGATTTAATGCCCTGCTACATTTGTTATTCGTAATTTCATATATAACCACAATTTATATCATTATAAAGATAATCATGTTCATATAAAGACTATAAATGATGACTTCTCCCTCTATCCCCGTGTCTGAATGCAGACTCAGTGCTGCAGGTCTCTTGCCCTGTCTAACCATTAGCCCTGCTGGTAATCTGGAGGAGTCAGGCAAACACAGCAGCACGGCGATGTGTCTAAATGTGACCAATTCTCGTACTGCTCTCCCGACAAAAATGCTTGCTGCACAGAAACAGCTTTGCTGTATCGGCCCTCACAGCATCACGGGGAAAAACATACAACAAACCCCCGTGGATCATGGAAACAAACACATACAACCCTACATTAACAGCTAAACACTGTGTGCTGTGGGTCCGTGTCTCACAGCTTGGCACTGGCAGGTCTGCCTTCAGAAAGCACGTGCAGTCATGAATAATTAAGAAGCCGGGTCTTCTCATTGGATAAGAAAACTCCACTATGAATAATAATGAGAAACCGACGCGTCATCTTTGCACTTGCAATTCTGCGATACATTGCCGATTTTGATCCCGCCCCAAAAATTATTTTAAACCCGGAAGCTGAAATGAGCTGACAAAAGCTCAAAATTATCCAGTTTTCCCCACAATTAAAGCTGACAGCTGCTAACATTGTCCTAAGTGATGCTCAACACACACACATCTGTTAACATCTCAAAAAAAGTACCCGAGGGTTTGGTGAACCTTTAATAAACAAAACATACACAAAGCAGCCCACTCTCTAATAATAATCAAATCATATTATATTCACAAAGTTGTGTATCTATCTATAGTATATAGTGTCTATCTATAGTGGAGCCTGTAAATGTAGTAATTCTAGTGAAAATGCTTCTGTTACTAATTTATAATAGTAATATTATAATGATGTTTAACAGATTTTTCACAGTATTTCCTATAATATTTTTTCTTCTGGAAAAAGTCTTATTTGTTCTATTTCGGCTAGAATAAAAGAAATTTCTTAATTCTTAAGAATCATTTTAAGGTCAATATTATTAGCCCCTTTAAGCTATATTTGTTTTGGATTGTCTCCAGAACAAACCACTGTTATACAATGACTTGTCTATTTGGGCTGCTCGATTTTGGGAAAAATCATAATCACGATTATTTTGGTCATAATTGTAATCACGATTATTCAAAACGATTATCAGTTAAAGTCAAAATTATTAGCGCTCCTGAGACTTTTTTTTTTTTAAATAAATAATATAAATAAATAAAATAAATATTTCCCAAATGATGTTTAACAGAGCAAGGAATTTCAACAGTATTTCCTATAATATTTTTTTCTTCTAGGCTTATTTGTTTTATTTTAGCTAGAATCAAAGCATTTTAAGGTCAATATTATTAGCCAACTTAAGATATTTATTTTTTGATTTTCTGCAGAAGAAACTACTGTTATACAATGACTTGCCTAATTGCCCTAATTAAGCGTTTGAATTGCACTTTAATCTGAATGCTTGTATTTTGAAAAAGTCAAATATATCTAGTCAAATATTATTTACTGTCATCTTAGCAAAAATAAAAGAAATCAGTAATTAGAAATGAGTTATTAAAACTATTATGTTCAGAAATAAGTAAAAAAAAAACTTATTTCCATTAAACAGAAATTGGGCAGGAAAAGGGTTGCTAATATTCAGGAGGTCTAATAATTCTGACTTCTACTGTATACACACAGTTATTTTCCACCCTGCAAAGGAAAGAGAAATAAATACAATAGAATAAAAATATGAAAAACACTATAGCTACAAAAGTCCTTCAGTCAAGAGCAGTGAGGGATTTTCTCGTTTTGTTTGATTGATGATAAAAACAGGCGGCAGCAGGAATATCGCGCTGTCTCTTTAATGGTTTCTCTTTCACGTGTCTTTTGATCTTCAACTCGTTTGTTTATTACACAAATGAGGGTTAATATGAGTAATCACTAATCACCGCGTTTTGACACCTATTTGACCATTAAAGCGTTCACGTTAAGATGACTTTAGATGTCTGCGGTGCTCTGCTCGTCTCAGTGTGCGAATGAGACCGAATGCTGACCGGCCGCATGCTTCTGACTGTGTGTGCTTGACCCACACACACATAAGCACGCGGTCTTTCGCAACAAACGTGAACAGCTGGAAAGGGGGCGGTATATGATGCTATAATCGTTTATCTCGATTAATGCTTTTTCATAATCGTTTGAAGCCAAAATTGAAATCGAAATCAAATTTTCGATTAATTGCACAGCCCTATTGCCTAATTACCCTAACTTTACCCTGATTAACCTAGTTAAGCCTTTAAATGTCACTTAAAGCTGAATACTAGTATCTTGAAAAATATCTAGTCTAATATTATGTGCTGTCATCATGACACAGATAAAAGAAATGATATATTAAAATTATTATGTTTAGAAATATTTTGAGAAATCTTCTCTCCTTTGAATAGAAATTGGGGGAAATATACTGTGGGCTTTAAGTGTGTGTTTGTATCTGCAGGACTCCACTTCACGCATCGGCATATTCAGGAAGTGTCTCAGCGCTGGTGTTAGCGTTGAGCTGCGCTTCAGATGTAGACTCAGTGGATGATGCCGGACGCTCCGCACTAATGTTCGCTGCTGAAAACGGACACACGTCTGCTGTCGGTTTGTACTGTTGTGCTTTTTATATATTAAGAGTTATATATATTGGTCAAATTGACCAATTTTTTACATTTTTAGAAAATAACACCATGTGAAAATTTAAATATGTCACCGGCCACTTTATTAGGTACATCTTACTAGTACAGGGCTAGATGCTCTTTTGCCTTCAGAACTGCCTTAATCCTTCGTGGCGTAGATTCAACAAGGTACTGGAAAAATCCTGAGATTTTGCTCCATATTGACATGAGAGCATCACACAGTTATTGCAGATTTGTTGGCTGCACATCCATGATGTGAATCTCCCGTTCCACCACATCCCAAAGCTGCTCTATTGGAGTCTGAGATGATTCATGCTTTGACATGGTGTGTTATCCTGCTGGAAGTAGTCATCAGAAGATGGAGACACTGTGGTCATAAAGGGATGGACATGGTCAGCAACAATACTCAGGTAGGCTGTGGCGTTGACACCATGCTCAGTTGGTACTAATGGACCCAAAGTGTGCCAAGAAAATCTCCCCCACACCATTACACCACCACCACCAGCCTGAACCACTGATACAAGGCAGGATGGATCCATGCTTTTATGATGTTGAAGCCAAATTCTGACCAGACCATCCGAATGTGTCAGCAGAAATGGAGACTCATCAGAGCAGGCAACGTTTCTCCAATCTTCTAATGTTCAGTTTTGGTGAGCCTGTGTGAATTGTAGCCTCAGTTTCCTGTTCTTAGCTGACAGGAGCGGCACCCGGTGTGGTCTTCTGCTGCTGTAGCCCATCCGCCTCAAGGTTGGACGTGTTGTGTGTTCAGAGATGCTCTTCTGCAGATCTTGGTTGTATCGAGTGCTTATTTGAGTTACTGTTGCCTTTCTATCAGCTGGAACCAGTCTGGCCATTCTCCTCTGACCTCTGGCATCAACAAGGCATTTGCGCCCACAGAACTGCCGCTCAGTGGATATTTCCTCTATTTCAGACCATTCTCTGTAAACCCTAGAGATGATTGTGCGTGAAAATCCCAGTAGATCAGCAGTTTCTGAAATACTCAGACAAGCCCGTCTGGCACCAACAACCATGTTCAAAGCCACTTAAATCCCCTTTCTCCCCATACTAATGGTCAGGTCAAACTGCAGCAGATCATCTTGACCATGTCTACATGCCTAAACGCATTGAGTTGCTGCCATGTGATTGGTAGAAATTTGTGTTAACAAGCAGTTGGACTGGTGTACCTTATAAAGTGGCCGGTGAGTGTATACTATATATATATATACAGTTGAAGTTACAAATATTTCCAAATGATGTTTAACAGAGCAAGAATTTTTTTTTTTTTTTTTACAATATTTCTATAATATTAAACTGTTTTATGCAGAAATCCTCCTTCATGAGGCCAGAGCGGATCTGTCACTGCAAGACGTCAACATGAACTCAGCTCTTCATCTGGCCTGTAGAAGAGTAACGTACCCAAACATTCACAATTACTGTATAACACATGCTGAGAGTTGAGTTTCCAGAATAAATGATCACCATGTTGTCCTCCACAGGGTCATGAAATGTGTGCTCTCCTCATGCTGGCGGAGACTGACGACACGTCGCTCATCAGCTCCACAAACAGAGCGCTTCAGACGTGAGCTTTGCTGTTTGATTACATGCTATAAGTTGATTATTTAGTTGCATTGGCTAGTTTTTGTGTGTCTGCCTGCAGGCCTCTGCATATCGCAGCTAGAAATGGCCTTGTGACAGTGGTTGAGGTTCTGCTGACTCGAGGAGCAACAGTTCTGGCCGTAGATGAGGATGGTAATGACGACTTTTTATAACCTGATGATTGTACGTGTCTGTCTAATGTAAGGTCATTTAAAGGGAACCTATATTTTATAAGATGTAAAATAAGTCTCTGATGCCCCAGGAGTGTGTGTGTGTGTGTGTGTGTGTGTGAAGTTTCAGCTCAAAATACAACACAAATAATGTTTTATAATTCTCTGAAACTGACCCTTTAAGGCTTTGATCCTAATTGTGGTGTTTTGGGGACTGTTGCTTTAAATGCAAATGAGATTGTGGTCTTTTTAATAGAGGGCGGAGCTACAAATGCCTATGTGTCAAGATAATGGCAGATTCAAAACTGTAACGGCGGATGGCTGCTTCTCACTCAGGGCTGTTTATGCTAATGAGGGAGAGATGGTCACTAGTGGGCGGGGCTTTCCCCCTCTGATGACACGTACAAAGGAAGAATGTTAATCAAAGTGTTTCTGCAGACTGTTTTTATCAAGTGTGAAAGGCTCAATACGTGTTTGGCGCGATTTGTTGCCATTTTCAGACCAGCGCAACAGTAATTTTCACGTTTTTCGCCACGTTGTTTAAATGGCAAATCCATTAGCGCCACTTTGTGGACTCATGGGTGTGCTGGTCTAGAAAGTAGGTGTGTTAAGGCGCATTGTTGGCGTGCTGCTGTTTTGAGGAACTGAAATAGACTGCGGCATTATTGTTATTATTATCAGTATTATTTATTATATGCATTTAAATATTTATTTTATTAAACATACATTTAGATTTGTCCACTTTTGGGGTTTTGGAGACGTCTGCATCACCATATGGGGCATAAGAACAGGACGTTTGTTTGGATATAACTTTTTTGACCACCCTTGACTATTATTGTTCATTAATTCCTTTGCTGGAAATTAGAACTGAATTTTGGAAATCGTTTTGACACAAATCTTTCGCTTAGCAAATTAAATTAAATATGTGGGCTAATGGATGTATTCAGTAGAGTGAGTTTCCAACGTTTCCTCCACCAAAGTAAAGGAGTAAAGAGTAAAAGTAAAGTAAAGAGAAAGTAAAGAGGCTGAATGGAGGAGGCTCATTCTTCATCCTCGCGCTGCAGATGCTCTGTTTAACTGTTTTCTCGCTAGTGAAGCGTTCAGTTTTTACAATTACAAAGTCCAACATGTAAATAGCGAATGACGCAACTGACTCTTAAACGGAATGGGAGACGAGACTCAGATTGGTTTAATGCTCATTATGCTCAAAACACACCCAGAACTCATTAAGAGAATAAGCACAACCCTCTTAGACCATGCGCCAGAGCGTATTTCTCCGTCCTTAAAATAGCAAAAGTGGATTCGGACACGTCCTTAATGCTTTTGAGCCAAGCGCTTTAGACTTTGCGTATAGATCATTAAAATAGAGCTCAATATAATTGTACTTAAATAAACATTTACAGTAAACATAAAATGAAAAAAAAAAAAAAGGCAGGTCTCAATGCTGTCAAACACTGGGGGTATGTTCACTCATCAGTTTTTAGATGCTAAATGTGAACACTTGTTTTTAAATTGCATGCATTCTGCTAGCAAAGTGTAGATTACGTGAACGCTGATTGAGTGGGAAAACCACCGACACTAAAATTCAGTAGTTATTATTGTGTTAGTATTATAAGCTGCGTCCCAAATGGCACACTATGCACTCATGTACTTATGCACTTACACACTCAACAGGATAGTACATGTATGTAGTGTTGTCCCAAATGGCACACTAATGTTTTTTTACTAAACGGAAATTCAAACCGTTTCCCTGATGACGTTTGACGTTTGCCAAATCAGTGAAATAAACGACAGAATTATCAAATAATACCTATCGTGAGTATTGCCGCATTCACCATCGGGAGGTGCTATAATCACTCTCGTAGGAGAATTTTGCTTTCTCCATCCAAAATAAATAAAGTTATCCAACATGTGCGTCCGATAGCTCCACCCCTTCCGCTACGTAAGCAAACCTGCGGTCGTTGAGTGCGTGAAGTGTCCATCATTACACACTTCATTTTAGCGGCTGAATGAGTGCATCATCCAGGTAATTAAAGTGCACTTATTATTTGAAGAGTTTTCAGTGTGAACACACTACTTACACTATTTATACTACAAAATGGCGTAGAATAGTGCATAAGTATGCGATTTGGGACGCAGCTATAGTGTTCATTAAGCCACCATTTTATCCCCGCTCAAAAAAATCCTGAACACTATTATGTCAAAATAAAAGTCCCCTGCGAATGGAACATTACAGTTGTCGAATAACTAAACACTTCAGAGTCTTTGTAATGCATTTAGAAGCAATTATTCGAGTTTCTGAAATGTTTCTCATAAATATATTCTCATATCACTATTAATGTAGCTGTCTGTTCTTTTAGGACACACTCCAGCATTGGCTTGTGCACCAAATAAAGAGGTGGCGAAGTGCCTGGCGCTCATCATTTCCACTATGAAGCCGTTCATCGGTTTGATGAAGAACTGTGGCAGTGGTGTTTCCCATCAGCCCCTGCGTAACGGCGTATCTCTACACCTGCTCACCGAGGAGCCGCAGGGCTGAGCATCATTTTTAATAGCATCTGTCCTGCTGGAAGGTAGCTAAACAGACTTTTCACAACACTTTTTATGTATTTATATTAAAAAAACGACGAATAAAAGGCTATTTGGTTTCCCTGCAAACTCCTGACGTGCTCCACAAGATGTAAACATGTCAAAATAAAGTCTCCTGCTCATGGAATATGATGCTTTTTTCATGACTTTAGACATAATTTCATCATGGACACTATTCACAAGACTGTTTATAAGTCATCAGCATCTTAAATCCTTGAAAGTTTTTAATATTTTGACTAAGATGTAAAATAAGTCTTTGGTTTCATGTATCTGTGAAATTTCAGCTCAAAATTCTCATCAGATCATTTTTGAAACCCTTCTGAATATGTGAATTCAGACCTGCCTGTGCCTTTAAATGCAAATGAGCTGGTTCTCCCCGCCCACCGTTCCCACAAGCGTTGTTTTTCCTGCTGCTTCACGTCAGATAAACAGCAGTCGGTGATAGACACAGACACTGATGAAGTAGAGATCCTGTTTATGAGTCAAAAATACCAAGTATGGTTATTTTATGTACTTGTTGTGAAGTTTATTCAAGCCTTTCTGCAACGACGAGTCACACAAATGCCATTGCGCATACGCACACATGCACACGTTTAAATCTGCACTGTTTTTGCACATCTACTTGCAGCAAATCTGGATATGAATTATGATGTTGTACGAAATAAACCAGATTTAACGCCCACAAACCGGGACTCCTGTTATTTGTTTGAAGTGTCCTTCCATATCAGGGGTGTCAAACTGAATTCCTGGAGGGCCGCAGCCCTGCACAGTTTAGTTCCAACCCTAATTAAACACCTGTAGGTTTCAAACAAGCCTGAAGCACTTAATTAGTTTGATCAGGTGTGTTTAATTAGGGTTAGAACTAAACTGTGCAGGACCGCGGCCCTCCAGGAATCGAGTTTGACATCCCTGCTTTATAGGAACACTCTCATTTTTGGCAAAATAGGCTCATTTTACAGCTCCCCTAGAGTTAAAGTTGAATTAAAAATTTTTTAAATCCGCTACACCAGGAGATTAGCTGAATAGGAGCAATTTTAGCTTAGCTTAGCATAGAGAATTGAATCAGATTAGACCATTAGCATCTCGCTTATCTCTTGTTCATTTTTCATACATAATAACTTTAAATTGGCAAAAAAATTAGTTTGAACAAGATGCTAATGGTCTAATCTGATTCAATGAATTATGCTAAGATAAGCTAAAACCCAGAGGCTGTGTTCCAGTCCATGCATTCGTGAACCTCCCTTCACTTGTTCCCTCGTGCGGAATCCCCAATGCCATTTTAAAGTGCGTTCCATTTTATCAAGTGAACAAGGGAAGCTTACATGAACATATCCTCGATTTTGAATGGAGCGAGTCTAGTTCACATGTCCACTCCAGAAACTATAAGCCCCAGAATGCAATGCAATTGTGACGTCACAACAGTGCAGTGCTCAAAGGTTAGGGCATTTAATTTAAACCCATCCAGATGCTCCACCAGTTGCGCAACGTAAACAATGATTTACATCTGAGTGAACTAGAAGTTCGCAAGTAAAGGACATAACAAATTGGACAGGAATGCAGATATTTATTCATTTATTTTGTTAGTTTGTGAAAGATGCTAATGGTCTAATCCAATTCAATAAATTGTGCTAAGCTAAAAGTGTTAAATAAGAGATCGGCTAAATGGATTTAAAAATGATTTAAAACTCAGCAGTTTAAACTCTAAGTGAGCTGCGGTCCTCCAGGAATTGAGTTTGACATCCCTGTCCTCTAAAATTGTACTGACACTTTGCAGCTGCGGTGATTTTAGCAGATAGCAATTTCCTTCTCTTTAATACAAACATGCGCTGTTTTAAAAACATTTTAAACTTGTACAACTCATTCTTGAGCTGCAGCTGATCACAGAGAGTTGATCAGATCTTTGAATCCAGGCTTCCGCTGCTGAGAAACCCGGAAATGGGATAAAGGCTCCATTGCGTCTTTTGTAACGTTCGTCAATGTTCTGTCATTAAAGTCAAAATCAAGATAAAAGAGTTCAAACAAAACATTTACTTCATTCTATTTTTAATGTAATCATTTCTGACAAAAATATAAAGTGAAATTCAGCAGTTCTGATGGCTGCATGTTCTCAGTTAGTTAGCATTTTCACAGATCCATTTGGCTTTTCTGGTGTAAAACAAACAGACATGTGGCTGACTACTGTACATGAAGAGGGAAACACAAGAAACATAAACACATACACTATGGACAATATAGCTTACCCAATTCCCCTATAGCGCATGTGTTTGGACTGTGGGGGAAACCGGAGCACCGGGAGGAAACCCACGCCAACACAAGAGGGAGAACATGCAAACTCCATACAGAAATGCCAACTGACCTAGCTGGGACTTGAACCAGTGACCTTGTTGTGAGGTGACAGTGCTAACCACTGAGCCACAGTGCCACCCCAAAACTGGAACTGTAGAAAGTGTTAATTTTAAAAGAGAGATCTGTGATCAATTATGCTCAGCACTGCACAGTCGAAGAGGAAATGATTAGGCCTCCTGCAAAATTGTAATTATATTTCAAATATTTCCCAAGTGCTGTTTAAAAAAACAACAACTTTTTTCACAGTATTTCCTATAATATTTTTTGTTTTGGAGGAAGTCTCATTTGTTTTATTTATTTAATTTATTTTTAATTTAAATAAAATATTTTTTATTAATTTATAATAATTATTTATAATATAATTTATTTATTTTAATTTATTTTTCTTTAATTTATTTTATTTGTTTATTTGAGTTTAGCTGGAATAAAAAAATCTAAATTTTTAAGGTCAATATTATTAGCCCCCTTAAGCAATATTAGTGTTGGATTGTCTCCAGAACAAACCACTGTTATACAATGACTTGTGTAATTACTCTAACTTTACCCTATTAAACCCCCTATTAAACCTAGAAATGAGTTATTAAAACTGTAATGTTCAGAAATGTGTTGATAAAAATAAACAGCTCAGGAAATATTTGAAAACATAATTACAATTGCACAGAAGGGATAATTATTTAGTCTTTAACTGGATGTGGCTTTGAAGGAAAACATCTGGCTAAAATTAATAAAAAACAAAACCAATGATGAAGTTGACAAACAATCAGACGGTCTTAAAAAAAAGGTGAAACATTTCACTAACAATCTACAACACATGACAGCATTGAGTTAAGCCAAACATGTCTTCAGAAGAGACATGCACACACAGCTGCTCACCAAAACCCTTCAGGAAATACAGCTGAGGTCAGAATTATTATTATATTTAAGTATTTCTCAAATGACGTTTAACAGATTTTTCACAGTATTTCCTATAATATTTTTTCTCCTGGAGAAAGGCTTATTTGTTTAATTTTGGCTAGAATAAAAGCAGTTTTGAATTGTTTTAAACCCATTTTAAGATCAATATTATTAGCCTCTCAACCCTCCTGTCGTGTTCACCTCCGCCCCTTACTTTAGTGTTCCCGGTCAAAATCGGCCGCTCTCTTTAACCACTCTTCTATTGCTCTAAAAGCATTTTTCACCACCAAATATTTATTCAACATACTTTAGCTGTGAACAATATCTCAAACTAGTGCTTAACGTGAATTTATAAAGTTAGACGTACAATAACTGCAGTGAAAATACAAATAGGCAGCACAGTTGCGCAGTGGACACTGGTTCGAGCCTCGGCCGGGTCAGTTGGCATTTCTGTGTGGAGTTTGCATGTTCTCCCCGTGTTAGCATGGGTTTCCACCGGTCCAAAGACTTGTGGTACGGGTGAATTGGGTAGGGCAGGGGTGTCCAAACTCGATCCTGGAGGGCCGGTGTCCTGCATTGTTTAGCTACAACGTCCTGCAACACACCTGCTCAGAACTCTAGTATACCTAGAAAGAGCTTGATTAGCTGGTTCAGGTGTGTTTAATTGGGGTTGGAACTAAAATATGCAGGACCCAAGCCTTCCAGGACCGAGTCTGGACAATGGGGTAGGCCAAATTGGTCATGATGTATGTGTATGAATAGAAGTGTATGGGAGTTTCCCAGAGATGGGTTGCAGCTGGAAGGGCATTCGCTGCGTAAAACATATGCTGGATAAGTTGGTGGTTCATTCTGCTGTGGTGACCCCTGATTATTAAATGGCTGAAAAGAAAATCAATGAATGAAAATACAAATAGGCAGCGAAAATGTATTGCATAATGTCATGGAGGTGATCAGGTGGGAGGATCGGCACATAAGCACGGAAAAGAGATGTTCAGTCTCAAATGTGTGTGTGAGTGTGTGTGTTGGAGCGGTGTATATGGGGATGCTTTCTGTTTGATGGTTGAATACAGTGGATACCCATTCATTTCCTATGGTGGTCACTTTTGACTAGGAACACCACACGGTTGATTAAAACACTCAAAATTCATCACTTGTACATGTTTAAGTACACAGTGTGAAGGACATAATATGGCCTTGAAGCAATCAGATGTAAAACACAATATTTATCAGTGTTTTAGGTTGTAAATCGGTTTAGATTTGACCCAAACACGACAGGAAGGTTAAGAAATATGTGTTTTAAACTGTCCACAGAACAAACCACTGTAATATAATGACTTGCCCTATCACCCTTACTTGCCTAATTACCCTAGTTAAGCCTTTAAATGTCACTTTAAGCTAAATACTAGTCTCTTGTAGAATATCTAGTCTAATATTATGTGCTGTCATCATGGCAAAGATAAAATAAATCAGTTATTAGAAATGAGTTATTAAAACTATTATGTTTAGAATTGTGTTGAGAAAATCTGCTCTCCGCTAAACAGAAATTGGGTGGAAAAAAAATAAACAGGGGGTTAATAATTCTGACTTCAGCCGTACGTATTGCTCTATTATTACTGTAAATCATCTTTTGAGTGTCCGCCGTGTCTCCTTGCCATTGCTGACTGAAGTTCCTCCCGCAGCAGGACTCGGTGTCGAGCGGTTGCCATTTCCACTGTTTGCTCGTCCAGAAGACTGTGGATTACTAGAGTTGCCAGATGCTTGAGAATTCACTCCGTTTCCATTAGGAGTGTCTGTACCTTCAGAGAGAGAGAAACAATGTAGAGCTTTGAAATGGAAAACAGACTTATGGATGTCAGAAGTTTGCAGCTGTATACCATTGGAGAAGATCACACATTCTTTGAGAGGAAAGGGTAATTACAGGGTTCAACGCTAGGGATTTTTTTCTACTGGCCCGATCGGGCAAGTGGTTCAGATTTTTACTTGCCCTGCCAACATTTTCTCTGGCCCCACCAAAAAAAGAAGTTAGCCATTTAGTTATTCAGCATAACTTTTCTTTAAATACAATTGACAATTTAAAAATGATTTCATTTAAATACAATACTGATTAGATTAATTAAAGTGAATTGTTTAATGTGTGGTTTAGTTTAATTATTTAGTTGACAATTTTATGCTTTTTGTTTGTTTAAAATCCACCAAAATTCCTAATTTTATAAGCCGGCTCATTACATCAGTCTATAACAGTGGTTCTCAAAGTGGGGGTCGGGCAATGAAGGGGGGGTCGCCTGGTGATTTCCAAAATCTATTTATTTTTATTAAACCATAAGAATTAACATATTTTATCCATAACTATACTGAAAATAAAAATAGTCGTTTATAGTTACTATATACTATATAGTTACTATAGTAGCTTATAGTTACTAGTTCTATTGGATTGCGACCCCTGGGGTAATTATATTATATTAAAGGCAGCAATAGCGTCAGATGCATTTTGATTTTATAATATCAGGTTATACTTTCTGGCACATTTAAAGCACTGAAGCACTTTCTGTATTTATAACCATCTCAGAGGATATTGGGGGTCGCGAGTCACTGGCATTTTTATTTTGGGGGTCGCGGGCTGAAAAGTTTGGGAACCCCTGGTCTATAATACTGTCAGTATTTTTATTATTCATTTATTTGTTAATCTTAATTTAAAATGTATTTCACTTCTTGTTCTTGCTTGATCCATCAACATTATAATCATATTAGCCGCACGAATCGCGCTTACTGGGCAAACAAGTTCTGAAACAAACGTTTGGGCATGAAAGCACGCAATTGACGAACAGTCGCAGCCAAATTAAACTTTAGTGACAAAGCAGCACTGGCCCCTATCGGGCCAGTAACCATTCTGTATACTGTCCCAAGCGTCTTGCACACTGGCCCCGGGCCAGCGGGCAGTCCTTATTGTTGAGCCCTAAATTTAATTAAAAAGATTACGGCACAGTGGCTCAGTGTTTAACACCTTACAGCAAGAAAATCACTGGTTCGAGTCCTGGCTCGGCCAGTTGGCATTTCTGTGTGGAGTTTGCGTGTTCTCCTCATGTTGGCGTGGGTTTCCTCCGGGTGCTCTGGTTTCCCCCACAGTCCAAACACATGCACTATAGGGAATTGATGAACTAAATTGGCCGTAGTGTATGAGTGTGTGTGTGTGCATGAGAGTATGGGTGTTTCCCAGTACTGGGTTACAGCTTGAAGGCCATCCGCTGTGTAAAACTAATTCCAGAATAGTTGGCGGTTCATTCCGCTGTGGAGACTCCTTAAAAATCATAGACTAAGCTGAAGGAGATTGAATGAAATCCATGCTTAAATTATATAAAAACAGCACCACATGATTTATTTTGATGAAAGTTTTCCCCCACTGGTTTATACTGTATCTCCTCCCTGTTTATTTATTTAGTATTATTTTAATATACTGTGTGTGTGTGTGTGTGTGTGTGTTTTACTTTAGTTTGTTTGTTGCTTAGTTTTGATGCTCTGTATTGTTCACTTCTGAAAAATATATCATTTAAAACAAGAGTGTGAGATGATGATGATGATGATGATAATAATAATAAGAGTAAAATAATTTAATTTAAGGAAGAGGTAAGATTGATTTTCGATTTTTACTGTTGATCATAAGTTGGCAGCATTTCCCCTTTAGCTTTATGGAGTATAACTGCAGATTATAGTGTGCATGCAAAAATACATTGACTTTGTTTTTGTTTACTCCATGTAGTTCTAGCTGAGCTGCTTATTTAAATGATCTCAGACATATCAAGGTAAGTGCGCAAAGGTTTCTCTCTCTCTTTCCCTCTCTCTCTCTCAATTCAATTCAGTAATTGCTTTATTGGCATGACAGATGTATTGCCAAAGCAGTTCTTAAGTTTACATAGAAATAAGAGAACATACATATATAATAAAAAACACAGAAAATAGTAGTAGTAGTTAAAAAAAAGGTATATACATATAATAATTAAATACAAATTTCAAAGCATTTTCCCAAAATATGTCAAAATAAGATTTGCCGCCAAAACTCACTCCATTTGCTGAAACACAGAGGCTAAATTAGGACTCAACAGCACCCCATAGTGGATGAAAACATCCCTAATATAACATACTGTAAGGATTAAACTCCCCAGCTCTGCTAGTGGTAACAGTAAATATTGTTCTACCTGTTGTGGCTCCAGTGCTGCTGTTCATGTTGCTCTGGTCGTTCAATCCCTGATAGAAAACAAGAAGACATTGAATTAACATGACTTATAGTTCATTAAATGGTGATTAGGCTAAGACTGAAATCTGATGAAATAAATCTAGACATACCGTTTTATTTGTCTGGGTCAAATATTCTGGATTTGGCTCGCTAAAGTTTGGCACCTCAGAATACACCATGCAGAATCTTACAAATCAGATACAGAAAAAATATTGAATTCTCAGTCAAATGTTTAGTGTGAAGTGTAGTTTAATATATACATCAAATGTTTAGAATAATTATTTTTTATTGTAAGTCTTTAGTAATATTATTATAAATTTTATATTATTATTACAAGTGAATTTAAGTAAAAATAAAATTATTTAAATTATGAATAGTTACCAGATTTTTGACCTAATAAATCCAATCCAAAAAAAGAATTAATATTATTATAATTATATGCTTAGATTGGATTTATTTAGTCCAAAATCCAGTAACTGTTTATAATTTTAATTATTTTATTTAAAATTAAATTGAATTAATAAGTTAAATGATGCTTGGATTTGGTTAAAAAAATCTATTTAATATTTCCAACAACTGTTTATGCTGCAATATATTAATACATTTAAGTTATTTATGCAATTCAAAGGTTAAATAATCATAATCATAACTCCAGTATTACATGATCCTTTAGAAATTATCTAATATGATTATTGCAAAAGTTACAAGTAAACTATTAAAATTGCATTATATTTATCAAAAGTAGCAGTAAATTATTATATTTATTTATTGAATTTATTACAATTATTATTACATTTATTATATTAATGATACAGACGATTAAAATTAATATTCCAAATAAATGTTGTTAATTTTAACCTTTTATGAATGAAATAATCCAATTGTTTCCGGCTAAATTAAGAAGGAGCAAAAAGTTCAGCTTGAGCCAAAGTAATAAAAGGGGTTTTAAACTGTAATAACTTTACACAACATTACTGCCCTGTAAAAAAAAAAAAAAAGCCAAGATAACAAATATTTTAAGTTGCTTTCGCTTATTTTAATAAGTTTAATCAGGTTTCAACTACATATTTTTAAGTTATACAAAGTTAAGCTGAATATCTGTAGTCAGTTTGATTAATGTAAGTTGTGATAACTTGAAAAGATTCTTTGATTCAACTAATTAAGGCCACAAGAATTTTATTTTCAGTGTGGTTAATAAGTGGTTATGATTAAAGTTAAGTAAAACATGTATACTTCAGTAAATAATGCACTCACTCTCCAATCTTCTGTAGTTCACCTCCTCGTCCAGTGTATAACGTCAAACAGCCTTTAAAAACAGAGGCGTAACTGCAGAAGAAGACAAATGTGCTGTGAAGACACTTAAGTTGACTCTTAACACAGATTTTTCAGTTTTACTGTTTTTATTGATGCATATTAGTCTGAGAGTTCCAGTATCAAATATAAAGAGTCAGTAAGACATCAACTGTTTTATTTTTTCAACACATTTCTAGACATAATAGTTTTAATAACTCATTTTTAATAACTGATTTCTTTTATCTCTGCCATGATGACTGTACATAATATTTGACTAGATATTCTGCAAGATATTAGTGCAATGTACTGAGCCCGATCTCACCCTTTGGTTAGTCTGATGATGTCACCAGCCTGAATGAGTCCTCCGACCTCGTCCCAAACGGAGATGCTGATGCTGCCCGTTTTGTCGGCCACTTTACAGGTGCGAACCTCATGACCGTCTTTAGTCTTCGTCACTCGTCCTTCAAGAAGAGAGACTAGATTCAGATTCACTACTGTTTAGATGTACAGTGCCCAGCATAAATAAGTACTCCCTCTTTAGAAAATAAATTTTTTTATCTATTTATCAGTGAATATGGGCAATCATTTTTGATGCATTTAAACAAAGCAGTTTTATCAAACAGTTATATTCATTAGAGTATGGTCATTGAACACCTTTAGGAATATACATATAATACATTCAAATTCAATTGAGTTATTGCAATATATATATATATATATATATATTGTGTTCCTCTTGATTTTTTTCCTGTTTATTCAATTTTTATCTAAAATTTTCCCCTAACCCAGTGGTTCTGAAACTTTTTTTACCAAGTACCACCTCAGAAGAAAATTGTCTCCCCATGTACCACCATAATGACTGGTATTGAAATACATAGTAGGCATAATTAAGCCGCTTCAGCTCTGCACAGTTCACAAACGTGACAGATTAATTCTTATTATTCTGAATATTTATTATTGTCAGCCACTTTAAACATAATAAATATTTTAAACAATAACACACAGGAAAAAAAAAAAGATAAATAAAATATCAACGTTTAAATTAAAATGTGATTTTAAAAGTTAATTAAAAATGGCACTGTTCTTAAAAAGTTAAAAGAAAACTGCTGTACTTAAATGTAAAGTAAAAGTATAATATTATATGGCCATCCCAGGTGGGCAAATATTAGATGTGGGGCCTAATTGGTTCTACCAAATATTAAGTCTATATATATATATATATATATATATATATATATATATATATATATATATATATATATATATATATATATATATGTATGTGTATATAGATATTCAAAAATATATAAGTATTGATAAATTTGCCTTTAAAGTTTTCTAAATTACGTGTTTAGCATTAGAACTAATCAAAACAAAAGTTGTGATATATTTACAGTAGAAGCTGTACATCTTTACTTAATACTCAATTTTTTTTTTGGTATAAAGAAAAATGTATCATTTTGACCTAAACAATGTATTTGAACTATTTCAATAGTGCAATACAAGATTTTTATTTTTGTGGTCCAGAGTCCAACATGTAAGATGTTGTGCATGTAATGTGCAGTTCAGACACCTGTTTCCAGCACGATGAAGATGACATTGAGGTTTTTGAGTCCAGGTTTGATGTCCTTCACATGAGTCTCAGCGCTCATGGTCAGTCAGTGTGTTTCTGTCTGAACCCTGAAGAAACTCAAACACAACAAATGCACAGCATCTGTCAAACCACACAATAATAATCAATGAGTCATAAAAATAACTTAAAAATAGCATTAATGTGTCTCTGGCAAACATTTTGCATTGAGGTAAAGATGGGTTTATATTCGCACATTCATTCATTTTTGAACAAAGAGAAAACTTCACGGTCCTTTTAGAACTACTATGAACATTTCGGTCATGTAAATATGACTTACAAACAACATTAGCACTATTTAAATGACTGTCAACAATGTTGTGCTTTGATAACGTTAGTCATTGGCTGCTAATATGATTTTACTAATTGGGATTTTCAAAAAAAACTGTTCTGAAATTATATTAGTAAGTATAAAGTCAGAATGTGCGAATATAGAACCAACCTTTTCCCCAATATTAACATTTTCCAAGCAGCAAACTGAAGTAAACAAACACTCACTGGTTAGCATGAGCTACTTCTGCACTGTGTTTGCTCTAATGCTAGTCGCCGGTAAGCTGTTTTCGTCATCTGCCACAGTTTGCGTGAATAATCCCGCAAAACCCCACAACCTTTGCTGTGAATGAAGGTTCTGACAGCTGTCAATCATCACAGGTAGCGTAATGTAGACGCTCAACTAGTGTTTACGCTGTTTTTCCTCACTAAACGTCATTACGCTATGTTTACCAGTGCGTCATGACGTAATAATCAGCACGTATGTATCCGAGCTGCACGGCTGCATATGCTCAAGACTAAAGTTGAATTATCTGAGTTTAGTGAAAAGCCGTCAAAAAATCATGTGCAGATATTAGGAATGACGTTTAATATAGTGAGTTTAGGTGTACGGTTTGGTTTTTGAACTGCACATGCAAGTTAATCACTGATTTTGACGAGATTTAATCCCTCTTTGATTTACCTGAGAGGTTTTGTTCTTCTGTTTAAAGGTAAGATTGGTTAAAATCAATATTTATAGTGTTTTCATAATAGTTATATGAATACACGCGCTGTTACATCTTAAGAGTCGCTATAACTGTCAGTATTTAAGCGGCTGGTGTTATTAGATTCATCATTGTTTTCTTATCTGAAAAGTAAATACAATATTTTAATATAAATTAGTTTTATTAACTGTCTATTAATTATTGTAATTAGTTTTGCCAGCTAATTTCATTCGTCAGCTTTTAAATTAAATTCGAGACTAACAATATATTAAGAGCTATAATATATGCAAGTTATTTGTTTGTTTGAAGAATATACATACATGAATTAATTAACTTAATTTTAAATTGAAAAATAAATAAACATTTTATCAAGTTAAATAACGTTGTGCATAAAAAATATGATTGTTTTTAAATAATTGTCGTAATTCTTTAATATGTAATTAATAATCACATTATCATAAAAAGATTACAATAAGATTAAGATATATATAATTTATCCTAAATTACAAAATAGAGTTAAAGCAAACAAATGATGACAAAATTATTTGATAAATAATTTACCCAACATTTCCTTAAAATAAATACATAAAAAGGATTTAAAACATGAAAACAAATTAAATTTGAACATTAAAAGTTATAAAAAATGTTCAAATTAATAAACAAAAACATAAAAGACTAACTAACCTAATTGGAACCGTTGTTCTTGATTTATAAGGAAATATGAGTTATTTATAAGCAAACACGTTTGTTTAAATAATTTTCCAAAAATGTAGTTAAAATTAATATATATATATATATATATATATATATATATATATATATATATATATATATATATATATATATATATATATATATATATAAATAAATGAATTAAAGCAAGCAAACTATTTAACTTTGAATATTAAAAAGAATAAAATACAATACTATAATACATAGAATGCTAATAAGGAAACATGACTTATTTATCAACAAACAAATCGACAAATAAATCAGTACATAGTACAATGGTTTGGATTAATAATTTACCCAAATTTATTAACAAAATTAATTAATAAAAACAAATTAGGTGGCTCAGTGCTAAGCACTGTCATCTCACAGCAAGAAGGTTGCTGGTTCGAGTCCCAGCTGGGTCAGTTTACAGTTTTCTGTGTGCGTTTCTCAGAGTTTGCATGTTCTCCCCATGTTGGCGTGGGTTTCCTCCGAGATCTCCAGTTTCCCCCACAGTCCAAACACCTGCGCTGTAGAACAATTGGGTAAACTACATTGGCTGTAGTTTATGTGTGTGAGTGTATGGATGTTTCCCAGTACTAGCTTGCAGCTAGATAGGCATCCGTTATGTAAAACATTTGCTGGATAAGTTGGTGGTTCATTCCGCTGTGGTGACCCCTGATGAGTAAAGGGACTAAGCAAAAGGAAAATGAATGAATTAATGAAAAACTAATTAAATCAAGCAAACTAAAAAAATGTATTTGAATATTAAATGTAAATATTAATATTAACATAAATTAACAAATACAGTAGAATACATAGAAAATAAGGAAATAGGACTTACTTGTAAATAAACTAATTTGCGAATAATGTAATAATTCAACTGCTAAAATTATGATTTCAGCACAATGTTTTGCAATCAGCCACATTTTTAGCCAGCAGACAAGCCCTTGTTTTTAAATGAGGGACGCATTTAGTAGGGAATTAGTAGCGTTTTTCCTTTAAAACACTCTTGTTTGTGCATATTTTTCATCATTGGATTAAGACAGTTTTGCTCCACATTTGATAATATCTCTCATTAGAGTTCAGTTCATCTGCTCATCAAGTGTTTTAACCTCATTTCTCAGGACAGACAGAATGGCGGACGCAGAATCTGCTTTGGAAAACGAGATTAACCCTGTTGACTTCATTCAGCTGCAGGAGTACATCGAGTGTAAGTGTCTGTCACAAACCAGCACACAACATTACCACTCTTCATTTATTGGCACATAATTACAACTGCAAACTCTGCATGTTATTATTAACCTAAGGAGTTCTTGTCAAAAAATGTCTGGCTGCAGCAATCGATTATTTCAATAACCAATTAATCTACCACTGTAATCGATTGATTACTTAAACAACCTTTTTCCATTTTTCTTTGAAGATCTTGTGACTGAATTGCAATAGAGCAGTAAAAATATATATTTTATGAATTATTAGACCCCCTGTTGTTATTTTTTTTTTCAAATTTCTATTTAGCAGAGAGATTTCTTCAACACATTTCTAAATATAATAGTTTTAATAACTCCTTACTAATAATTGTTTTATCTTTGTCATGACAGTAAAAAATATTTGACTAGATATCCTTCAAGACACTTCTATACAGCTTAAAGTGGCATTTAAGGGCTTAACTAGGTTAATTAGGTTAACTAGGCAGGTTAGGGTAATTAGACACGTTATTATATAGTAATGGTTTGTTCTGTAGACTATTGAAAAAACATAGCTTAAAGGGGCTAATAATATTGTCCTTAAAATGGTGATTAAAAAATTTATAACTGCTTTTATTCTACCCGAAATAAAACAAATCAGGCTTTCTCCAGAAGAAAAAATATTATCAAACATACTGTGAAAATTTTCTTGCTCTGTTAAACATCATTTGGGAAATATTTTAAAAAAAAATTCAAATTGGGGCTTATAATTCTGACTTCAACTGTATATGTATGTTTAAATTACATTAACTGATAAAATAATTAGAGGATAAAATAAAAACAAGCTGCATGTTGCTGAATTAAAATAAAAATAATGAGCAGATCAAATAAATGTTATACATACAGGAAGATTTCTAAACATTAAATGATTATTTTATGTAATCCACTTAATCAAATAAATCAATTATAAATTTTAGCTTATAAAAATGTAAAAAGGGCCGAGGCAGTGGCGCAGTAGGTAGTGCTGTCGCCTCACAGCAAGAAGGTCGCTGGTTCTAGCTTCGGCGTTTCTGTGTGGAGTTTGCATGCTCTCCCTGTCTTCGCGTGGGTTTCCTCCGGGTGCTCCGGTTTCCTCCACAGTCCAAACACATGCGGTACAGGTGAATTGGGTAGGCTAAATTGTCCGTAGTGTATGAGTGTGTGTGTGAATGTGTGTGTGGATGTTTCCCAGAGATGGGTTGCGGCTGGAAGGGCATCCGCTGCATAAAAACTTACTGGAAAAGTTGGCGGTTCATTCCGCTGTGGCGATCCCAGATTAATAAAGGGACTAAGCCGACAAGAACATGAAATGAAATGAAAAATGTAAAAAAAATAAAAAAATTTTAGAAAAGTAATTTTTGCTCACAAAAGGTCTATTAATTTCATCCAAAATAAAGTAATAATAATATAAAATATTTAGACGTTTTTTTCGATTTGAAGTAACCATGTGAATATAATTTATCCCTGTGCTGTAAAGCTGAATTTTCAGCATTATTAATTTAGTCTTCATTGTCACATCATTTTTCAGAAATCAATCTAATTTCATGATTTCTGCTCAATTATTATTGTGCCTCAAGTTATAAATAATCACCTCATTTATTATCAGTGTTAAAATATATATAATTATTTTGTGAAAACATTTGTAATTTTTGTAGGATTTTTTTAAACATAATCTTTTGTAATAATGTTTTACCTGACAAAATTGATTTTACAATTAGCTTTTATTTGTTTTGAATTCTCCAGACAGCAGGATTACAGCCAAAGATGCAATGAAGGAATTTCATGCGGGCGGAAAGCTGGTGCACCACAGGTTTGGAGATGTAAGATTAACAGAAACTCAGCTGTTTCTACCGGAACTCATGCTGGATAATTTGAGCATTTATAATTAAATTAAGTTTTATTATGAAAAATGAGAAGTCTTTAAAAAAAAACAATCGCAGACTATTTATTTCTTCACTTTTCTATTCTTTTCATACAGTATCAAGCTTGAAGGGGTAGTTCACACAAATATGACCATTTACTCACTATTTACTCACTTGTTGTTGTTTTTTTCAAATCTTTATGAGTTTCTTTCATCAGTTAAATGCAAAAGAAGATATTTCGAAGAAAGATGTAACCATCGACTTTTATAGTAGAAAAAAAAACCATGGAAGTGAATGGTTACCGATTTCCAGCATTCTTCAAATTATCTTCTTTTCTGTTTCACTGAAGAAAGGAACTCGTCAACATTTGAAACGGGTGAAGGATGAGTAAATAATGAATGATGTGTGAACTATCCCTTTAACATGAATGTAAAACTCACTAAAAAGACTCTTATTTTTCTGTGCTGGAGCACACAGACGCAGCCGGGTTTGCTCTGTTCCTCAGCAGTTATCTGGAGGTTGAAGATTTCCCGGCTGATCTCTGCCGGCGTCTCTTCGGCTATTTCCAGAGATGTGAGCAGAGCTGTGTGGACCCAAGACTTCACACCAAAGACGGTCAGAGGATCAAACATCAGTCTGTGGTCTTAAAGGGATAGTTCACCCAAAAATGAAACTCATATGGTTTCATATACACTCAAAAACTATTTTTGCTGACGCCCTAATCAGTGCATTTACTGAACAAGGTTGCCTATTGAGACGCACCTTATCGATTGAGTTTGATGGCTAATCAGCATTTTCCTTAAATCCGATTTTGTTAGTACTTTTGGCATTGTAGGACAGGTTTTGCTAGAAAATCAAATAAGCGTCATTAAAATGGTTAAAACCTTGAAAAATAAAGTGGACTGTTAAAGACGTAATGATGTTTTATATTACACTTTTA